AGCCACAATATTACAGGATGCTTTTCACTGTCATTCCCTAACAATCCAGTAAGGTATTTTGTGATAATTCGATCATTTCGTTTTGTAATGTTTGCAAATGTTGTATCTTCCCTTTAAATGTATGAAAACTATTTGTCACCCCTTTTTGGTTAATTTTATTGAAAAGTGCACTTCCTTACCTTTACACATTTAAAATTTCCCATGTTTTTCCGGACAACTGAGGGGCTGTTACTTTGATGTATTTTCAGAAAGATACTGTTCAGTTTAGGGGTTTTCTGTTCAAATTTTGAACCCCAAATTTGCTCATTGAAAACAGTTGTGAGGAAGGGTTGCTCATTAGCCTTAATGCCATGTACTTACACAACAACGAATCACCAAAGAAAAGAAAATTGATGACAGCAAAATGTCCAAAATTCAAGCAACTTTTTGAAATTCAAGCAACTTTTTGAGTTTTGTGCTGTAATAGCTGTAATATTGAGGTTTCTGCCTAGAATGACATCACGGTTTTGCTCATGAATATGGACATTTTTATTAGCATAAAAACCAAAAAGGCACCAAATTACCCTTCAAAATTGCAAAACAAAAATTGAAAATACGGTTAAATTGGACACAAAGGTGCAGTTTTAAGGATACGGTAGCATCAAAAAGGTTACACTGCATGATCCCTTTAAAGGGAATGTACAACATTTGCTTTTGCTGCAATTTTCAGAAATAAATGGATTTGGAGGATTAGTATGTTATAGCAAATATTGTTAAAATGACTTGTTTCACGTTTTGGGCTTGTAGATGTTGGAAAAACCAAGAAAACCATTCATGTTCTTGTAGTCTGGTTCCTTGACCCCACTTAAGATGAAACAGAGAATGTATAGACTTTGGGGAATTGTAAGATCAGAGAGTCAGTCTAGTAGGCTTGTACCCCTTCAGTTGTGTCATCAATTGCAAAGAAAAAACACGGAATAACTAATAATGAAAAATTAGGAGCAGTTTTGAAAAAAGCCAGTTTTCTCCAACGCTGGTCGGCCGACCAGCGTTGGAAAAATACCATTTTTCTTGAAAATGTCAGCAAACCAGGAGCCACGATATTACAGGATGCTTTAGACTGTCAATCCCTAACAATCCAGCAAGGTATTTTGTGATAATTTGATCATTTCATTTTTTTAATCTTTGCAAATGTTGTATCTTCCCTTTAATGACTGGAGCATACTAATCCTTTGACATCCTAAACTTGTGTGCTTGCTAATATAGTAATGACATGCAAATGTACCTTTGTCTTAAGAGTTTCTTTAAAAGCAGGAAACTCTGTATTAAGCACATAACGACACTTCCATTCACGACTTCCCTCTACTGTAAGACGTGCATAATAAACTAAATTACGGACTCATTTAAAGCATCCGACAGACCGCTGGTTTATAAATTAGACATGTTATCCTGCGCGACCATGTGTTGGGACCGCGGGTGGGACGGAAAATGAAATAATTGAAGAGAAATGGAAAGAAAAAAATGTTCAGTGGGGGGAAACATTTATAAAAAGCCTTTATTACATCCGTGTATGGGTTGCTTAAGTGCACTCTATCAGATATGGTACGTCAGACCTTAACGGAAAATATTACGTGTACACAATCTACGTTATTCAAAACTGAAGAAAAAAATTATAGGCCTACTAAAGAAAACATGCTTTTGCTGGCCATATGTGAAAGTTGTGAATTTGAAGTCCAACTTTCAAACATGTGCATACATATGTACAGTTGTACACAACTTCCACCATTCTTCAAATGCAAAAATGTGTCCATCAAAATCTGTGAAAAGTCAAGCTTTATTTTGGGACCCATTTCCTAAAATAAACAAGCAGAGACCTAATCCCTGCTTCACCCACACCTATTATCTGATGTTTGTAAATACCTCTGAGGGTACTCCATGACCCGACACAGTGACCTCTTCCCAGGGTTACATAGTAACCTTTGACCCGCACACTACCGAGTTATGCACACAGCAAACAGAGCAAACTTTTTGGGGTAGCTTGGGCAAGCTTTTTTATGAGGCTGAGCTTCAGTTAATGGCCAATGAAATACGTGGGGGATATAATGCTCAGTAGTTTTGTCAACGGGGGAAACTTCTACCATAAATTAAGTTTTGGAAATTTTTTTGGAAATTTTCCTCAGACTTCCATGATATTATACGGATTGATACCAAACCAAACATACATTTTTGTATTAGCCCTTTGGTGGACAGGGTCATGACTTGGCTAAGCCATATTTTGTTGGTCTTTTTTGCATACCGATGGGTTCCCAATTCAGCTGACTTCAGCTTCAGATGTTGGATTATATTGGATTTAGCACAGGGAATACGGAATGGGGTTAGTCCGCTCCGTTCACAAGTACCCCCTCACCGGCAAAGAAAGTACAGTTGGGGGTGACCGACCAACGCCATCTTGCCTGACTGCAATTATTTTGCCGCGAAGCGCTGCCACTGCGTGTATGTATAGCACAAATCCCCTGGTGTACGTATGTCACACACAAGGAACGGTGCGCATCAACCAGCGAAATGTCCAGCCTATGGGACGTCGTTGCTAGGTAAAGGGCGCCCTCTTTTGTTGGCGCACAGAGCCCATTAGGCCAAAAAAATAGTTCTGCTTCCAGTTTCCCTACCTACCCTATTCTGACAGCCCCTACCCTCATTTTTTTTATAGAAAAAATGAGGGGGAAAAACATCCAAAACCATCAATTTCTACCTTTAACCTTGACTACACGCAGACACATCCATATGATCGTACAGAATAAAATTGGCAAAAAAATATACATGTATTCCCTACCTGCCTTCCCTATTTTTGAATGCCAAAAATCGGAAACAGAAGTATTTTTTAATTTTTATTTTGCCTAAACATGCTGTATGAGACCCTCTTATAAAAAATATCATTTATCAACACCATCTTTAACACCTGAGGGATTGTTTACATGCTCCTCCCTGACAGAAAAATAAACATGCTCAACAATACTCAAATCTTTTGTGCCAACTTCCTTTGTAACAAATTCATCTCCCCAAAAGCCCTGGATTGTCCACACAGGAGTGAATGGGGCCAGTATGTGCACAGCTGAAGAGCACTGTTGACAATGTCATTATGTCAACAATTGTGAATGGCTGAGAGGTAACCGTTATTTGCTAATTGAATTAAAGATACCTTCGGTGTCTTTTTTTATTCCTTTTATCATAATTTTTTTTAGAAGAAAAAAAAAAGACTACACCTCCTCACAACCACACCCTCCCCCCCCCCCAAACCAGCACCCAACCCCTCCCCTCACTTCCAATAAGCTTGAAAAAAATCCATCCCTGTTCGTTTCCAAGGTATACTTACACTACTGAATGTCAAATCACAACATCTTTAATAGGTACCGGTACAGTACATGTACTGTCAAGAATGTACATTGTATGTTCAATAATGCTAGCCAAAAATGTAATTTGAGCCAAAGTGTCACGCAAGTAATTTTCCAGATGCCTCCAGATTTCATGACATTTTAAATATCTCAGGTTTTGTGTCTGTCAGTTTCTGGCCCGCTCATGTTCCCATGAGACCCCCCCCCCCCCCCCCCCCCTATTCTTAAGAGTCTTCCCATGACTTTCTCTCAACCCTTAGGGCAAATTCTCAAGGATGGCCACAAATTGCAAAACCAGCTGAGAAGTTCTAACATGAATCTTCTGATAAAGTGGGGACCCTTGATGGCAGGTTCGTTATTATTGGTTTTTCGCATTGAAGGACAAGACCAATTCTTCACGGATGTTAGCAAGGAGGATTCAATGCGTCCTTTAATTACATTTTTTTTCTAAGATCTACCCTCTCTTGAACCCTACAGTTTTCAAATTCTACTGCGCTGCTTTTCTAAATCCAAACCTTTTTAGAACTCTGGAATGTGACGGGTTTTAAATTGGTAGCTTGACCCACTCTTGAAGAGCCTGATGTGATGGACAAAAGATTGAGAACATCACACTCACAGCGTCAAGTTTCAGCAATAAATTCCGGAGATAAGAATGATGCATTGCTCCGACTGACATATTTACAACTTCAATTACATTACCAGACTGCTTCTTTTATCTACATGATTGATTGGTTGAAATTCTCAGACTGAAATTTTTTTGGATTTGGCATAATGGAGAAAACACCAGGCTTGGACAAAAAATCGCAACAAGGTCAGACAATAGGCGTGCCAAAATTGAGAGCAATTACCTGTGTAAATGTGAAAGTTATCTTTCATGATATGGAATTTGCACTGGGGTGATGCAAATTTAATATTGGATTTGTGAATCTGGAAAGAATGTAGTATCCAGACACCACTTTTTTGATTGTGTACAAAGTCTGTAGAGAGTCGAGTGCATTCTTAAAAAAAAAATTAACAAAATTGAAAATGTTTCTCAGTCCCAGATTCATGTCTTTTCAACATTTTTGCAATGACTGACCATCATTGAAATAATAATATGATGAAAAAAGTGGCATCAGGACGCAACATTCTTTCCGTGATTTTTTTTTCCATGAGCATTCAGACAACACTGAGTAGGCCTATACAGTGTTTATAAAATACGTCCATGAAGGATGAAGGCCATAACCCAATATTGATTTAAAGTTTTCATCACCGGATTTTATATCCCGGCTTAATACAACCTCTAATTTACAACTTTTTTATACAATAAAAACTCATTTGTTTTCTACACATAGTTAACATTACTGTAAAGAGTAACATCTGAACGTGCAGAGTACTTCGTGTATACATTTTCAAATATTATTAACACTGACACCAAATTCAGAATAAAAGGATAAGTCATCCAAACTTTCACGTTTAATAATAAAAAAAAATTGTTAGTTTAAAAAAAAACTATGAAATAAAAGTATCAGTAAGAATTTACTATTTACTTCTTATAAGTTATAGACATAATTAGAATGCAACTTCTTCGATACCAAACCAGTAATGGCAATCAGTTTCATAACTCCGACGTGATCCAACCAACCAACTTACCTTCCAAAGACACCTCCTTGCCGGCTTTCTTGAGCGCTCGCACCGCCTCGTCGTGCGTTGCGTCTCGCAAGTCCTCCCCGTTCACGGACAAAATTGCATCCCCAACGTAAAGGCTCTCCGTGTGATCCGCCGCCAAACCTTTGAAGATTTTACTGATGATGATGGGCATTTTGTTCTCTTTCCCTCCCTTGATGCTGACTCCCAGGCCCCCCACTTCATGTTTGATGACTTTTACGACGCGTTTCTGGTTTGCAATCGCGTCGGGAATTGTGTCCGGTCCTTGTACGCCGTGCAAGTAGTCAGAATGGCGGAGTGAATCGTTTTTGCTCGGGTTGTTGTTTTGCTCCGTCGGGCCCGTTCCCCCGCCGTTTGAGACGCCATTCGGTTCATATCCGTCCTCCAAACTTATTGTCAAGGTTTCCTCTTCGAGTGTGGCCAGGATTCGGCACCACTGGTCCCTTGCAAGTACCTCCAAAAGGCCAGATTTTGCAACTCCGGCCGCAGCCATCATGTTGACAAAATTCACCGCACGATGTTTTTCCTGAATTTGCTGAACGCCTCATTTGTTATTTCTGTATTTCCTACCGCAAATCCGGAATGCTGATTCCGTCCGCAAACACAGTATGAATCCAAGAAATTAAAATTTGCTTTGGTCTGGTACCTTGTTTGTCAACATCGTGTATTGTATCAAATTGAACACGAAAATGAATTTTCTTAAAGGAGGGATGTGACTAAATTGCAATGCAAAGCTAGCTTACGAAAAAAAGTCGCAGTGACCGCCGGCTGCATCGTGGTGCTATTTTTAAATTCCAAATTTCCTTATTTTTGTGCTTACGTCCGAAATTAAGATCAAGATTCATTAAAAATGTAAATAATTTTTCCTTTACTTTCTTCACCTCCAAAAAGATGCCGCTTGTTTGACTCAATTACTAACTGCATGAAACCATGGAGGAATTCCTCCATGATGAAACTGAAACCTGGGTGCGGTGTGTTTTGCTTCATGATTCCTCTGCGGGTGAATTAAGGACCCCCCCCCTTCCCCCAGCCAAGACATCGATCTTGAGAAGTAAGAAATTTACTGAAAAATTAAGGGAGATCCCCAAACGTAAAACAAAGGCCCCCCACAAATAAATTCATGGGGCATTTAAGGTTCTCAAATCACGTTCCAAATAAAAAAACTCAACAACACATTCTTGAAGAAACGTGTAGTTGGTGTTTTTAATTCATGCTTTACATGTACCATTGGCGCAATATGACTTTACCGCGAACTATAAGCATAAAATTGATGAGCGTGTTTACTTTCCAAGTAAAGTCGTGTGCGGCGCTGTTTGCTTCTTCCATACATCCGCGGCGTGATCGATTGATCCATTTTTGAACATTGATTCTGGCTGATAGTGATAATGTAAGTGCATGAACTAATTTTTAACATGTTGAAGAAATAACCTGAAAAAGTCAAAGGAAACTTCGAGATGAAGCGTGTGCAAAGATGGCATAATTAGCCAAAAACGGTGCCAAATCATTATCAAACTGAATTTTGAGAGCCTTATTAAAGCAAGGCATAACTTGGGAAGAGCAGTGGGCGGGGCATGTGTGTCGGGTGGGGGGGGGGGAAATGCTGGTTTCCCGCATGTCATTAATTAAGTATTTATATTTATTAAATCATGGAGGAGGAGGGCGTTCCTTCATGATTGAACTCAAGTTTGCAAGTGCGTTTGTATACAAATGTAAATGTTTGCATTCAGAATAATGAATATTTTCACAATTAGTCTTAATTTGACAAAGTGACAGGGTTTCCTTTTGCTAGGCAGTTCCCTTTTGATTGTTTCACCCAGCATGCAGTGTTCCACCCAGCATGCATTGTTCCACGCAGGGTGTATTATCCGTGAAATGCAAAGAAATTAGTTACTTTTTTTTAGGACCCATGTGTTTGTCTTTTGCCTTTGCTTTTTTACGGAAGTCGACCATTGTGATTTGCGCATGCGTCAGTTGTCAACCAAAATAGTTGGTGGACTTTTATACATCCCTTTAAAAAAATATTCCTTGAGAGCCATGAATTAGAAAAGAAAAATTAAATCTGCAGACCTCCGCCAGCTGTTTAGCCTAGGAGTTCAAAACATAATAATGGGTTTTCATTCTCATACAGGAAGGGTTCTTCAAAGTAATCAATGCCCCCCCCCCAAAAAAAAAGAAACACTTGTGCGGATGCACCTTTGAGAATACCAACAGTTAAAAAAAAAAAAAAAAAAAAACATAGCTTTTTATTAAGTTTTGTTTTATCTTTAATCTTTCTTTTACAGTATAACTATTCCTAGAAGTAGAAGACGCTGAAGTATAACGCACCGAGCAATCTAACTGACGATGCACTTGCAGTCAGCTGTATAATTTGTGGAAAAAAAACGTCTTGAAAATTTACGAACAATGGCAGCTACTTTGACTAAAAATTGGACAAAACTTCAGACCATGCAGCAGATGTTCCAGCATCCTCCAATTGTAAGACACACCACCCTTGCAGATCGGAACTGGAGAATTCGTCTGAGGATTCCACCTTTATCAATTGGAGTAAGACAACTTTACTTGCGTCCGTCGGGCGTAAGGAGAGCGAGCAATCCTCGCCTCGTGTCACAGATTGTCTCGAGAACGAGATGCTGCCATCCGAGATTCTTGAACCACGAGAGGATGGGAGTTGTCCTCCAGAGAAGGCATCTTGGGTCCGAGAGCAAAGATGGTGATGATAATGAGAACGCCAGGGGTACTGTATCAGAGGCATCAGGGGTCCGAGGTGCAACTAGACTATGGATTTATGGGATTTCTTTGAAACCTCTAATAGTCGCTGGTATTGTCTTCAAGAGATATCAGGCCCCAGACTTTAGGGACTCCAGTGCATCATTGGTACATGTTTCGATTCAGAAGTACCAGATCCTAAAGTACAAGGCCTATCGCTGTTTTGCCCATAGAGCTTAAACTACTAGAGCGCTAACTTTGTGTACATAGTGATGCCTGCTGGGCGCATCCATGTTTGTGCACAAACCTATGGAGACCTAGAAATTTTGTATGGCTTTTGAACGGCTATTTGCATATCTGCGTTTGTATTCCATACCGGTAGGCTATCGAAGCCAATACGCCCAAAACCGAAACACATGATCAGCAAATGAGTGTGTCATTTTGCTCTACGCAATCAGCGCAACGCGTGCGCATATTCGCTGCAGATGCTTCTTGCCGTCACGTTGTTTTAACAGCCAATGACGCGCTTAAGTTGTTTGCGTATGTTCTACTTGCGCGTACGTTGCATGTAGAGTACACTTTCAAAATTCAATCTATCTAATTTCATTATGTTCTACAAACACGCACATGAATTCAAAATGTCTGCGCCCAGGACGGCTTCAAAGCGTCTCCGCGCGCACAATGACGAGTTAGCACTCTAGTAATTTAATATAGCTCTATGGTTTTGCCCCAACTATCCCACTGCTATCAGTTGGCCAAGAAACAAAATCGGCCTGGCGAAAATGGATCAGGAACGCATAATCGAGACGAAACATATAACTGGGACGAAAATTCTATTTTGCAACAGGGAAACAAAACCCTGGCTACCTGCGTGCACATACACGTACACGTCCCAACCATTATCACTGATTCTGAGACTGATTCTGTTTCTGTTAGGCTTGAAAGCCCAGCTTGTAGAATACCATCACAGTAATTTTGAGGTCACAGGTTCAAATCCCACTTTGTCAATTTTCTTCTTTTTTGGTTCTCCCAAAATTTGTCCTTTTTAAATTTTTTTTTAATCATAACATCAAATAAACCACAAGAGAAGCACACCAACTGATGCAAATTTTTGAGTTAACAAGGAAAAATTGATGGACCGGATTCGAAACCCACTAGCTCTTGAACACCATACCAGCTGCTCTACCAACTGAGCTATCTAGAGACACCAATGATAATATGGCCGTTAAATTTGTTGATATCTTCGTTTGGGCGATGCTTGTCATAACCCATTACACTGTATTTCCAGAGATTGCCCCCAAACTTTACTATGCAACTTGGAACAATGGAAGTTTGGGAATCCTTGATGACAATTCAACGTTTTAATTGTTTTATTCAGAAACTAGTGAGCCTCAAGATCAATCAGCCAAGTTGAAGGCAACCCAGCGAATTCGAACCATGCATCGACTTCTTGAGGAAGCCCAAGTACAGGAACCGACGAAGGACTTTGACTTCTCAAACATCCCTCAGCGCCGAGAAGATCGACGTCGGCCGCAGAAGACAGAAAGACCACGGATTGATCCGAAAGAGATGACTGTCTTTCTGTTCCCTGGACAAGGTACTGAGGTGCATGTATTGTCGGTTTTGTTTTGACCTTGCTGCTTGTTAGGTACAAATATAAATTATACTTTGTGATTGTCTTGGGTGCAGGTTCTCAGTTTCAAGGCATGGGGCGTCAGCTTTTGGCCTACCCCAACGTCCGGCAGATGTTCAGCATCGCGTCGGATATCCTCGGGTACGACCTGCTGGATCTGTGTCTGAACGGATCGCAGGAGGAGCTGAACCGCACCGTGCACAGCCAGCCAGCCGTCCTGGTGTGCTCGCTGGCTGCCGTGGAGAAACTCAAAGAGGAACAGCCGAAGGTATGGGCTCCTTGCTTACAGTATCCCCTGCACAGTTACAAAGATGGAGTCTAGAGCTACTTCATTGCATTGCTGACATACGCTTTCAATATTGGGTTTTGCCCTTCACCGACATATTGTATAAACTCTGTCTACTCAGTGTTGCCCCCAAGTAATTGTGAGAAAAAAAAATCAGTCAGGTGGGACTTGAACCCACGACCTCCTGCTCACTAGCGCTGATGTCTTACCACTCAACCACCAAGCTTGCTGGGGTCGGCTGGCTGGTTTGAATCAGATATTTGCCAGGGGTACCGCAATGAAACTGTTCATAAGATGGAATTTGCTTCGAGGTGATGTAAATTCAATGTTGGGTTTTGCCCTTCACTGACATATTTTTATAAACATTGTGTACTCAGTGTTGCCCCAGTGTTTGTGAGAAAAAAATCTCTCGGGTGGAACTCGAACCCACGACCTCCTGATTACCCGCTGCTATATCTGATTCGAACTATGATGACTATTTCTAAGATGAAATTCGTGTTGGGATGATCGATGTAAACTCAACATTAGGTTTTGCCCTTCACCGATGTAAAAACACTGTATACTCGGTGTGTTCCCTCCCCCCTCCATTCCCCCTTCTGAGTGAAAGTGAGAAAAAATCACTCAGGTGGGACTATGAACCCACGACCACCTAATATTGAAGTTACATCACCCCGACGCAAATTCCATCTTATGAATAGTTTCATTGCAGTACCCGCTGCTACATCAGATTTGAACCAGCAAACTAATCCCGCAAGCTGGGTGGTCGAGTGGTAAGACATCTGCACCAGAAAGCAGGAGGTCGTGGGTTTGAGTCCCACCCGAGTGATTTTTTTCTCACTTTCACTCGGGAGGTAACAATGTTTATACATCAGTGAAGGGCAAAACCTTATATTGAGTTGAATCCTAACCATTATATTTTCTGTTATTTTATTGATGTCACAGGCCGTTGCAAATTGCGTAGCTGCTTCTGGCTTCAGTGTCGGAGAGTTCTCCGCTTTGGTGTTCTCTGGCGCCCTCGCGTTCAAGGACGGTAAGTTGGTCCTTAAGCAGAGTATGCGTAGTAAGACGTCATGTGAAATCAAGTTAGATTCGCACATTTTATAGTCTCACATCTAGAGAAAGTCTTATTCCTCATACTTGTATGGAAACATTGAAGAAAGATCTTGAGGATATCATTGTGATGTGTTAAAGACATGTTTTTCTTCATCACCAGCCATACATCTGATCAAAATCCGCGCCGAGTCGATGCAGCGAGCTTCCGATCTGGTACCCAGCGGTATGCTGTCCGTGATTGGCCGGCCCGGTGTACGCTTCAAGATGATGTGTCGCGAGGCCATGGATACGTGCATAATAGACGGAGTCGAGGTACCAGTCTGCACCATCGCATCCCATCTGTTCCCAGAGGCAAAGGTCTTAGCTGGACATACAAAGGTAAATAAACACCTTTGGCCGAGTCCGAATTATGTGGTTATGGCTTGCAATTACACATTGGCCTATGGAAGCTGCTGGAGCCACTTCAAATAGACTTGTGTTACTGCTAGCCAGAGCCATGTTATTTTGAAGCGGCCTTATTTACTTATTAAAGATATAGTCCATCATTTGTAATTTGTGCATTTTGTTCGTTTGAAGCAACAGAAGTGTTCAAAATCTAATGAAGGATACTGAACAACTAACCTGATGAAGTTTCAGCTCAGCTTCAGCTGTATATTCCGAGAAAAACAGCATTCTAGGATCTCAATTTCAAATCAAAAGTTGCTGAATCATGTTTTGAAATGTTTTGAATTGCAGCAATACGCGATGTCGCGCACTGATCCGATGAATTATAGCAACCGCGCGTGCCTGTGCGTCGTGCCAATGCTTGCGCGTGCTGCGCCGAATAACAAAACGAACTACTAATTTAAATTTTCCTACGGTGCGTCTTAAGACGCACCGTTGGAAAGACCTTCTTTTGTTGATTACTTCAAAATGATAGCTTGCCAGAAAGATTAAGGGAGTTTAGTCCACTTACTATCTTTCAACCAAGTATGTTTTTCAACAATAATACGACAGTTACTTTTTCGGATGGCTGCAAATGATGGACTATAGCTTTAAGTAAAATCATTATCCCCAATATAATATAATTTAAAGGTAGTATAGTGGCAACACAGCCTCACACCATTATCTAAGAAACTTCTGGAATGACCACGCCCTGGTTTTGTAAATTTTTGAACATTTAATTTCAGGACACCATTTTGTCCAAATTTTCAGATTCCTATTGGTAATCAAAATCCAAAAATATTCGGACCACTCTGTCTTTTTTCTTGAGCTTAGTTCCTACTGTATCAGAAAACCTGTCAGAAAACTTGGCCATTGTGACGTAAGTTATAAACAAAAAAGCGTTTCTACCAGGCTTAGTGGGAAAATGTGACATTTTCTAACATAAGTTTATTGCTAGAATGCTCAGATAAAAAAATAAGGGTGTGAAGAAAGGTAGCAAACACAAATAGCCCGTTTGCTTCCTATTTCCTTGCGTCATAAAATATCTCTTGCATGCCCAACATGTAATCTATAAAATTAGTAAACGTTTGCCATATTGAAATACAATCTTATAATAGTTTATAGTTTATCTTATAATAGTTTATGCGGTACCCGCTGCTCTGTACATCAGATTCGAACCGGCCAACCGATCCCGTTAGCTCGGTGGTCGAGTGGTAAGACATCTGCACTAGAAAGCAGGAGGTCGTGGGTTCGAGTCCCACCCGAGTGATTTTTTCCAACTTTCACTCGGGAGGTAACACACTGAGTATACAGTGTTTAAAAAAACGTCGGTGAAGGGCAAAACCTAATTTGATTCACATTGAAGTTGCTGATCTTTAATGATCGATTAAAGATTATCAGAACACTGTTTTGATGTCTCGTTTCAGGCCTTGGATTACATCCAAGAAATGTCCCGTCACTACTCCTTACGCAAGGTCAAGCGCGTGCCGGTCAGTGGAGCGTTTCACTCCCCGCTCATGGCCCCGGCCAGGGAGGCCTTCTACTCCGCGGTCGACCGCGTCCCCTTCGACACCCCCGTCATTAAGGTCCACTCCAACGTCAACGGGAAGCAGTACCGTCACCCGAAGCACGTCCGCACGTTGCTGAAACGCCAACTCATAGAACCCATCCACTGGGAGCAGACCATGCACGAGATGTACCAGCGCAGCAAAGGGGCCGTCTTCCCCAAGACGTTTGAGGTGGGGCCGGGGAAACAACTCGGAGGTTTCTTACAGAGGAACAACCTCAAGGCATTCCACTCCTACACAAAAGTCGATGTGTGATGTGCAAACGGCGACGGGTTTTGTCAAAAACTCTGAGCATGTTTAAGGCAGAACAGTGCTTAACCCACAGTAAATGGTATTTGTGATCACTTTCAAAAGACCCCAATGCATCCATCCAAATCTTATGTATCCATCATCAAGTAACGATCCAGGAGATTTAAGACTAGGAGTTTTTGGATCATTTCTCTGAATTGGTTGGATGGCTCTGTCACGGACATTACACTTTTGTAATGCTGGAATTGCCTTGGACTAGTATTGCCTTCTAGGGGTTCCGTGCACAAGTACTCCTCCAACTGCCAGAAAAGGAGAGTTGGGGGTGACCTAGACTGGTTTCCAGTCCATCCACTGCGTATTTCGAATGATCGAAAGTTATTGGGGGCGGGGATAAGTCTGGGAGACCATCGCAAGTTAAATTGGAACGTATTCGCGCGCCGACGATGCCTGATGCACACGCGAAGCCACTGTTGCTATAGCTTAGGCACATTCAGGAAGTCGTGCGTACTTTGCGCGCGAACCAGTACATTACAGTACACATTACAGTCCCGTCCACCGATTTCTCAAAAGTGTTAAAAACGCGCCCTCTTTGTTGGTGCACGGAGCCCATTCAGGACGAATCTACCCAGGTTTGTTGCATGGCTAGACATGTACATAATGTACATCAGCAAGCAAGGACCAAGAAGATATGTGATGACGTTTTGACCACCCCTTTACTCCAGACGTTCGTACATTTAACTTTCAAATATAATAGAGGCAAAGCTGTAGACTAAGTCGTTGTACTACATGTATACATTTATTAATCTATATAAGATATTGTCAGCTGATGTTAATATGAAACCGTAACTATTTTTATTCCATGTGATATACTGTGGCTGAAATTTTTGGCTTAACTTTAGATTTCAAATAATTTTCCAGTTTTTTCAAGGCTGTTATTGTGAGGCTGAATTTTTTGTCCTGGCATAGAAAAATGTGAACTGATTTTGTAGTTCTTATCATACACAACTCTTACATGCGCACACAAGTTTAAATATAGTGGAATGGTTGGGCAGACTTTGCATCTTGTCACTAGGCTGCAGGGAGCAATACTTACAGGAATCAAAAACATTTTGACAATAACAAGTACCAAGTGGTACAACCCATGGCGGTTCCACGAACAGTACAACCGCGAATTTGGCAATGCAATGGGGCGTGATCTAATATGCAAATTAGACGCATGCGCATCAGTGTCACAAAGCTGTCATACAACCAACAAACCAAGCAACCCGCCCACTCGCCAACCAACCAAGCAACATAAGCAGCTCAAGCCCATGGCGTGTTTCAAACCGCCGTGAAAAAAAAGTCCACTGCCGCGGGAAAAAGTCCCCAGTTTCTGGCACAGATATAAATATTTATTACGCTCAGGTTTTTAAGTAGTTCATCAGAGCTGGAACCTATGTTAAGAAAGCGTCCAAATGCTGTTGAAAGTTATTAAAAGTAACAGGTAAATTGTTGTCATACTAAATGAGCGTGCTCATGTTGTGTAGTTTTGGGCGTTTGTCGTTTCACTAGTATGATTTCATTCGTATTTTAATTTAATGCGTATTGACTCCATACTGGAACTGAAGAAGACACTTGTGTGGCCTGTGCATTATTTCAAAAATGCAAATGGACCAATTTTCTTAAAGGGACATTACGTTCTGGAATGTGCCCAATTGGGCTACAAAACACGTTTTAAACGAAATGATATTAATTGGAAAGAGCATTCAAAGTAGGATATAAATGTCCACACAACCATCCTTTAAATACTGGACGTTGTTGTATTCTTGCAAGAACAAATTTCGGGGGTCAAAATTATGACTCTCAAAAATTAAGCTGTTGAGTGCTAGTTGTGAACCCTGCCTCACAGTGCATTGCATTCTGCCACCGTGCGAGAAACAACATCTGTGTATTGGTCAGAGTTGTAATGACTCGAGTCAATGACTCGACTCGAGTCAATGACTCGACTCGAGTCAATGACTCGACTCGAGTCCGACTCGAGTCACATCTTTTGGTGACTCGACTCGACTCCCTCATCAGAAGACTCGACTCGAGCGAAGGCTAATAAGACTCGAGTCCCAAAAATAAAAGCAAAACTTTGGGAAAAGTATTTGCAATGACTTACGGTGCAAAATTTATGCTCACTTCGCTTTGCGAATAGCAGTCATGTACAAATATACAACGTGTCACAGACTCCCACCTCATGGTTCTAGAACGCACAAAATACTATCCAGGAACCAGATTTTTAAACACATTTTCTAATTTGCTGTTTCATCATTGGCTTTGGGCGATTTCTTATAAAGCTCTTGGATTCGAACGCTGGTTAAACTTATGGCCTCCTTTTATAAATTTTGGTACATACCGGTAGTGTTCAAATATTCGTGACTAGAATTGACTTGAGCTAAATATTTGACTCGACTCGACCTTTTGACCTAATGACACGACTCGAGTCACTTCTTTAAACTGACTCGACTTGACTCGAGTCACTTCTTTAAAATGACTCGACTCGATTCGAGTCACAAAAATCAGTGACTCGTTACAACTCTGGTATTGGTGCTGTGTGCATTATGTGACACATACACAACGTGTACCATACACTGAATGGATACGGCTGGAAATACGAACACGTATGCCACAAAATGTCCGACGCGACCGATGTAAACCGCCTGTCTATTTGTCCGTCTTTTCTCGGAAACAGTTAAGACATTGGGTTAGTTTCCTTTCAGCTAAACCTTTGAAAAAAGGATAAGTAAACAATCAAAAACAAAATTTTCGGGGAGTTTTGGCCATAATGCCTTTAAGTAATAGTGCACAAACCTGAAGAATCTTTACGTGTTAATTTCCCCCCTATAGTACACCACCATTCAAAGCAGTCAGTTTAGGTATATTATGAATGTCGTTTATTTCTGGTAATGAAACCAAGGATTCCTCAAAAGCGCCCTCGCGAGCCTGAAGAAACACCCATGAAGAAATTAGTTTTAGAGTTGGGGGGGGGGGGGGCCAGAAAAATGTTTTGGAGGAAAACCCAATCCACATGTAGACCACGGCAGGAATCGAACCCGGGCCATAGAGATCGAAGGCGAGGAAAGGATCACTGCACCAACCTAACTCCCCGTATAATCTACTGCTACTTGTTCAAATACACCCAATAACAACACACATTTTGTAAGACTCGTTTGGGGAATCAAATGGAATCCTTTATTTCAAATTTTGGCAAACAACTGATAGAACAGGCGTGATATGGGGGGAAAAGTACTTTCCTGGTAACGTCAAAAAGAATGAAAATATTTGGAGCATTGAATTCCATACCATGGTGCTATATGGGGAGTTTATGTAAATATAATTTTAAGACGTTTGTTTACATACACTTAAAATAATCCACAACGAAATACAACTGAAATATAGGAGGGGAGGCTGACATGCAATAAAATACTCTTTTTTTTTGTTTTTTGCCTTGTATTTTAATTTTTTTTTTTACGATAATTTTATACAATCCAAAAAACAAAATAAAATGTTACAACTATAACCCATCTGTTGATTCTGATGACGCTTCCATGCATAATTCTGTTCCTTTTTTTTGTCTTTAAATTTGCCTCGAAAATGTGCTTCCTATAGAACTGGGAATAAACCACTTCAGTTGTGCATTTTTTAATTAACTTATCCAACCCTTCTATTCATATACGATGTCTGTTATTTCTTAGGTTCTTATAACACTCACTGGCTATTGATGAAATAATAAAAACGCCTCGTAAGGTCAATGCTATTAGAGTCCCTTTTTTTCTTCATTTTTTTCATCTTACACGTACATGTCATTATTATTGTCACGTGCTCCAGGCTCATAAATGTCTACGTCAAAACGCGCGATGTGATCAAACGTCGCTATGCAAACTAACCCAGACTCAGAGTTTCTCTTCTTCTCACTGTAAAAATTGGAAAGCATTTCAAAATATTCCTGTCAGGAAAAAAAATAATAATAACAATATTCACATATTTATAATTACCGTTATTTTAACTATGTATAAAATTTACAGCAAGATATGGTACTGTATTTACAGTTTAACCCAATCGCGGAGTGGCATCGGATATATGGTTTATAATATGTCCAAAAGTAGACAGGCTTACAAGTTTTCCGATTTTGGATCAATCCCCCCCCCCCCAGTAATTTACATAGCATATTTACATGAACTTCACTCTACAACCCCATTCCCCTGCTCTGAAAAGAGAAAACCAACTCAATATCAGTTTTATCTAAATATTAGTGAGTGGTTTTAATCATGGTGATGCTTAACAGTAATCTTAGACTTTTTTTCACTCTTCAAACTTTTTTTGTTTACCACCTAGTAATTTTCACTAATACGCAACTTACAATGCCAGAAATACTGAACATTATGTACACAGTTCCAAATCGTCATAATTTCAAACTTCATGAAAGTGTTTTTTTTTTTTTGGTTAGAATGAACTGCAGATTACGAACCATATATCTCGACATTTAAAAAAAATTTGTCGAAGTCCACTTACTGAAGATATCGATTTCCTTAAGATAACTTTGGTGTGTAAATGACGACGCAATATGCAGGCTTCTGTCCCACTAACAATTTTTGAATAATGTTTACATAATACAAGAATATATAAATATTCATATTTGAAAATGGTACATCGTTTCATATACTCTTACCTCTCAGATTACTGTAATATTAATGTGAAAATGTCACCAATCTTCAGACAGAAAAGCCAACTATCAAATCACTCGCACTTGCATAATCACACATTAACCTCCATTTTTTTTTAAAGAAGTACACAAAGCAAGTTAACACTTAATACCCTAAAAATTCATAATAAAAACATCGACAGCAAAATAAATTTTGTGGTTTTTTTTTTCAGCGTGAACACGTCAAGAGAAATATACAGCAGTTAACAAACAAAGAAAATTTACATCATACTTTTTAAAAATGTTAAAATCTGTACTTGACCAAATACTGGGATTGTGTCAATGAAGCTACATGTATTTCCCATACATAATTTCTGTCAAATTATTTTGGGTCTACTGTGAAATTGCCACTTTTCAGCAATGTATCGTTCATTGAATGTGTATGGTTACACTCAAAAGATAAATCCTTCCCCTCTCGATACAGAATCGAGAATCAACAGAATACAGCTCAAAACTGAAACATATTTGTAACCCTAAATAAACAGGCAAAACCTGCCATAGAGAGTTATAGAACTGTACAGATATTCATATACAAATGTACAACTAATTCAGACAGAATCAGTTTTTTACATGTGCATGTACATGTATGTGTTTTTTCGTTCCTCTCAATTCAGTGTATAACAGTATATGAAGAATGACTACTTTTTGTTGTTGTTTTTTAAGCAACTTACACAATTAAAAAAATTAGAATAAAATTGTGGGGGGAAAATGTGAAAGAAATATTACATAATGCAAACATTTTCGTAACGACAACAAAAATGACATGCATGTACCCACTGGCAAAATCTAACATCTTTTTGCAAAATTCACTGCTCAAGTTGGACAAGATGTGGAATAAACTATCCGGGAAACCTGAATTCAGTTCCATTCCTGCAAATGATGAATAATTTTAAGCCGTGGAAAACACAATAACAGCTGTTATGTTGTGGTGGTGTTTTTTTTTTACAGATAAGTTTAAAATCACACACATTTCCTCAAATAAGTTTGATTTTACATCATGCAATGTGGTCAAAACATTCAAAAAGCACGATTGGGAAAAAAAAAAGTCAGACGTACAAGTATGTTACAAAAGGCTCCTTTTTGCCGCACAAAAATTCTGAAGCAAGTTCACAAAATTTTCGAAAGCTAAAAGTAATGACAGATCAATTTTTGTACTACAAGGTACATGCGTCACATTTGACCAACAGACGAGTGATCTTGAACAATTTCCCATAGTAAATGTCAGGATCATTGCAATTTTAATGCAAGAACAATTGTCCTGAATGCACAATTGAAACATACCATTGATTATTGTATACTAGTATTCCATTGAGTATTTAGTGATTTTTTCCCCAACATTTTAGCATTCATTTTAACTTTTTTTTTCAAACAGGCCTATTGAGCATTTGCCTTCCTTTAAAAATTGATCAAAACTGTTTTCTTTTCATTCTATTTCATATTCACAGCAACACAAACAGTAAAAGTCCAACAATGTAACAGCGAAAATCTCCCATCATAATCAAATTTTGATCATCACGCTTTCACATATACAAAAGAAGGCACATGAGATTTTGTTGAATGTTGTTAATCGATGTGGAAAAATACTGAACACGTGACTTGAACCAAACCACAATTGGGGAGGGGGGGGGGGGGAGAAACGTGCATGGTGAAAACAAATACATGAAAGTTTTATGTAGTTCTAAACACTGTACCAACAGACCAAGACTCTTTATCAAGTTTTAGCCCTGGAATTAGACGAAGGCATGTCATTCCATAAATGTCCGACTTATGTTCCCAAAGATAAGTAGCTTTTCAAACAGACATTGCCTTAAGCAAGGAAAAAACGTCACCCTAACTTTACACATTTTCTTTTTTTCCCTTTTTTTTTCATGTGAATTTATAGGAATTAAAAAAAAAACCACACACACAAAAAGTCAGATATCGGTACATTAATTAACATGTTACAGTAATTTTCAATTACGAGCATATTTGTTTAAATACAGTTTTTGTACACTAAAACTAGTTTCAGCACAAAAAATGCAGAGACTTTTTTTTTTTGCGAACTGATCTGAAAAAAATCTGTATATTTAGTGGAAGCATTAGCTCGATTGGTCACAAGGTTAATTTATCGCTATTGCTGAATTTTATTGACAAAATTAATCTACTGCTGCCGATCAATTTTCAACTGAAAACTACAAGACTTAACCAATCTGAAAGAAAAAATATTCTTAACGCTGCCTTGTTTAATGTCTTTAATTTAATTTTAATTTTTTTTTTTTATGGGTCACAAGAGTACATTTCTTTAATATGTATTTTAACAGCATGACTGTGCATCAAATTTTGTTGGTAGAAACTATGAGTGCCAATATCCTAATCAGAAAAGATAACATTGGTGATTGAAATTGGATGCAAATCTAAAATCTGTATCCGTTTTTAGGAATAGAGTTTTAGTGTTTAAAGATATGCGATCTGTCTCATACATGTACGTGTATTCATTGTTATTCCTAAGTAACAGCAGAAGACATTTTTTTAATTAACGAAATAAATTAATGCATACCTGAGTATTTTAAGTACAAATATGTGTACGCTCATTTCCAGTTGTGCAGTACGGAACTAACGCGACTGTTAACGGGTAACGTGTTCGAATCCTCCCTTATCAACGCCTTTCTAGTGGTCTCAACTTCAGTACCTCAAGCTAAGGGAACCTAACGTTGAGCTGAGGTACTGATCCAATAACGAGAGGTTACGGGTTCGAACCCTCTCTTTATCAAATCTGAAATCCTTTCTAGTGGTCGCAACTTCATCACATCAAGCTAAGGGAAACTGTATTTTGTTAGCAATGTTGAACTAACGTACTGCTCCAATAATGAGTGGTTACGGGTTCGAACTCTCTCTTATCAAATCTGAAATCCTTTCTAGTGGTCTCAACTTCATCACATCATGTGACATCAGTGAAGGGCAACCGTGATTTGTTGATCATGTTGATTTGTTGATTTGTTGATCATGTTGTACTGCTCCAGTAATGAGAGGTTACGGGTTCGAACCCTCTCTTATCAACACTGGAATTCCTTTCTAGTGGTCTCAACTTCATCACAACGTGCGGAGGGAAACCGTAGATTGTTGGTCATGTTACACTAACATACTGCTTCAATAACGAGAGGTTACGGGTTCAAATGCCCTCTACATAACTCTGGAATTCCTTCTTGAATACTTCTTCCTACCACTGCACGATCAACCTCAAACCATTCTACGAGAAAGTTCATTTAGATTGTCAGCAAACGCGCTTGACGACATGCTAATTATGACCGAGGTTGACCAACTAAGCGAAAGATAAAATTGACATCAAAAGCTAGCTGACTTTGACCGCCCCGAGGTTTAATAAAAAAATATCAGATGTCAAACTTACTATAATTTTCGCTCCAAAGAGCTCATGTTCTCATCTTTAGTCAATTCAATCCAGACTATTTCAGTCCATGGCTTGGCGCAAGTTTTATGCAGCAGTACTTTACAGTGCAGTAAAGTGTGATCAATTCTAAATATTTACTGTTTTCAAACTCAATCACATGCATAGGTAAAAAAAAATGCAACGCTTGAACTACTTATATGGTTTATGCAAAATGCTTTAGTATTCATCAAAGAAGACATCAATTTGCAGTTATCTTAGCCTAGTTTCCTTGGAAACATGCTTTCTTTTTTTGCCTGTAGATTCAATAAAAAAAAAAGTAATAACTCAAAAACAAAAAATATCTACGGTCATTTTTTTTTAACAGATGTCTTTTTTTTTTTAAAATTACCCTGTCCTAATACATGATGAAATAAACATTTTACAAACTCCTTCTGGAAAAGGAATTCCTTGGAAAAAAAAGCTACTCAAAACTGATGACACTATCGGTTTCTCTCCAAATTAAAGTGAATGGAGGGGTAGAAACGTCCATTCACCACCAGAGAATTCGAGAAGTACCTCATCGGCAGAGTTTGGCCTACGAACAAGTACAGCACTGCCGGGCAGCACAAGCACGCTACGACGATTGTTTAACATTAAAAACAAAAATCAAAAAGTAAAATCAACATTTCTAAAAATATATCCTTTAATTTTACAAAGCTTCCCGTCCCTTCTATTTTTTTTTTTTATCCAAGAAAGATCCAAGAGCTTTTATCAAGACACTTTGTGTCCAAATCATTGTGCCACTTTCCTATTTACAATCATGGCAGCACCTTATTGATGTTCGTTGATATTCGTCTTTTTTCCTTCTTTTTTTGGTTTATTTTTTTTGGTACAACTGAATTTTTTTTTTTAAGAGTGCAACAAGTACTTCAATTGTTGCATAGACAGTGATGCATAAATAAAGTCAGATAGTTACAATGTACAATCGGCTTATTGCACCCGGTTACAAAAATATACAGTCTGATACGGTTTTTGTCTAGTTGTCGTTTCGTTGGAAGTTGTTCCAGTACGGGCGTTGAGATGTCTATAGACAAGAGAATAAAATGGTTATAGTAATAAAAATGTACATTAAGGCGGTGATGTGGCTTTCATGGTTATTTCAATTAACAGGCAACTCAAAGAGCTTCCGGGGAAACCATTTGAAAAACGTTTCTACAGGAATCCCAACAAGTTTACACGACAAAAGAAATCTTTTTGATTTTTTCGCCTAAGCAATTTTGGTCTCACCAAGTTTACCAAGAGGACCTTTTATTGATACACCTGCTGCAGTAAAATCATCAGGCGCCGTTCCTGCCACGGCTGAGGAAGGCAGCGATATTAGCAATGCAGGGTCTTGGCTTGTCTAGTGTGTATTCCCTCAAGCTTGATTGAGATCTTTCTCTTCCGGTCTTGAACATCAAATCCTCTTGAAAGTGAAGTGTGCAATCACATCCAACCCGTCAACGCACGGAATTGGAGTTGGCATCGCGCCGGGTCTTGTGCTTGAATTTCTTACTTTTGACGTTGTTGTTGTTGTTGCTGCCGCGGTTGTTGTTGCTGTTGCTACTGGTGCCATTGGTTTGATGCATGCTCCCAGAGTGGATCCCACCGCTGCCACCGTGAATCCCGCCGCTGCCACCGTGGGTATTATTACTGCTTCCACCAGCACTACTACTGCGGTATTTACTACCTTGTTGATAGCTGGGCTGGTGGTTACTGTTACGGTACGTCCTTGATGTGACCATATTGGGGGTAGTCCGGTGTGATTGTTGCTGCGTCGTCGGTGACTGCTTGCTTGTGTCATCCTTGGCAGCCACCTTCTCCTTAGACACCGAGATCTTAGACGGAGCTTCCTCCTTTTGTGGCTTTGATTCAGCCGCAGGCTGGTTCGAGACAGCAACAGGTTCTGTCTTGACTGTTCTGCTGTCCTTTTCCTTCGCCGGATTGGACTTGTCTGCCTTCTTGACGCCGTCTTCACTGTGTTGCTGCGGTGTTGGGGGAGCTTCCTCTGACGTTGGAAGAACTGGAAGTGAGTCCACTGGCTTGCGCAGGTCTGGACTGTTGTCTCTGCTTTCCTTGGAAGAACCAGACACTTGTGATGACAGGTCAGAATCCTAAGCAAAAAGAAAATCACAATTGTAGATCAAACAAAAAATTACTAGATAGAGATAGGGTTGTAGTCCAGTCCATCACAAGTCCATCACAAATCTTCCAGGCTTAAAAGGCTTTTTATTTTTAATTGTTCATCCCCTGCTCCTTGTGACCAGACTTGTGCCAACTTGTGATGGACCCTACTTCAACACTGTTTGGAGAATGTTAGAATGGCAATTTCTCATATAGAAAACACTCGGAGATTTCAGCTTTTGGAAACAGATAAAATCAGTTCACATACTGTATCACTAGCACTTGACAAAGCATCCGGCGTTGACATGGATGACTGAAGAGAATTCAACTCCGACTCGGTACCACCGTGCCCGATCAGCCCCACCTCGGTGTTGGCGTTACTGGTATCCTCAGCGGTTTCCCCACCCGTTTCGTCCACAGCATTGTCCACGGTACCGTTGTCCAGGGTGGTGTTCATCAGGGGAAGGGGGGCGGTACTGCCGCCCCAGTACCTGGACGAGGATACCATGCTCGGGGGAGGGGGCAAGTGATGGGTGATGTAGCTGCCCGGGTACAGCATGGGCTGGGGGACCTTGTGGGCCCAGTTTCTGTGGATCCAATGCCGGTACTCGATGACGTCGTCAGTGATGCGGACGATACGACCAAGGATGCTGTGCAGTGGAAACATAGTTTAATAGTTTGTGGATCATTCCAAATATACGGGGTCCACCTTTTTTTCCTGTCCCTGTTACATGTGACATCTATTATTTCATACCTCTGATGCAGATGTCGTCCAAGGGTGATCATGAATAGCAAACTACCTACCCAACAAACAAACAAACTGTTTGAAGTCATTCTTTATGATACTGGGATAAATGTCACACTTTGGACCCTACATTTTTGGAATGACCTATTTGTCAAATCATTACATTGAATCTAAATTTGTCTGAAGATTGCCGAGAACAAATTGCCTCTGACTTTGTTTAGTATCAAGTTAGGCTGTCTTCATCTTTCGGACTCCTACCTGTTCATACATTCCTCCTGGTCTAGTTGATTCAACAAGCCTTGCTTCAAGACACTGTATGCATAGCCAAAGGCCTTGCGGACCTCCAGGAAACCGTACGAGTTCTTGCAAATGTCAGCCCCTGGAGACAGATATCAGAGTGATCATTTTTAAATGGCACTAAAATGTTCATTGAACCTTAAGCCACGGACCGTTTCAAGGTTACTGCCATCTTTGTGATCCCATGGGACTCCTTGAAAAGACGTCCCATCATGGAAAGTAATGATCAGTAAGATGGTGATATCTGTGAAACGATCCATGGACACGACACAACATATGACCACCATTGCTGCCGTGACATGGAGTATAAGTGCACTTAACCTTAACCTTCCTCAATCCTCCAAAGTCATCCAGGCAGTTTGGAGGATTTTGGAGGATTGAGGCTGAATGCAACATACAATTGTGGGGATTTTTGTGGAGGATTGAGGGCACGTGGACATTCAGCTTCGGTTCATTTTGGAGAATTGAGGCTGAATGCATTTTGAACATACCGGTAAGTGGAAACTTTTGGAGGATTTTGGAGGATTGAGGATGGTTCCTAGCAAAAAGGGCCTGTAGAGTTAGGGTGAACCGTAACCCTGCCAGAGGCAACGTAGTGCAACAGGTGTAAAACTCTGTGCAACCTGGCTGCATTGAGTTTACAAACTTCAATGCATGAACTGCTTGTCCAACTGAACGATGCCACTCTTTACACTGTTAAATCTGGTTAGCAACCATAGACTCTGATGCAATTTGGCATTGGGCAATTTTGATCTTGTGGATCTTGTCACACTGGGCAGGCCTCTCACTTTGAGAAGTCTTGCGGGGGGGGGGGGGTTGCATGTTTTTTTTTGCATGGGGAGGGGGGTTCTAGACAAAACACCTCAGGGGGTAGGACTAATCATACTATCCTATACGAAGGCAAAAACCTTGGTGCTATAATATTCCATAAGCTGTAGCAAGTAAAAAGTCAAGTCAAGTCTGTCACGAGCCAATGTGGCCCATCAGGCTGGTGTTTGTCTCCGGTTTCAGTAGCATGAAACGACTGAGAATATTTCTGTTACCCCGGGATGGGATGCTAGTCTATCGCAGGTTCCCATTTATACTGGGTGGAAAGAGCAAGTTGGGGTGAAGTGGCTGGCCCAAGGACACAACACAAGGCCAGCAGCTGGATTTGAGCCCCTGGCCTTCTGACCAGGAGTCACAAACCCTAACCACTAGGTCACACGCCCCACAAACTGTAGCAAGCCCAAAAGCAAATTGAAGAAAAAGTTTCATCTTGCTTACCGGGATTCAATGGATCCTCAATGCAGAGCAAGGAGGTCCCGTAGCCCTGGGTCATCTTGCCTCGAGCATCGTCCTTGGAGAAGTAGCAACCGCCATCCATCACGCTGATCCCCGTCTTGAAGTAGTTGAAGTTGACGCCGTACAGCTCGAAGAACTCGATGAGCTGCACTCCGAGGTTGATCGGCTCTGGCTGCACGTGCATCTGGCGTAGGAGAACCAAGAAAACAAAAATTGACGCAAGTCCCCACGAGTCCAAGACAAGTCACTTCTTGTTCTTCCATTGTTTTTTTGTGACTGGACTTGTGATGTATCTGTGATGGACTCAACTATATCCCAGAGCTTTTCACATGAGGTTTGACAAAAACTTTCCAATTTTGTATCAGCAGGAGTCCAGAAATCAAAGTATCCATCCACCATCTGGGGGGGGGGGGGGGAGGAAGGGGGGTCTCCTTCATGTTTTCAAAAAGCCTTGACGAGAAACTAAATTTCTGTTTTACTCGGCCTAAGTCCAAATCTACAAGTCTGGTACCTGGAGGAAGCTGACTGCCAAGAGGATCAGGCTGTAGGAGCTGATGCCACCAGTCCAGACCTCGTTCAGATCTCGCTGGAGCAGGAACTGCTTCAGGACAAAGACCAGGTACGGCAGGCGCGGATACTGACGGATGAAGTCCTCGATCAGCTTGGCGCAGGCGATGCCCGACCGCATGTTGAAGCTGATGTCCACTTTGACCTTGGTCAGGTCGTCCGTCAGCTTCACGATGGGTACCTGGGAGAAGGGAAGGGGGTCGAGGGTAAGCGAGGATCGTAAAGAACAAGTTAACATTCAAACCAGTCTTTAACACAAGTTTTGCCTTGACACTTTTGCTCACTTTTTCCAAATATTTTTAAAAACATTTAATCCTCTGTCCAGCAATACATTCTCTACAAAACCCTTCAAGTGACAGATCGACTTTGTGCACATGATGTGTAACTCTGAGGTATAGAAATCAGGGTTGTTTAATTTTCGTCAAATAAACCAAAAAGGGAATGAAAAAAAAACTGTTCAATTATATTTTTTAGTTTTAATAAAAACAAGATGTTTTTCTTTTACAGTGTAGATGGTGATTTATTTTCATCTCGTAGATAACTATATAATTGGATGGCTTTGAGGGGGATACAAGAATATATTGCACTCGCTATAACAATATTGCACGATTCGAAGACAAACAAACTGAACTTTGATTTCATTTGGCGAATTAACATTTGTTCCCTGGACCCTCACAAAAAAAAAAAAAAACACATCAACATTTGCTTGATGAGAAGGCATCATTAGGTTTACTTTCTGGGCATCATTAGTATAATTGTTCACCAAAGGTTGAAAACTGCAACAAAAACAATCTACAGGCAAGACGTACTTGGCACGAAACCTTAAAACTGTCAAATCTTTAATGAGGCATCATGCTTGGTATAAATTTAGCTTGAACCTAAAAGTACATGTACATGTAACCTACATGTACATGCACGCAATCATCAGTCCAAACAACAAACTTTGTGTCTTTCATTTAAAAACTCCAGGACAAATAACATGCATTTGTTGTAAATACTTGAAGATGTTTGCAGGTTTTCAATTTCGATCAAAGGGCATCAAACTTTACAGAGAAACCAATGACTCTTGTGGATGGAAATATGCAATCACGTTAAAGTAAAAAAACTTAATGCCTCTTACTGTGCACAAATTTTGGTATTCAGGACATATTTCAAACACTGAATCCAAAATGTTTGGACTCACAAAATGCTGGAATTTCGGTGGATTTTCAATGTCCCCCTTGCTGAATGACACCAAGAATGTCAAGAAAAATGCACAATTGACTTTAAAGTTGGCCAGACTTTACTCAAACATTAAAAACCTCAGCCAAAAGATGTTGAATAAATATTTGTGTACTCGGTACAAAGTAAAACCTCAGCGCAGGCCTAGAAATCAACAAAAAAAATCCAGGTTTGTTATAATACCGTCTTTGTGCAATCCCCAGTGGATCCGACCCACGTCCCCACCTCAGCACTATAAATACATCATAAGGCCGAGAGAGAAAAAAATTGTGTGTTTACGGTTGGAAAAACGGTTAGGTTTGAAAACAATTTTATTTTGTATTTTTTTTTAATGTTCATGTCATTTTTTTATACCTTCTTTGTTTACTTTAACCCTTAAAACCTCCTCAATCCTCCGAAGGTTTTGGAGGATTTTGAAGGATTGAGGATGAATGCAACATACACTTTTGGAGGATTATGGAGGATTGAGGGTACATGGACATCAGTATCGGTTGATTTTGGAGGATTGAGGATACAACGGTATTTGAAGAAATGGATGATTTTGGAGGATTTAAGCTGAATGCATTTTGAGAGGCAGGGCTGTTGGAGGATTCTGAAGGATTGAGGCAGTGGGTATCCTCCATTTGAACATACATGTAAGTGCACAATTTGGGAGGATTTTGGAGGACTGAGGATGGTTCCTAGCAAAAAGGGCCAAGGGGGGTTAGGGTTAAGGTAACTTCAACAGTTAACCTGTTTAATGTTTGATTAACAATTAACACGGGGAAAAAAATGCATAGGGAAGGCTTTTTATTTTCAAAATATACTGTATTTCTAATTTTTGTCCAAATGTGGCAATTAAAAATCTGAGGTCGGAAATTTGGTCTGAAAAAAAAAAACCCAGGTAGGCCGGGTTACGGTAAACACACAATTTTTTTTTTTTTAGGCCTAAACAGACCAGGGATTTAGTAGCACACGTGTTAGTACTCACCGACGCTTTGTCCAACACTTTGATGGAGCCCATCTCGGCAATGTGGCTCTTCTCGAGCTCGTTGCCGATCCTGAAGTAGGGGCAATCCCCTAGGTCCCCAAACACGACCAGGTCGATATCACTGCGGGAAAGGGGGGGGGGGGACCAATAAAAAAAGAAACACAAGGGTTAATCTCCAGGACTTTTAGGCAGGCTTTCAGGTACTCTGGAATCACTTTTCACATTTTTAAGGGTTCCATTTATTTCTATTTAAACTACATTGTACATCCCGGATTACCCCTAACCTTCCCAAATCCTCCAAAATCCTTCTTGCATAAGTGGAGGATTTTGCAGGATTGAGGCTGTATGGCAAAAACATGTGGCTGATTTTGAAGGATACATGTATTGTGTCATGGTCTTAGGCCCGACCTTGTGTTGTTTATGCCAAGCCGTGCATAAATTTAGACCTAGATTACACTTGAAATCCTCCCCACTGCTCCAGGATGTCACTGGCTCAGCCTTAACATAATGACAGTGATTGCTGGAGGCTTTTGCAGGATTGAGGCAGTGGTCACCCCTCCAAGGAACACTATCAATAAATAATGGATGATTTTGGAGGATTAAGGCTGAATCCTAGCAAAAAAATTCCTTGAGAGTTAGGGTTAAAAAAAAGTATGAATAAAGAAAAATTACGACGGTTGATCTCTAGGAATTATTTCTAGGCTATTCGGTATCATGGACTTACTTTTCCTTCTTTTTTGTCTGTGTTCCATATATTTACAATTACATGAACTGAGATGTACAATGTAGGTCAACGCATAATAACTTGAATAATCTATCATGTAGCAGTGTATATGCTACATGTACGGTACCATAGGTATACTCTGACTTGCCACACACATGGCTCATTCTTTGTGGGGAAAAAAGGCCTTTTGATTTGCTCGGTACGGACTTAATAAGCCCAAAATAAAATGCTAATTTTATGAGCTTTATTGTGAACTGATTTTGTAACAATTTGGTGCAAATGCCTCAAAAAGGGCACGAAACTTTGTTATTTAACCTAACCCCCCAGAGTTGTTTACCAAGAACCTTCCTCGCTCCTACAAATTCCAACACAATGGTAAACTGTACATGAAAACTGTTGGACTCTGGTTATTGGTGGTATGCCTGACCCCATGTAAAGCGTAATCAGTTTACTTGTGCAGTACTCACTCCAACAGATTCCAACAAACCCTGGAGTTTGACTGGATGGGGATTGTTGGGGTTAATTAACAATAAACATGTGAACATATAAATATAAAAAACCTTGATTTTTGACAGAGGAGTTCGTCAAAAAGTGAACAATACTTTGAGTACGTTGTTGCACATCCACTACTGTAAACTTGGTGGTGTGTTTTGTTATGTTAATTCATTAACAAGGAATGCACAAAAGGACCAATCATGCGTTTCCAACCCTGCTGCACAAAAGCACACACCTCCAAGATGGCTGTAGTGCAAATGGTCTATAGTATTAGCAGGATGACATATACATGTACATGTACATGTGCATCACAATGTAACACAGTACAGGTACATCACATGCACAGTACATGTAAGCTATCAAGACCCCATCAGGAACTCCATGTACATGTACACATGCATACATGTACATATTTATCTACACAGCTGTGCATTGATTACAGAGCACAGTATGCAGAAGGTTACAACTTCATGGATAAAGTCCACAGTGTGCTGCTTGTATAATGTACATCATTGCACAGTCTGCACAGTTGCTATATTTACACATATGAAGATCAGTGCAGACGCATAGCGTGTGTTTATCATAAACTTTGTTGAGCTAAAAAAATATCAACTATAGTAAACAATTTGGACATAAATCCAATCCAACACTGAAATCACTGCACAACGTACGCAGGCATGCAACTTGGATTTGGAAGTAACAAAAAAAAAAAAACTACAAAAAGAGGAAAAAGCTTTTAGAAGTAAACAAGAGGAAATCAGCTCATCCTAGGAAAAGTTGCATGTTTGTGTACCGGTGCATGTACATGTATGTAAAGTTCTACACATACAAAAAGTTGTAACATAAAACGGACCCATTCATTTACAAATTATAAAAATGTGGGGTTTTTTTTGCATGGTAAAATGGATAAACTTTGATGGATTTTGTGTCTAAAGGCTTTGCCACTCTACTTACATGTTAAGTATGTAAATGAACCATGTACCAATTTTATTTGAAAATACCATACAAAGAATGTGCCATTAGCTACATATCAATAATGCGGATTCCTTAAGCCCCGCCCACTACAGTAACACACGTGGCCAATATGCAACAAGTAACACACTGTATGTTCCAAACGCGTGCGTCATACGTGCACACCATGGATAAAGAAATATAACATTTACATGTAATACTATCTTGTATACTATGGTACATGCATACATGTCAGCATTTAGTACACGCATGTCAGAATTTAGAGCACACATGTCAGAATTTAGAGCACACATGTCAGAATTTAGAGCACACATGTCAGAATTTAGTACACGCTTTTCAGAATTTAGTACGTACGCATGTCAGAAGTTAGTGCATGCATGTCAGAATTTAGTACACGTATGTCAGAATTTAGTACACGCATGTCAGAATTTAGTGCATGCATGTCAGAATTTAGTAAACGCATGTCAGAATTTAGTGCATGCATGTCAGAAGTTAGTGCATGCATGTCAGACATTAGCCCCAACCTCCCCAACTCCATCAAAATCCGTCCCCCAAATTGGTGGATTTTAGGGGACTTGGTCCTGCAGGCCTGGCTTGACTAAATATTGTTGGAGTATGATGGACTTGGGCCTGGAAGCCTGAAGCAAAGCAGGCATTGGAAGCAGAAAGCTTGATGGATTTTTGCGGACTTGGTCCAGTACAAGCGGTAGGGAGTAAAAGCGCTACTGTGAATGGTCAATATATGGTGGGCGGGGCTTGACGGATCGTCTATTTAATGGGCTAATTTGGACTTTGGAGGATACTATCATCCCCAAAAAAAAAACCCTAATGGTTTAGGGATTAATTCTAATGTCATTCTGAAAGAGTACACAAATGTCCATCCTGTTCAAACTGCGCTGTCATGTTTGTACATGACAGGCCAAGATCCTCTCACCCCGTGTACTCGACAGGAAACTGCCCAGTTTTTAGATACTCTGACAGGTAGCATGTATGGCACGTACATGTACAGCTCTCTGATGGAAACCCAGGGAAAAATGAACACTTCCCAGCTATCACTTCCTCCATGCATGCACATCCTAGTATTGCAGCTACTGGTTTTTGCTATCACTCATTTTGGTGCACAATATAAGTTTGATTCAAGGTAATTTAAGCCCAATTACCCCAAAATCCACCTGACGTATGACCTGTTAGCGCAAAATGAGCTTAAAGGGAAAATACAACATTTGCAAACATCAAAAAATAAAACTACCAAATCATTTTGAAATACCTTGCTGGACTGTTAGTGAATGACAGTGTAAAGCATCCTGTAAAATCATGGCATCTGGTATACTGTCATTTTCAAGAAAAGTGGTATTTTTGTATCAATTTCCACCGTTGGTCGGCTGACCAGCGTTGGAAAAAACTTTTTTTTTCTTCAAATACTGGCCCCAATTGACCATCGCACTTGTTTGCAATCGATTACACACCTATGAACGGGTACAAGCCAGCTAGACTGGTTCCCTGACCTTACAATTCCCCAATGTATGTAAACTGCTCTGTTTCTTCTTATATGGAGTCAGGGAACCAGACTACAGGAAAATGATTGTTTTTCTTGGTTTTTATAGCATTTTCGAACCCAAAACCTCAAAAAAGTCAGTGTAACTATATTTGCTATATATTCCCAACCCCCCAATTCCATCCATTTCTGAAAATTACAACAAAAGCAAATGATGTTTATTCCCTTTAAAGTTGGAAATTTGGGGTAAGGCCTAAATTGGATGAGGTGGTACATTTTGTTTGTTTTCAGTTGAACTTTAATCCGTAAATCCTATTTTACCTTTCCCCGCTTTTCGGCTTCATCAGACATCTTTAAAAACTATTTCACCCTGTCTATAAGTGGACTGTTCATTCACTGTACATTACACAATTGTATGATTTTTAAATGCCATTTTCTCCAGAATCAGTTTTACAACTTCAAATAAGTCGGTGGTCTATATTTCCACTACTCACTCAGTACCCCTTAATGTTGTATACCATTGGAAAGCTCTTGTTCTGCAGAATCCAGATATACAAATATCTCAATTCCTAAAAACTCTTGACTTTTAAGCTCACTTTGTGATGACGGATATATCAAACACATGTTGCCACAGTATTTTGAAACATGCAGTATTGCGCTTGCTAAGTCCCTTTTTACTGGAGGATTGACGTCCCAGTTTTGTTCGCTTGCAAAATCCCGCCCAGGCTGTTAGATTACGGCTGATTCAGGTAGCTTTCCTGTTAAGCTTCCAGAGTTATTCGGCAAATTGACATACCTTTTTCATGTAAATTATGAAAGATTCTAGTATGTATACTGCACATGTTTGTTTGGCTTCAAATTAAGAAGGATTATCTTTGTGTCACATGTAACATTTTAAGGATTTGTCATCTTATTATTTTACTTAATATTTCTGTGTTTTTTTCACTGTTATTTAAAGCACAACGTGACAATCTATTAAATTCATTAAACGACAAAAGCAACTGAAGCAGTGAGTATTTGGCCATTACTGCTTTACCAAATGTTTCATTTTGTTTTTGTTTTTTTAACTTGCAGCAATTCCTAATGGCAAATGTACATTTCACCAATTAAAACCGTTGAACAGTGCAGTGGCAACAAGTGAAGAATTGACGTCAATGTCATGGGAATCAACGATGCGCTGTTCTTTTCTCCTCTTTGCGCGCCCGACTGAGCACTCTGTGGACTGGAATGCGCAATTGTTATCTATTAAGAAAACGATAACAAAGCGGACTCCAAGGCGACTGCCGCACCAACGATCAGTCTCATGAGTCAAAGCTTCACTGGCTCTCTGACTCACTCGGTTGGTAACCCAAGTACACACAAACAGGCTTACCATTACTATGATCTGGGCAAGTTATAAAGCATACTCGAAACTCACCTGGTGGGAAGATACAGCATTGTCCGGTAGCTGCCATAGATTTCCACCTGAAAAGCAATGACAATGAACATTAGTCAACGATTTGATGACCCTAGAAAATTTAATCATATTTACTCAACTATAACAACAAACAAGTTAAAAAAAACCCTGTAAAACACAAAGAACATTTAAAATACTTTTTGGATGTTGAGTTTACCCTTGCTAAGAAAACATAACTAATAACTAAAGGACATGATTCCAGTCTCTACAAAATGTTTGATAGTTTACTTCAACACACATTGTTTTCCCTTTTTTCTTAAATTTGTTCACAAAGATGACTAGAATAACTGAAAACAATAACTATGTCCAAACAACTACATACATACATGATAATGCCACCTGAAGTCATTGTGACTTTAACTTTTTAAACCTTGTTAAATACCCGCGAGTCATGAATTGTTAAAAGATAATCTTTAAACCTAACCCTCCCAAATCCTCTTTGCAAAATGGAGGATTTTGCAGGATTGAGGTTACATGGCAAAGGTGTGTTGCTGATTTCGAAGGATGCACTTTGTCAAGGTCTTGGGCTGGACCTTGTGTTGTTTATGCTCAGCCGTGCATAAATTTAGGCCTAGGTTATACTGATGTCACTGGCTCTGCCTCAACATATTGGCAGTGAGTGTCGGAGGGTTTTGCAGGATTGAGGCAGTGGTCACCCCTCCAAGTACCAAATTCAAGAAATAATGGAGGATTTTGCAGGATTGAGGCTATGTGCTATTTTTTACATGGAGGCAGTTGGAGGATTTTGCAGGATTGAGGTTGCATCCCAGCAAAAATGCCTAGGGAGTTAGGGTTTAATTGTACAGAAGTTTCATTTTCATGGACTTCATAATTTTCCAAAATTTCCTCTCAGTAGGTTGGCATACACAGGGCTAAAATAAACACTGTATGTTACCAACCCACAAGCAGTCATGTAGTGTACATAGCCATATATGCACAGGTCTGGACAGTGCTCAGTGCACGTACAATGTACGTACGTGTACATGTAACCGTTCTGTCAATGGTTAACGCTGCACCCACTTCATGTCATTTCTCATGTAGGGGATTTCCCAAATGTGCAATACACAAAATCAGCACAATAGTGTTTTTCTTATCGGTCGCTATATAGTATTTGGTATGCACTAATGTGTATCATAATTAGAATCCTGACAAAAAAGGGCATGGAAATTAAGCATACTTTGATAGCAAAAAAACTTTACTGTTGAGTGATACAAAGCATGTGAATCTACTACGCAATATTCTTTCACTTAGCAGCTACATCAGATTTGTCCTGATCTTAATTTATTCTGATGGTTGAGGTGCTTTAGGAAAAAGCCGCCTTTCGTTTTATTACAAAATAGAAATGGCTAGCAGTAGTACAATTTTAAATTATTAAACTTCCCATTTAACAAAATTAAAAATTCCACTAAAACTCAGAAGTTGTTCAACATTTATTTCTTACTTTGGTGTTTGAATTTGGCGTCGATGAAATTCATCAAACAGATAGTCTCACACAGAAACCTCTAAACTATGATTTAACCCTCCTTTTGTTTGATCAGTCGCAGACAGTCAGAATTTCAATCCTGTTCCCCTGCCATGCCTTTTACACAGGCTAGTCACCAACAGTCAGATCATATTTCTTTGTAAGCACTGTGACATCAAATTTCATCAACAGATGAAAGAATTTAAGCAGGTGATAGGTAGGCACAGCTGGCATATCAATCACCTTCATTCAAAGCATAGCTATATCAGGTTTCATAACAATCACAGCCAGTCAATCCCGCTTTATGAAGGCAGGGAGCACTCGACTGTTATATACAGTGAAATTGCCAGCCAGAGAGGGTGGGTTTTAATCATCTGTACAAGCATGCACATTTTCAGATGAAAAAGCCCTTAAACCTAACCTTCCCAAATCCTCCAAAATCGTCTTGCTTTGGAAAATGGAGGATTTTTGCAGGATTGAGGCTATAATGGCAAAAATGTGTGGTTGATTTTAGAGGATGCACTGCGTCAAGGTCTTGGGCCAGACCATGTTTTGTTTATACTCAGCCGTGGATAAATTTAGGCCTATATTATACTTGAAATCATCCGCACTGCCCCAGGATGTCACTAGCTGTGCCTTAACATACTGACGGTGATTGCTGGAGGATTTTGCAGGATTGAGGCAGTGGTCACCCCTACGAGGACCACATTCAAGAAATACAAATGTCAAGGATTTTGGAGGATTGAGGCTGTATGCAATTTCTACATGGAGGCAGTTGGAGGATTTTGTAGGATTGAGGTTGCATCCTAGCAAAAATGCCTAGGGAGTTAGGGTTAATTAAAATAAATATATATGATGTTTTTACCCGAGCCTCTGGCCAGATGTTCTTGACGATGCCTTCTATTCTCTGCACCACTTCTCTTCGCATGAGATGCTCCTCGGCGCGGGGTAACATGAACAAGTAGAAATCGTGAATCTCACGACTCAGTCTGTGTATATAAAGTGGAAAATATAAATATACAAAAATTGACAGATAAATTTCATGGTAAATCTAATGTCTGAGAATTGTGGTATACAAGACATGAGTACCAAGTCCATCAAAATCCACCTATAGCAGGGGAGGGTTTGTGGATGATTTCTGCGGATTCGGTCCTGAAGCATTATGTGAAGCAGAGTCAGTGATGGATTTTGGAGGACTTGGTACTGGTCTAGGTAAAACTAAGTAGGGAGTTTGGGTTAAAACCAATTTAACAGATGCCATTACTTTTAGTTTTAGGCCTGTGCGAGTAGTGGATTTTCCTACTCGAGTTTTCACAGAGAAATAACTCATGATTTGTCGAGTACTTGCAAGTAGTTCACTAAATTACCATAAAAACAAATCAAAATTGGCATAAACATTACTAAGAAGGAAGTTACTACGAATAAAAAGCGTGGAAGACACACCACATTCTTCAGCACTGAGATATATCCTTACTTTGCAAAATTTTGGCTCATTTTACTTGAAAATGTATTTGTTGAAAGTGCTAGTGGAATCCCAAGGAAACAGATGGAGGTAGTGATTCCTTTATTGCGGGGGACGTATTAAGACAAAAGACAAGTTTGGCGCAGAAACCGCGAGCATTAACTTTTTTTAAGTCAGGACTTGTAAACGAAAATTGATACTCGGGAGTACCTACTTCTACTGGCGCCAGGATGAGTACTCGAGTAGATGAAAAACCATGAGTAGAACGACTACTCGCACTACTCGCAAGTTCTCGTGTACTCGGTATAGTCGCCCAGCTAGGGGAAATTATATCTTACAGATTTAGTTTGTTCATCCAGTACAATCTCTGAGAGCTGTTGTTTGAACTAGGTATACAGAGTATGCATAGATTTATATGCATTTTAAATGAATTTAACAAAGAAACCCCATCTGACAGGCACCTTTTGAGGGTGCATACATTTACATAATACTAATGCATATTCATTATGGGGCAGGCTGGATCATTTTGTATGCGAGCCATTGAGGTGGATGTTTCATAATCTGCCAAGTGACAGGTCACGGTTATGTAACATTTACAATTCAGTGTGTTATCTTTTGTTGTTAATCTGAACGCTAGAATGCTTTGTCAGTTTTTGATAATGAGCAAAACCTGATAAAAATTCGTAGAAATGGCTTGTATCCGTGTACACAGTGAGTCACTCAGTTGCGACAAAAAAAATATGACAGCATCATGCCATTCCAACAAAATGCTAACGATCCAATTAGCAGAAGTAATCCCAACAAAATCTGTAACATTAGTATGTTCCATGGGCAGACAATGTATTTGGGTCAGTTTCTACAATGTACTGTATATCTATGGTATCTCATATCAGCAAATTATTCATGTTTTACAGCACAGTAACAAGATGCATCTAGGCCTATGTAGTTCTGATCTGGGATTTAAATCTGGATGTTTTAAAATGCGATTGGAATTCCAGTATGCGAATTGGAATATCCCCAAATTTGCTCCACTGTCTCTGATTGTACATGTAACTGCATTCACTCGCAAGTACCAGTCTTGATACATGTATGAAAAGCCTGCCCATTTAAAATCAGAGAGTTCCCACCCAATTTTTTGGAAAAAAATGTTGTAATCCGATGCCACTTTTTTCTTCATATATCATCTCAATGAAGGTCAGTCACTGCAAAAACAATGATAAGACATGAATCTGGGACTGAGAAACATTTCCAAATTTGTTAGGAAATTTTCTTTACTCTCTACAACTACTGAAGTGGCGTCAGGTTGCAACATTTGATTCCCATTTTATTCCAACATTACAGCTCTGGACAGTGTTTTTGTAAAGGCCCAGTGGTCGCTGAATCCAGTAAAATAAAGCCATTCATTCGGAACGGGATGGCATTGCACGCAGCACTTCACCCGTCACTTTTTGCTGGCATGACTGTGGGCTGGATAGGTACTTCCGGTAAAATTGGATAACCGTTATTCAGTTTGAAAAAAAGTGGGATAAATGGATTTTCAAATCTCTGATTTCTCTAACCACCACAAGTACAATGGGTTACCCTACAATGTATGTCATTTTCTTTGTTACAAACGCAGCTGGAAATGTTTCATAGCATTAGCAGTTATGCTTCATGCCAAATCTTATGTTATTTACAATAAAACAATCTAGCAATTTCATTATTAAAAGATAGTGGATATTTTGCCGGAGGTAATGACGGCAAACTAACGATTACTAAAGGTTTGCCGGCGGCAATCCATATCAACAGAGGGCGCTGTACTCTTTAAAATAGGGCTGAATTATAAGATGTATTAAATTCCCACAAAAAGTTGTGTAGCACGTTTGGTGTAGTGGTTAAGCAAAGGCTTTATTAAGTGGGATGACTCGCATTTGATTCCAACCGCACCACATTTTTAAGTGTTTGTTTTCTCATCCCCAAATAAATAAGAATATTCTTCTTTTATTATTTTAACATGTCTCAAACATTTTTTGCAGAGTATTACATTGTCTTTTTCAGATTTGTGGCTCTGGAGGATTTTTTTTAAAAGGGAAAAAAAGTCCGAAATTATAAAATGGTCTGAATCCCATCTTGTGAATACGAGGTAACAACGATAATTTTGGCATGGAGCCAGGCTAAAACTTGTCACCGGAAAATGTTAAAGTACAAAAAAACAGTAACTGCGCATGTTCAGTGCATATCCGGCAAACTAACGTTTACAGTAAAGGTTTGCCGTCTCCGGCAAAATATACACTGCCTTATTAAAACTTTTTACTCAGTTTCCTCCCAATATCTTTAGTGCATGGACTATTTTAATTGCATTTTTAATTTATATATTTTGTTAACAATAACAGATGTAGGTAGGCCTAGTAAGTAGTAGACCTATATGCACAGCCTGCAGCCACAGGTCTACTTTATTTTTAAAATTTAAAGTTTCAATATATGCTGCAATATCCCCCGATTCATTTAAATAGGGTTTCAACCAACAGGCAACAACTTAAAAACTGGTCAAAATATTTCACTTTGGAACAAAATTTTCCAAACAAAACAAAGTCAAATCCAAACAAAACATGCAGGGCATTGTTGACATGTCATTGTCAACCGTTTCTACTTTGAAAGATTTTCCACAATATTTCCTCAAGTAGGCCTAGTCTAATTTGTTAATTATTTGTATTTCTGCAGTAAGAGAGAATGGCCATCATCAAACCGTACCCAAGTCCGACATTGTGGTTAGTCAAGTCCGGGTACGGTGACCCGAGTTGATTGCCAACATTTCGCCTTGACCACCACGGCGTTCCGCCGTCTCGAACCTTGCCCGAACTGTTCCAGTCGTAGGTGCTGGCTAGATTGTCTTTCCGCCGCTTGTTGAACAAATTATTGCTGCTCACGTTAGTCCTTTCCCCGTTGTGGTAGCCGTGATTCACGGCTGAACGTTTCGTGGCCAAATCGACCCCGGAGTCCCCGTGCAAAGGGATAAAATCCTGGGTGTCCCGAGAGGGGAGGGTACGAGTTCTGGCATCGTTATCGTGCACATTCCCATCGCCATTGGCCGATTTGCCGTCGCCCATTTGAAGGTCCCGAAGACTCCGGGTAGCGCTGTTGAAAATGTTCGTCCAAAGTTCCGTTGCGGGTCCAAGTTGCTCGGGCTGGTACCAGGTGCTTCTTGGATCCATCCAAATGTCCTCACGAAGGTGAAAGCTGGAAGCAACTGGAAGGCAAATTCGGCGAAGATTTTGCGGCTCCAATCCCTATTTCCATTCGGCAGACAGTCGGCAGATGTTCTTCACCTTTCGAATTTACAAGATGGCGACCGCAAATGAATAAATACCAAAATTTCAATATTAATAGCATGTCGTGAATATTCATCATGTTATCACAGACATGCGCATGCGTACTCTCTCACGAGCGCAAGGTTGAAAATCATTTGCATGACAATCAACGAGCACAAAGAGGGCGCTATTAAACAAGTCCGTAAAGTTGACAGGGATATTACAAAACCTCGGCTTCGTCTCTTCAGATTTGGCTTCAAAAGATATTTGGCCTTTTTTGGGGGACTACATCTCAAAGTGGGTACACGTTTTACCTCAAAACAAAAATATCCTTCAACATAAGGCTGAGGGTAACAGTATATCTATATGGTTTGGTTATTAAAGGATTCTGTAGCCAGAGATGAAGCCGAACTAAAAACAAGGCCGGGGTTTTGAAAAAGTCTACTGTATAGTCGTCAGTTGAACATTTTGTATCCAATTTCCAAACCCTGGTAAGATATTTTGGAACCCCAAACTAAATTATGAGATTATGTTACAAAAGCCAGTAGTGATAAGGATTGAAGAATATCCCCCCCCCCCAAAAAAAATATCCCAAGAACACAAAATTGATCAACAATAATCTTTCATATTATCAAGGACAACCCAAAGAAATAGGACCCGAGTCCAATTTTGGTTCAGATGCATTTTCTGTTAATATTTGTAATAAACCGAGACACAGAAATGTATAAAAATATAAATACATGTACATGTATATAAAATGTACAAAATTATGTAGATGTTGAATCCACAGCTAAGTAATGAAAACATATGAAGCAATACAAGTATGATTTCAAAGCAAGTACGGTTTTACATGGGAACATGAAAAGCTTCCTTTAACCACCCCCCCAAAAAAAAAAATCAAAATGTTATGAGGATATTCAAGCAGCCCTTGCCTATAATTTCTCATGGCATCACTGCAACATATACAACATTTGCAAACATAACAAAAAAAACCTACCAAATTATTGTGAAATACCTTACTGGACTGTTAATAAATGACATTCTAAAGCACCTGTAAAATCATGGCACCTGGTGTGCCAACATTTTCAAGAATAGTGGATTTTTTGTTTCAATTTCCAACGATGGTCAGCCGACCATCGTTGGAAAAAAAATGGCTTTTTTTTAAAACTGCTTCCCCAGATGTACCAAATTTAGGTATAGGCCATCAGCCTCAGACCAAAATTTTGGCCACCGGTATCAAATGAGGGGAAGAATCGTCATAGCGATTTTTGGCAAGGTATACACCTCCAGAGTTGGAAAATATGTGAAAAAGCATTGCAGCGGTGGCAGCATTTTGGGTGTTATCACCATTCATGCTTGCATGTGTCCACTCTGGGGGCGGTATACCTTGCGCATATATGCGCACAATAATCACTTATGCCCTGATTTGATACTGACCAACCCCCCCCCCCCCCAGCTGATGGCCTATTAGTTCACATTTTGTATGTGATCGGTTACACATCTGCGAACGGGTACAAGCCAGCTAGACTGGCTCCCTGACCTTAGAATTCCCTGATGTCTATAAATTGTGCCACTTCTTCTGAGGTAGGGTCAGGGAACCAGACAAAAGGAATATAAATTTTTTTGGGGGGGGGGGGTCCAAAATCTACAAAACTTTAAAAAGGTCAGTGTAACAAAACATGCTATAAAATACTAACCCCTCCAAATAAATCCAGCAAAAGCAAATTGACTTTTCTCTGGTGTCAGTTTGGGTTGGTTTTAACTCAAACTCCCTGAGTCTGTTAACCGATGTGGAATCCAAGCCTAATTTACAACATCCTGTGAGAAGCCCTTGGCAACTCAAGTGACAGATGAAAAGTAAGTTAAACAAAAGTCAGGTGACACATGACACTGCGCATGACAGGTGACAGGTCAAGGGGCATATGGTAGGTCGGGTGACAATGAAGCTGAGGTGACACATTACAGCTCAGATGACAGCTGACAGCTCAAATGGCAGAGGCTGGCTCAGGTGACAGGTGCCAGGTCAAGTGGCATATGGTAGGTTAGGTGACTGATGACAGCTGAAGTGACAGATGACATACTACTCGAGTGACAGGTAACAACTTAGGTGACAGATCTCAGCTCAACTGGGATGACAGCTCAGTTGACAGATAACAGCTCAGATGACAGATGACAGCTCAGTTGACAGATGACATTTCAAGTGGCAGATGACAGTTCAAGTGACAGATGACAGCTCAGCTGACAGATGACAGCTCAGTTGACAGATGACAGCTCAATTGACAGATGACAGCTCAGTTGACATGGCAGCTCAAGTGACGGATGACAGCTCAGATCAAAGATGACAACTCAAGTGACAGATTACAGCTCAGGTGACAGGCCAAGATGATAAACTCCAAACTCGGGTGACATGCTTTAGGTGTAATATGACCTCGCAGGCGACATATGACCTCTCAGGTTACAGACGATGACTGACCATCAGCTGATGTCCTATGTTGGAAGAAGGCCTTGATGTTACTTGCCTTGGTTCTACCGACCACCTCAGTCAACTCCTACGCACACAAAAAAGGTACAACAAATGTTTCTTTCCTTCAACATCTTTTGAGAAACATACATCTTTCAAGAATTCATCCTTTCTGTGATGTCTGTCTCAGTTTGTCATGGTAACCACAATCGAAATTTGAACACTAATTTGTTTTTGTTTTATTGGATTTATTCATAGTATTGCTAACATTTATGTTGAAATCAAGGTTATGGACAATTAAATGTGCTAGTCTTAAAGCTTGCCCGTAGAGAGACAAAACATTTTACTTTAAATAAGTAAGATTTGAGGCTTTGCATGGTGGAGATAATGAATAATGAAAGGTTTGCAGAAACACCATGTGCGAATGATTTCTCAACTAAGAGAATGGTTCTGAAAAGAACCCGAGGTATAAACTCGACGTTCTGGTCAGTATGCTCTGACCGTCTTTTACTTTAAAAATTGCATTTTTTTGTTTTTAGGTTTCTTTGTAACTTCTATTTAGATTGAGTTTATTTCTAAGGAGGGGGAAGGGTTACTGACCTGCTCGGAAGCATTACCGATTCCTTTAATGCTTCTGAATCTCTGCAGTAAGACCTTGGCTTTGACTGGGCCCACATTGGGGATGAGATGTACTGTCGCTAGGACGCCGGCGTCGATGGACTGTTTGCGTCTCTTGACGAGGAAAGGGTTGGCATGCGGTTTGTGCTCTTCATTCACCTTGGGTTCAGAGTTCAACAAATTCTTTTCAAAAATGTTTCACTCACAGTAACACTCAGTAACTCTCCTGTTGTCTGAACAGTCAAAGACAGTCAAAAAAATCAATCCATTCTCCTGCCATGCCTGTATACATGGGCTAGTCACCAACAGTCACATCGTATTTCTGATAAGCACTGTGACAAGTCAAATTCCATCAGCCAATAAAAAGCAAGTAACTGGTAGGTACAGCTTGCTAATATCAATCACCTACAGTCAAAGCAAAGCTGTATCAAGTTTCACTAACAGTCGCAGCCAGTCAATCTGCTTTATCTAGGCGGGGAGCTCTTAACTGTTACAGTCACATTCTTCTTTTACTACTCGGACAGCTGTGTTGGCAGAGAGGGAGAATTAACTAATACATTTACTGCATTTACTTTGCTACAAGCTGGAATTCAATTGGTAAATATAGGGTTTGAGGTTTTACAACAATTCACACTTAAAGTGAGAAAAGTTTCCTGATTTTGTGTCAAGATTTTAATATTGGATGCTGCCCTTCACTGTCATATTTCTTGGTACTGTTCAGGAGCTTGTGACAAACAAATCTGAAGTATATGCCCTTTGCTAGGGCGTAACTCGAACCAACAAATTCATTTAACTTTTGACAAATTTGTTTATGGTTAACTTCCTACTTCCTCATTTAAATACCTTAACCAAAACAAAAACAAAAACCCAAAAAACAAATTCTGTCAGTGAAGGTCAAAAATCTGTCAGAAATGTCCTGATTTGTTACCATTTGGATGAGAAGATTGGCGGCTTCCGTCTGAGACACGACGAAGAGCATCTTGAGTCCCAGCTCCAGACTCACAAACTTCTGAAGATCTGCGTAGTACTGCTCGCTGATTGGGGTGCGTTCTGCTACGACGACGCCTCTGAGACTGTTGGCCTGAGGAACAGGAAAACAGAAGGGGGATTGAAAGGGTCAGATGATTGTCAACTTTTGACGTCCATTTTTTGTTACTTTTTTTTGATCACTTGATAAAACGGTGAAGTAAAAAAGGCATTCATGTTTAGTGTCTGCTCGCTTCCTGTTTTGGCAGCTGCCTGGATTTTTTATTTTAATTTTACCAACAGGAAAATGAGGTGAAAATAAAACACAAATGTCAACTGATCCATTGGAGCTTCTAATTTCAGACTGTCGGTCACATTCCACATCATGCAGTCGACCCTGCGATCTCCAGTCCAAACCAGCCTCGACTCCATGGGCTGCGTGCGCGTTCCTTACTAAAAAATGATCACTGATAGCGTCAAGACGTCTTTCAAGATCGAGCCTAATTTTGTTACTGCACGATGCAACAACTGTGATGATGTATAGACTGGTTCCTGTTTGTAAACACAAGCGCATTTCGAACGACAACAGGGAGTCGGGAACTAGGGCAGCTTGAACTGGTTTCCGCTGAACTCTCCCTAAAATCCTTCAAAAATCCTGCACAATATCCTGAAGGATTTTGAAAAGACGTTGGAAGGTTAGGTTTAAAGGGAATATACATCATTTGCTTTTACTGTAATTTTCAGAAATGGATGGAATTGGGGGGTTGGAAATATATAGCAAATATAGTTACACTGACTTTTTTGAGGTTTTGGGTTCGAAAATGCTATAAAAACCAAGAAAAACAATCATTTTCCTGTAGTCTGGTTCCCTGACTCCATATAAGAAGAAACAGAGCAGTTTACATACATTGGGGAATTGTAAGGTCAGGGAACCAGTCTAGCTGGCTCGTACCCGTTCATAGGTGTGTAATCGATTGCAAACAAGTGCGATGGTCAATTGGGGCCAGTATTTGAAAAAAAGCCAGTTTTTTCCAACACTGATCGGCCGATCAGCGTTGGAAATTGATACAAAAATACCACTTTTCTTGAAAATGACAGTATACCAGGTGCCATGATTTTACAGGATGCTTGACACTGTCATTCACTAACAGTCCAGCAAGGTATTTCAAAATGATTTGGTAGTTTTATTTTTTGATGTTTGCAAATGTTGTATTTTCCCTTTAATGTTGAATGAGCAGAATCACATAATCACAGTCACACAATCTGTTTTATACACACACAAAAAAGGCAACGCTTCTCCTGTGACCTAAGGCTGCTCCAAATGTCTTGGCTATGGCTTAATTACACATGCGCCTATGGAAGCGGCTTAAGCCACTTCCCATAGACACATGCATTACTTTCAGCCGCAGCCGTGTAATTCAGACAATACTGACGTACTGACCTTCCTGAGTTTAGCTAGTTTCTGTTTGTAGCCACTGCCGGCCACCAAGTCCGTCTCTGAGATGTACACCACGCCGGCTTCATTGGACGGATGGAAGTCTATCACACCAAGCTTATCCTCCATGATAACTTTCAATTTCCCTGAAAAAAAACATAAATAAATAAAATTTCAAAACAAAAGTTGTATTTCTCGATTGTAATAAGTGAAAGTAGCATTTTGCAATTAGACATGAACCCTTTTAAGTTTCAGCACTGTCTACATTTTTTTTTCAGTTTAAATGTACATTTCAAAAAAATTGCCCCAAGTTTCCACATTATTTAAAACCCATAAAATTAGTATTCAGATAAAAAATATACCATGTTGTGCAATTTTAAGACACCGGTTCTAGACAGAATCATGAGGTATCAGTAACATTTTTAAGGTATTTGCTGACAAAAAATGTATCGATTTCTCAGTCCTATTTTTTTGTTCTCTTTATCCTATGATACAGAGGGTGACATATTTGTATGGCGAAAAACTTCAAAAGGGGAGAAGGGTTACTGCATAATTTAGGAACAATTTTTTCAAGGTTTTTCCAATATCCATTTACCATAGCCAAGTGTTGCCAAAATATTGACAATTACCTTGCAATGTGTTGACCAATTCCGATCCTTTCCATCGTTGACTAGTGACAATGCACCCCGGTGGTACACGGCCGCCCTCGTTGACTGGAGTGCACGGTATCTGAGACAGCTGATCGACGCTGGCTCTTCGAGATGACGACATCTTCAATACACTCAAATCCTTTCACCGTCTCTCATTTTAATTGTTGTTCATGTGAAGCCATGCATTAAGTCTACGGAATGGATTGGTGAGATTTAAACATGATGTTGATAATGTTGAAAGTTAGTTAGGCCTATCAAAAGTTCAATGCAGAGGCTATCGTTATGGCAGCCGTAACGCGATTTCCAACTGCTGTCATAACGGAAATGTTTGGTTCCCTAACATAATAAAAAAATTCTCCAAAGCCACTGATTTCAATGAAGAAAATGAACTCTAATTAGCATGACTAGAGTTAGACCCGTGAACGTGGCTTGTAAACTACGCCACGATGTTGTCTATTTTCGAACATGGCGAACGTGTCCCTCTGACTCCCTCCATTACACACACTGGACGTTATTTTGCCCATGTAATAAGTACTCACATATGAAGCTGTCTTGAATTCTATTTGTACGTCAAAACTTGCATTTGACGAAAATTGAGGAAAATTCTGGCCCCGGTTCATGCTAGCTGCCATTTTCTCCCAACTGACACATGCGCATTGCGTTTTATTTTCGTATGATCCGACGGCTGTTTACTGTCGCAGCTAAAACAGACATCGTTTTAGACAAGTTTCAAGTCCTTTCCTCTCTCACCGCACCGCACGCGGTCACACGTGCGCCCGCGCCGCGTGTGTGTGCGTGCACACCATAGAGCTATATAATGCACACACGTACTTTGTACACGAGATGAGCCGAGCAGCCAATCGTCTGCGGGGTTTTTGTTTCGGGGTTGTGACATGAAACAGCCGTCAATCTGTCCAAGCGACTCAGACGCGTCCGGGGTTATTTGTCAGGGTCCGGTTAAAATCTAATTTCTACACGTTCGTATGGGTCTTTACTGATGGGCAAATTTCGTCGAAATTACACAGCCGAAACAATCGGACGGGCAAATTTAGATTTCTAGGTGAGTACTCAACACCCATACGGAATTATGTATGTCGGATCGATTTCGCCAGGTTCGAAATGAAACAAGAACGTGGCGTTGTATACAACGCCACGTTCACGGGTCTAGACTAGAGTAAGGCCAAGTCTAACTAATAAAAAGAACGGAAAAAATGTTGCAACCTGACGCCACTTTTGTCTTCATATATCATCTAAATGAAGGTCAGTCATTGCAAAAATGATGATAAGACATGAATCTGGGACTGAGAAACATTTCCAATTTTGTAAGGAAATACTTAGAAAATGTTCTCGACTCTCCATAGACATTGTACACAACCCTAGGTCAGGTTGCAACATTTTTTTTCCCAACTTGAGTTAATTCAGTAATAAAAATATTCATGCATATCAAAATGAAATACTATTACTAAGCACGCACTTTCTTTATTTTGCTAACCAAAAAAAGCTGTCTTTATGTTCTAGCTAGGCCTCACTTACTGTCAAGAGACATCATATCGATCGCAGTAAGATTCCGGCACTGATAGTGATGGATTCCCGGTTTCGTTCTTTCGCGGGACTTTTTGTTTTGATGTAGCGCCCTCTATGAATCACTTCTGTCCAGTTTAATTATGTTTTCATAAAAGTGTATTTTATTTTAACCTTAAAAAAAAATGTTATCATTATTCAATTTTTTGTTTGACAATTTTGATTTAAAAAGAAATATATCATTTAAATAAATGGATAATTAAATTTGAAATGAATTTTTAGAAACATATATTTAGAAATATTTGTTGTAGTGATAAATACGTGATTATTAAATACACCGGCATTGATTTCGCGCGCTGAATTTGACACGTGATTGATCGTGCACTGTCGACTGAAAGTGAACCGCGGGAAACAGATCTCGGAAGAAACACAAGGGGTTCATCGTTTGTCCGTAAATTTGGTAAGAATTTGTATTAATAACTATTTTTTAAAGAAAGTTTTTGCAGAATTCCGGTTATGGGGAAGTTATACGTCGTGTTTGGTTGCAGAAATATATCTGGGATTTTTGTTTGCAGTGTTTGTGGCGTGTCATTGATTATGGACATTTGATTTAAATGCCCTGCCTGTCAACAATGAATGTCATCATCAGATCATGCATCAACTTATCAATATCATTCATTGATGATTTTGTCGAACTTTTTGTGAAGTGCCTGTGGTAGTACAATTGACAAATATAACTTTCCTAGATTCATCTAGTAGTAGGCCTACGTATATTCAGTGATCGTGTAAGAACACTTGAAACATTAAACCTTAATAATAAATCATGTAAATGGAAATCTGAGACATTTTCATTGAATTTAATTAGCCGAATGTAACTTGTATTTTGTAACTTTTTGCAAGGTTTTGTTGAGGGCAATTTTGACATATCGCGCAAATTTGAATGTGCGCACACAGATTTCAGATGTACACGATTGAGTAAAATTTATCTTGCAATTGATGTTTGCGCGCGCACATATTTATGTGCAAGGGGATACTATCGCAAAGTTGATCATGTTGCGTGCTAATTTTGATCCTATCCTGATTTTGTGTTGAGGCCCAAAAAAATGGTAATAAACTAATTAATTTATATTTGCAGATTTTCTTTACTTTCCTTTACTTTCCCCCCAGAAAAGCCAGCAATCTGCAGTAAAATCGTCTGCCATGTCTTCACCGAGCAGTTCAGCCGGCGGCAGCCCGCGGAGTCGTCGCACCAGCAAACGCAACCGTGCTGATGATGACGCCGACGTAGACAAGACGCCAAGTAAGCGAGGGCGCAAGGGGAGCCAGCAGAGCGAAACACCCTCTCGGAGAAGCACCAGGGTGGCTGCTGATACCCCAGGAGGGGCAAGAACACGTAAGAAAACAATTAAGCCAAACCCGTTACACCCCAACTAGGCCATCGGTCCCAACTAAAGCTGGGACCGTCCTAACTAAAGTTTTCCAGTTGGGTATTAGCATGCACATACGGAATGGTATGTAAATGTACATCCTCTAACGTGCCACGCATGAGCACGGAGTAGCGGCGTCCCAGTTGGGCTGGCCCAACTGCAGCACTTTACTTGGGACGATCCCAACTTAAGTTGGGTCGGATGGTAAAGTTGGGGCATAAAACAGACCGAAAGGATAACACTATGGAAAGAATGTTGCAACCTGATGCCACTTCAGTGGTTGTGTACAAAGTTTATGGAGAGTCAAGAAATTTTTCTAAGTATTTCCTAACAAAATTGGAAATGTTTCTCAGTCCCATATTCATGTCTTATCAACATTTTTGCCAGGACTGACCTTCATTGACATGATATATGAAGAAAAAAGTGGTGCCAGGTTGCAACATTTTCTTTCCAAAACTATTGCCCTTTTATTGAATTACTGACTATAAATAACTTGGCTTAGTTAGAATAAATTCACTCAAATAAATTTCAACTAGAAAATTGGGCCTTGTCAGCACTGGGGTCACTGATATGCCTGCCATTTTTTTAAAAATAATACAAGACTAGACTAGACTAGTCAATTTGTACCCGAAAGTCGCAATTTAGGAAATTATCAGTGAAACTCGGTCAGTCGGTCAAGTAGTGACTCGGTCAATCAGAGGACAATGATCTGACCCCTCAGGTAATAACTCTACGACGAAAATTTTAATTTCGATACTGAGTTGTGGATCTTCATAAGGAAGTTTGTATTTTTGTCTTTGTGACCCAGCTACCAGTCGAGCCAGCAAGCGCGGCAGTGCAGCCTCCTCACCAGCGTCTCAGGCCGGTAGGCCATTAGACTCCTCCCCCAGTGGTGACCTACGACCTATGCCTTCCTCTCCGGCATCCGGTGGGTTGCAGGATAACTCGGTGTTTTCGAGCCCCGGCCTCTCCAGAGCAGGTGAGATCTCAAAAAAGGTCCCTCCCCCACAATCATCAGCTATTTTCTGGCATCAAAAATTTAAAAGATAAGAGATTTTAAGACCCTGTTTTGGGGGACTCTGGTTCAAGACAGGGCCATTTCATTTTGTTTCAGTAACATCAAATCCTGATTAAAGAAAAACCTAACCGCCCTGAATCCTTCAAAATCTTCTTTGCCAAAGTGGAGGAAGTTACATGGCAAAAGTGCGTTACTGATTTCGTAGGATGCTCTTTGTCAAGGTCTTGGGCAGGACCTTGTGTTGTTTTTGCTCAGCCATGCATAAATATAGGCCTGGATTATGCTTGAAATCCTCCGTACTGCTCCACGATGTCACTGGCCAAGCCTCAACATTACTGACAGTCACTGCCGCAGGATTCAGGCAGTGGTCACCCCTCCACGGACCATATTCAAGAAATAATGGAGGAATTTGCAGGATTGAGGCTATATGCTATTTTTCCATGAGGCCAATTGGAGGATTTTGCGGGATTGAGACTACATCCTAGCAAAAAGGTCAAGGGAGTTAGGGTTAATTGAAGCCTAAGTATCGAGTATTTCAGTTTGCTTTTAGACATGAAAGGCTTTTTTAATGATTCTGTTTCTAGAGATGGAGCCGAAGTCGGACTTCAAAGCTGGGTTAGGAAAAACCAAGAATATGACACACTTGTTAAAATAATTGGCATACTGCAGCCAACTAGTTTTTTTCCGAAACTGTTACATAGCTTTTGTATCTTCTTTGCAGATTTTCAAAACAAAATGTTGAGCTTAGGGGTAAAAAAATGTTAGTCAACTGTTAATTTTTTTTATGTTTGTATTCAGGTACTAGCGATATCGGGATGAGTTCCCCTCTCAACTACGGCACACCAAGCTCTCGGATGAGTGGAACTCCTGGTCGTATGGCGTATCCTTGTTACAATACTTTATCACTTCTTCTGTCAGAAAAGGGATGGTATACAAATAATGAATGTTTATGAGTGCAATGGCAAGAATATTTTCATGAGGTGACAGATGGAATGTTCCATTCCACGAGGCGAAGCGAGGGTTTTATGTTCTACTGTTTAAATCAATTCATAAATACCTCAGACAGTTTAGCTATTCCTATTGGTCGAGAGCCCGTCACGTGGCTGGTCTTAAACGGATGATAAAGACATGGCTAGCTGGTCTTAAACACTTTTCCAGTGTCACAACAAAATGTGGACTCCTAAAAATCCAGTGCCTCTTACCGTCTCATTGGTTGAACGTTCACAATCCTCACGTAGGCATGCGCAACACTACATGCGAGTCAGAATTTTATAGTTCTAAATTCAAAACGCAACGCCCCAGGTGCGTTCTGCGTGACATCGCGCAGAACATGCTACGCGCGCGTCAATCTCCATAAAAGGGTTGTTTACAGCTTAATCGCCAGCTGAACACTCCATTATTTTGCTAGAGGGATGTTTCAAAAAGAATGAAGTGAACTTGTTGAACAATTCGGGATTTTTTGAACGAATTATTTGATATTTTTTTACGGATAAGGTATTTATGAATGGGAATAAATATGTGCTCGGTCGGTATTTATCACTCTGTTTAATACCGCTTAGAGTCTGGGTGCTGATAATTACCCTCGCCTCCGGCTCGGGTAATTATCAGCACCCAGACTCTAAGCGGTATTAAACAGAGTGATAAAAACCTCTCGAGCACACATTTATTCCCTTAGGAAAGGTACAGCTGGTCCTAGAGTGCACAAAACTATGCATCTGGTCCACTTAATTGGTTGGATTTAGCCCACTCATTGGCATGGGGGTAATCCTATATGATGGCACTGCCCAGCTCTCTTTGCAAGTTTATAACCTGTCTCAGTCGCAAGGGAGGTCATTCAGTCGGTCAGAAATTGAAAACTTTGCCTTAACCCTTTTGAAGTGGCACGCCTGTGAGACCTCGCAACGACATCACCAGCAATCGTAAGATGCGGCAGGTCAACTTACAGTCGGATCCATCGGTGAGTGATCATGGATTCTCCTCATGAATGAAACCATTATCTAAATCAGTTAGGGGAGTGGCTATGCAAATAATGATTTAAATATTCACAAAATATGTAAATGAGCTTTACTCATTGGCTTATTTTTCAAATGAAAACCTTCAACTCATGCTTGCAAGAGAGCAACTGCATTCGGGAAACATAATCTACATCCAGTCTTGGGCCAAACTTTTGTGTTAAAGGGAATGTACATCATTGGCTTTTGCTGTAATTTTCAGAAATGAACTATTTGAGGGATAAGTATAATAGATCAAATATTGTTACACTGACATGTTTGAAGTTTTGTGTTCGAAAATGCTGGAAAAACCAAGAAAAACAAAAATTTTCAAGTAGTCTGGTTCCTTGACTCCACTAAAGATAAAATGGATCAATTTATAAATGCCGAAAAATTGTAAGGTAAGGGAACCAGTCTAGCTGGCCTGCACCCGTTCATGAACATGTAACCAATAGCAAACAAAATTTGGACTGAAAAAGTGTAAAGTTGGAGCAGTAGTTGAAAAATAGTTAGGTTTTTCGAACGGTGGTCGGCCGACCACCGTTGGAAATGTATACAAAAATACAATTTTCTTGAAAATGACTTCACACCAGGTGCCATAATTTTACAGGATGCTTTAGACTGTCATTTACCAACATCCTAGTAAGGTATTTCGTAAAAACTTGGTAGTTTTATTTTTCGATGTTTGCAAATGTTGTATATTCCCTTTAACAGAAGCCTGAAGACCCATTTTCAAGCCAACAGTTTTTCAAAAAAAGTTAACATTTATTTTCCAGGGAGATGGCTCGGAGCCCACCGCGGCAGTGACCAGCGAGCAACCGGGCGGTCCCCAGCTGGTCATCTGGGGCACCAACGTGGTGGTCAGCGAGGCCAAGTCCAAGTTCACCCGCTTCATCCAAAGGTTCATCGACCCCGAGGCCGAGGAGGCCGAGGGCATTGACCCCAACGAGCCCCTGTACCTGCAGAAACTGGACGAGGTAAAAATTGAGGCAAACTTTGGGGATGTGAAACCATTGCGTTTCTCCCTCCTTATCAAGCGGGGAGTGTTTTAACCAATGGTCTTACAATGCATACCTAAGAACGGTGCTCTTCCTTGTTAGCAGGAATGCTTGACAAACCCTCAACACTGCTCCAATCTGAAAAAGTAAGGGCCACATGAAATCATGCAATCATTTTGAATTTCTGGGAAACTTACCACCCATAAATTTGTCTTTGTTACAATGTGCAAGCTATTAGCAACCAGTGATGTGGCCAACCCTCAGTAGGCAAATTCCGAGTAGTTGACTACTCTAGTCCAACTATAGTCGACAAGCTTCAAACACTGTGTGTGGTTAACGATAGTTCATACTCCAAATTGGACGGCATTCACTGTTCAAGAGCTTCCAACATGATCGTCACGCCTCATGCAAATTTAAGTTGTTCTTAATTAATGACCACCTCTGAGGGAAGCTCTGTTAGAAATACTACAAATACTACAAATACTAGAATTAGTAGAAATCATAGTTGAATATGCACAAGGTGTGACAATGTCCTTTTGGTTGTTCTCAACAAGTGCTTACCCTTCAAATTACTCATATTTCTTCCTTTTTTTCCCCAATTGTACAGATCAATACTTTGGAGCTTCCCTTCCTGAACATCAACTGCCAGCACTTGAACCAGTTTGACGTGGATCTGTACCGCCAGCTGGTCTGCTACCCGCAGGAGGTCATCCCGACCTTTGACATGGCTGTCAACGAGATGTTCTTTGAGCGCTACCCCGACACTACACTGGAACATCAGATCCAGGTGCGAACCTACAACACGGAGAAGACCAAGAACATGAGGTCACTCAACCCTGAGGGTAAGTAAGCTTTTTACTTTTGATTATTACCCATTATGTTCTGTGCTGCTCAAACCACCCTGCCTGTTACTCCCTGTACTGCCCAAACTGCCCTGCCTGTTACTCCCTGTACTGCCGTAAACCGCCCAGCCTGTTACTCCCTGTACTGTCCCAAACTGCCCTGCCTGTTACTCCCTGTACTGCCCCAAACTGCCCTGCCTGTTACTCCCTGTACTGCCCCAAACTGCCCCAGCATTGTACAGTTATTAGGATTCATCATGGGAATAAATTCAATGTAATACAATTTATACAATATAGTACAGGTGTTAACTGGTTAAAACTCTAGAAACTGTCTAGATTGCAAAAGTAGGGGCTGCTCCCCTCCTCCCCCCCCCCCCACTTTTTTAGCAAATAGTGAAATTTGTTCCGCCTTTCCCCTTTTGATCCCTAGTTACAGAAACTGACAGACACAAACACATTGTGTGCCCCCCCCACAAAAATTGTTTGTTTTTGTTTTTAGAAGTGTTGTACAGCTGATTAAAGACAGTTTCTCAAGAGAGTTGGGTTTGGGCACTTTCAATTGCAATGCGTTTCTTCTATTGTGACCCTGGTTCAAATCCAACCTTGTTCAACAATATTGAAGAAAAGTGGTTTTTACCAAAATTACAAAAGGTTTAGACGCCACCATACTTTTTAACACCATTTTTTTAAGCATATTTTTAACCATAACTTTCAAAAAAAAAGTTTCTCTTTTTAACTGCATTACAAAAATTTGAGTTTGTAACTTTGTAACTTTTGCCCACACCGAGTACAATTATCTCCTGCAATCATCCCAAACTATTTCCCAGGTTTGCAGCATTGCTAATGTTGCCAGCATCGTAGCTTTGGACGTGATCCCTGGCTAGATGGCATATATATATGGGTTTGTGGCTTCTGACTAGCACCCTTGACAAACTGGGGAACCGCCAACATCAGGCTGGGCTCAGTTGGTAGAGCACTGTTTCGGTTTTCCAGACGTCGCGAGTTCAAACCCTGCTCCAGTCAATTTTGTCATTCAACTTCATAATTAACGTCGGGATTTGATTGTTCTATTTCCAGATATTGACCAGCTGGTCACCATCAGTGGCATGGTGATCCGCACCTCCCAGCTCATGCCGGAGATGCGCGAGGCGTTCTTCCGTTGCCACGTCTGCTCCTTCACCGCGACCGTGGAGATCGACCGTGGGCGCATCGGGGAGCCCGCCGTGTGCCGTAACTGTCAGACCAAGCACAGCATGGCGCTGATTCACAACCGCTCGCAGTTCTCCGACAAGCAGATGGTCAAGTTGCAGGAATCCCCAGGTATGGTCTCGGTTTTTTTAGGGATAAATTCCAGATTTTGTTGATTTTACACTTACATTTTTTTAAGTAAAAAATTGCTTATGATATTGGCTTGCCTTTATTTCATTTCACAGATGATATGCCCGCCGGCCAAACGCCACACACCGTTATCCTGTACGCCCACAACGATCTCGTGGACTCGGTACAGCCCGGCGACCGTGTGACTGTCACTGGTATCTACCGCGCCACTCCGCTGCGCGTCAACCCCCGCCAGCGCAACGTGAAGGCGGTGTACAAGACGTACATCGACGTGATTCAGTTCTGTAAGGATGACGCCAATCGACTGCATGAGCAGGGAGGTGATGACGGGTGAGTATCTCTAGTTCATGCAGGAATGTATGGATGCTTGTTTACAAAATTGCATGTTGTGGTGGCTGACTTAAATGCTAAACCTGCAAGTACCCTTATTCTATCGTACTAAGGGAATAAATGTGTGCTGCTGAGTTTTTAATTACTATGTTTAAGACCAGTTGGAGTCTGGATGCAATTTTGAACGATGTTGTTCAACAATTTCCCTTCAAGTTTTTCAAAACACCCCTCTAGCTGTATAATGGAGTGTCCAGCTCACAAGTAAGACGTAAACAGCTCCTTTTATGGAGCTTGGCGTGTGCGTCGCGCGTACTGCGCAATGACGCGCAGATGCAGCTGTGGCGAGTGCGTCGTCAATTAAGGACTATGAAATACTGACTTACTGGTAGTACTGCGTGTGCATTGTGAACGTTCAACCAATCAAACGGTAACTAAAAGGCACCGGATTTCAAAGGAGTCAAAATTTCATGCGACACTGGAAAAGTGTTGAAGACCAGCCAGCCGGTCTTCATCAACTAGCCACGTGACGGGCTATCGACCAATAGGAATGGGTAAACTGTCCTAGGTATTTATGAATACAACATAACTGATACAATGTAGTAACGGCGTAAATGGGTTAAAATGATTTATATTTTTTTGTTTGACCAGGGATGATCAGCAAATTTTCACTGAGGAGCGCAAGCAGCAGTTGATCGAGCTTTCTCAGAAGGAAGACATATACGAGAGATTGGCAAGAGCCTTGGGTATGTATAACAAGTCCTGCCATCAAACTACACACGTATCTGTTCATGAAATTCCACTCTTTTGATTTTTCGATCATAGCCAGGGCTCAGTGTGACATAGCTGCCCAGCATACAACATTCTGCAAAGAAAACTTGTGAGCGGAAAAAAATAAGCAAAGATCACATTTTCTCTTAATAAATTTCCAACCCTCAAAACTTCTCATTTGTGGTGTCTGTAACCCTCTGAAAAAAAGCTTTCAATTTTTGTCCACAAAAAGAGTCGCCTTACAAGCAGACTGGTTCCCGGTCTGTACATTATTGATACTGATAGAGGGGTGGGAACCAGCTTACCACGCGACAATTGAATTATTGTCAGGCCACATGTAATTCGAAATTTTTAAAGTAATTCAATAACTAAACGGAGGCGGATTTTTTTTGGTCGACTTCTCGTTCAAAAGTGAAAAACTTACATATTGCTAGAAAATTATCAATTTAGAAAAGGAATCTGTTTTACAGGATGAAACTTGATAACAAAAAAAACACGGGAAAAAGGCAGAATTAAAGTTTGCGTGACCAGCTAGTCTTGGTATCTTGCTTGTCGTTTGTCATCTTCAGGTCCATTCCGTGACGGTCTTCATTGTCTAATTGCTACTGTGATATGTTCTTAAACAGTTTAATGTAGAGAAAGGATGAACTTGGGAGAGCGTGTCTTAGGTAGGATGGGAGAATATTTTGTTTGAGACATTTGATTTTTCTTCTGTGTACAGCTCCTAGCATCTTTGAGAATGAGGACATCAAGAAGGGTATCATGTGTCAGCTTTTTGGTGCGACCAAGAAAGACTTCTCTGAAGCGGGGCGTGCACATTTCAGGTAAGTGATCTTATATGTCTTCCTGAAAACCAATATGAAGTGGATACATTTAACTTCCCTGACCCTTAGCCTTTGTGGCGTTTTGATTGTCCAACACAGCAGTGTGCAACACTTGTCAACGTGAGAAGCCTGCCCATGTGACAAAATCCGTGGGGTAAAAATTCCCATGGGCAAACTGCCTCAGAGTTCATGGTTGCCAACAGTAGCAGGATACAACTGTGGCATTGTTCAATGGGACTAGCTCCGGTGTCTCAGAATTGGCAGTTAGTTCACTGATGCTGTTACAGTGGAACGTCGCTATACCGAACACCGCTATACCAAACATTTGGCTATACCAAACATCGTCCTTGGCTCCCGATTTTTGTGTACAAAACGTACCAAACATTGTTGTTGAAAAATGTCAACAGAAGAGCGACAAGTGGCTATTATTTCCCCAAGGAATAGAAGGGGAAAGCCATCCATTGCTGTAGGTAGTAAGCTCAAAAATTACATAATTAAATAGTCGGCACAAGTTTAAAGTCGTCTTTCAGTAACTACCAGGACGTGCGGGGTGAAGTTCTGAAGGGCGCTATTTATTGAAAAGTGAGTATCGGAGCACCAGCAGCTTAAAATCGTTATAACGATGTTCCAATGAACCTCAATAGAGAAAGGTCCCCAAGACCTTTACACCTTGTGCACTGTGTCAAATCTGGAAGGTTTAGGGTTTATAACGGGATAAGGTTTTCGAAAATCATGAGAGCTTTGTGTACTTGTCTTTCATATTGAATGTGCCCTATGACACCATGCCCAGGTCCCAACTCAACATCTTGCTGTGCGGCGACCCAGGAACGAGCAAGTCGCAGCTACTGCAGTACGTGAACAATCTGGTCCCGCGAGGGCAGTATACATCCGGCAAGGGATCCAGCGCCGTCGGTCTGACGGCGTACGTCACCAAGGATCCCGAAACCAGACAATTGGTCCTGCAAACGTAAGAGTAACCCGACTTCTTATTTGAGGGCGCTATAGTCCAAAGGCTGGCTCATATACTTTGCACAAATTCTTGAATGTAGACGAGAATTTTTTACATCTCGGCAACTGTTTACGCTACAAATTGTAAACTTGAATCACATTGCAATCCCAGTAATTTTTAGTCTTGTATGTTTTCAGTCTTGTAGTTGCTTGGAGTTTTAGTCCCGCCTCGTTTTCTCTGTGGGACCATTGAGGGAGGTATTTCTTCACAAAGTCCATTCCTTGTCTAAACTTGTCTTTGTTTTTTTTCTGTGTGGTCTTTGCAGTGGAGCTTTGGTGCTCAGTGATAACGGCATCTGTTGCATTGACGAGTTTGACAAGATGAACGACAGCACGCGCTCTGTCCTCCATGAAGTTATGGTAAGTCTTTGGGTTTTCCAAAAGCAGTGGAGATGGGGGTGAAGTCTTCTTGAAATTTGGCTGTGTTATCCTGCGTTGGGTGAAGCCCGCTTTCAAGCCGTTCCCATCTTTCTCAATATTTTGACTTGGTGGCCCAAGAGGCCTCGAGCTCATATCAAATCTAATCTTCGTTCTACATTATATTGATGTATGAATCTTTAAAGGTTTTTACAGCCCCAGTTGTTTTGTCTTACATAGGAGCAACAGACTCTCTCGATTGCCAAAGCTGGCATCATCTGCTCCCTGAATGCACGTACATCCATCTTGGCTGCAGCTAATCCCGTGGACTCCCAGTGGAACCCAAAGAAGACCATCATTGACAACATCCAGTTGCCTCACACTCTGCTGTCGAGGTAGGTGTCATCCTGCCAAGACCCTTGATCACGAATATTGAGGTGTCTTGAGTTAAGCGAGATGACTTCATGCTAACTCTGTTTTGTTTTACGTTTCTATTGTAGATTTGATTTGATCTTCTTGATTCTGGATCCTCAAGATGAGATATTTGATCGTCGCTTGGCCAATCATCTGGTCTCGCTCTATCACCAGGGTGGCGAGTTACAAGATAGTGAACACATGGTCAGTATTAAATCACTTTTGATAGGGGCCAATTTCATCGTGGTGCCCCTAACTCCCAAACCTCTCCCCCCCCCCCCCCCCCCCATCTTGGCATTGTATGGTTGTATGAAATGTCATACATGTGCTAATAATGGCAGGCTTTCAAGTATTCCTACTTGTTTAACCTTGCTCCTACTTTTTGCACTTTTCTTTTTTCTTGAAATTCCTACCTTTTCCTACTTTTCCCCTACTTTTTTGTCCCACAACTCCGAAAAATGAAATCTCATTGAAATATTTTCATAATGGTGTTTACACACTGTCTTCTGTAAATCACACAATTAAGGGTTTGGGTGCAGGAATACTTTTCAAAGAGCTTAGTTGAGAATGGAGCACAACCGCTGTGAGTACGGAACATACCAAATGAGGCCTATGATGATGTGGACATGGGTGAGTATCAATGAAAACTGCTCCTGAGAGCCCGCAAAAGTCCTACTTTTATCCTGATTTTTGTCCACCAAAGTCCTACTTTTGTCCTGTTTTTGGGGGGTGAAAATTTTGATCCTACTATTCTACTTTTTCACCTGGGTCTACTTGAAAGCCTGTAATGGGTGGTAAGTTTTTTCCCCCTCAGCCAAACCTTTCTCTACTCAACGAATTCCATCCCCAGTCCTTTGTTAACTTAGCTCCACTGTTTTGGCTTTTGCCAGGATTTGGCCCTCCTCAGAGACTACCTTTCCTACGCTCGTACCTACGTCCATCCCAAACTCAGCGAGGAGGCCAGCCAGTTGCTCATCCACGCCTACGTGGAGATGAGGAAGATTGGCAGCGCCAGGGGGATGGTGTCGGCCTACCCACGTCAGCTGGAGTCGCTGATCCGTCTGGCCGAGGCCCACGCTAGGATGAGGTTCTCTGATGTCGTGGAGACGGTGGATGTGGATGAGGCTAAGAGGTGAGATTAAAAACCATCGGGTGTTTCATTATCGACTGTGTGTACAATTATCTCCTTGGCAGTGAAAACAAAAACATGGGTCTTTGGTATGTTTGCCTAAAGGCACCCCTTAATATTCCAACTGCATTTGTGCTATATAAACCTTGGAAATTTTTTGCCCCATTTTTTAAAGTTTCATTACATTTGTCAGTAGCTGCCCCCCCCCCCAGATCTTATTCAAGCATCAATCTGTGAATTCAAGCATCAATCTGTGAACATCACAATGTATCCTCTTTGAATTTAATATCATGTACCTTCCTTCCTGTATCACACAGGTTGCACTACGAAGCTCTGAAGCAGTCGGCCTTCGACCCGCGAGACGGGACCATCAACATTGACATCTTGGCGACGGGAATGAGCACCTCGGCCCGCAAGCAGAGACAGGAAGTAAAGGCAGCCCTCAAGAAGATGATCGAGGGCAAGGGTAAAGTGGCGACTCTCAAGTACCAGACGACGTTTGAGGAACTGCGGCAGCAGTCCGAGATGGTAAGTTCAGTTCTTGCCAATTATTTTTTGAAGTCATGCCCGATATGTCATTGTTTAACTGGGTAGCCCATTCAGTGGAACCCACTGATCTCCAAGAAATTACAGTTTTAGATGTGGGAGGAAAACCCCAGAAGAATATTCCGAGGAAAACCCACGGAATCAAGTAGGGACTGAAACCCAATCCACATATTGGCCCAGGCAGGAATCGAACCCGGGTCACAGTCCGAGCATTGTATAGTTTAATCGATTAGTCAGGGTATAAATGCAGTGTTATACAATGCAGTTCAATTGCTGATGGGTTGAAATGGAGTATTCAAATGCAGTATGAATAACTCTGGTGTGAATTTGGATTGCAGATCAGTCATCTATTTTGATTCTCCGTTTTCCTTTTTTTTCCTATAAAACAGCCAATCACAAAGGAGATGTTTGATGGAGCCTTGCGAGAACTCCAAGATGAGGACTTCCTGATTTGGCTTGGCAAGACTATTCGCCTCCTGAAGTAGATAGATTCTTGAAATGAAGAAAAAAAAAAAAAAAGATGAATAATACAACTTATCCACAACAAAAAGTGTACGATTAAAAATGTGACCGGTTTAAGTTATTCTGGATAATAAATTTCTGTGACCGATATATGACAGATTACTTCAAGCTAAACTCAAAGCCTTGTTGCTGATTGTGCTCTAGTCTTGTGTATGTTTAACATACAATATGTTGGGTATTATGTGCACACCAGCAATAAATATGAGGCATTCTGGTAAAAAATTTCGACGTAACTGGGCACAGGTCTTAGTTGAGAAAAATGAAAAACCAAATGAGGTTTTTTTTTTAATATTTATTGATAATTGTAATCTTTGAAATGTCTACTTCACACGTATTAAAGAAATAGTATAAAAATTGTAGAATAAAAGGTTTTTTTTGAGGAAAAACAATTATTTCACAAATACATAACTCGATACTTTAAAGGGCCATTTTCTCAGTATTTTGCGTTTTTGACGTCGATTTGTGTGAAATTTAAACGGCCCTAACTTGTCAATGGAATGTCTGATTGAAGTTCAACAAACAGTATTGTAAGGAGAATTTTATTCTCTTTCAGAATACCCTCAAATTGTCATTTCAACCTCTGCCCAGTTCTGTCTCATTTTGCCAGAACGCCTCACAAATTACAATCAATATAACAATGTATTTAACAAATCCCCAGGTTTTAATAACTGCCTCTTTGTAAAAAGGCTTTCCAGTTATTCTTCCGTAGTTAAGTATTCAAGGTCTAAATATACCTGACCAATCAAAAGTGCCTGCTTTTGGTTTAAGATGCTTGGCAATTTTAATTTGATTCGGTTGTTCAGTTAATGTAATTCTGGTCTTGTACATGTGACAAATTATAAATAGATAGGCGAACAAACCCAGGTAATCATTTTGCAGTTTGCTTTGTCCTTTTTGTTAAAGGGGGTGGGGTCCAAGTGTGACATTAAAAAATAATACTTAATATTTCTAAGTAGCGTAAAACAATGTGTAAAATATAATGGAAAGTTAAACAAAAGTTCCATGTTTAGTCATAGTGCCTTTTTTATACTTAAAAAGTTGAAAGTTTAAATTCAGAAGACTATAATGTAACAGTTCAATCATTCAAAACCGGACATAAAACAGAAATGAAAAAAAAAGTTATCACATGAACATATACTGCAAAGACATTCTAGTTGAGATCGATAACTTTAAGAGATGTGTTTATTCATTTGTACTGCTTGTTTCTATGTACTTTCTTCGTTTTGAACAATTGTAATAAAAAGTTTGGATATTATACCTGTGCGAAATTAGAAGTTCGTTGTTTATCTGTCTGAGTTTGTTTTGAACAGGTTTTTGAAATAGTTGTTTCAGAACACACTTGCTGATGGCCATGCTTTTTTTTACCCCCCCCCCCAAAAAAAAATGTCTAGTATTGGAACTTAGGAGGGAGGCACTCGCAAACCTTTGTTAGAAAAAAAGGGGAAAAATCTTAAATTAGTTTTATCTTGATTTGTCAGTTTTATCGAACGCTGCGACTTTGTTAGCTTACGATTGATCCGCACATGTATGTTAATTTAAATCCGGAGACTAATTTCTAGAATATTTTTGAAGGGTAGGCATCTCGTAATGAACCCAAGGACCAGCAAGTGAGGTTCTGTCCCTATTTTTATAACCTCAGCCCTGCACACACGAATGTTGAGGGCCCCTCTTACCTACAGCATAAAACAGTGTTTTTTTTAGCAAAACAAACAACACGGTTTCTTTGCCAATCGAGGACCCCCCCCCCCTCCCACCAACCCGCCCGACTAGATTGCCACTTCATTTGGATCCTTCCTCAATGACCGGTGTTTTTGCATTTTGTAAAAGAAAAATGTAAAGTTACCAACTCTTCTCAATTTCATGACGAAGGTTACAAAAACCAAGCAGCCACCTGTAAAGGGCTTGAACGACATTTCTACAGGGCCTAATGTTTATAATTTGGTTTACTCGATTTAACATTGATGTTCCCGAACATTTCAATCCTCCATGGTTCCACTGAATAAAGGTGGTTTTTTTTGGCAATGATTCACCATTCCCGCTACACAAATCATACATGTAGTGTACTTCCGATATGTTCGGTAGCTGTGTTCATGTTCACAACAACAATGGCATAGAACATGAATAGTGCAGACCAGGGTACACCCACGCAAGTCATGTGCAGAACATGAATTGACCTTTGACAACATATTGTAGTATGCTCAGGCCACGTGTCAAGGGCTTCTGTTATGGGACGCTGAATGTTCCGTTTTGGCTCCAACTTTTAAAGTTGGGCTTGGGACACGTGCTATCATTCACCGGGTAGTTAAAGGGAAAATACAACATTTGCAAACATCAAAAAATAAAACTACCAAATCATTTTGAAATACCTTGCTGGACTGTTAGTGAATGACAGTGTAAAGCATCCTGTAAAATCATGGCACCTGGTATACTGTCATTTTCAAGCAAAGTGGTATTTTTGTATCAATTTCCAACGCTGGTCGGCCGACCAGCGTTGGAAAAAATGGCTTTTTTTCTTCAAATACTGGCCCCAATTGACCATACACTTGTTTGCAATCGATTACACACCTATGAACGGGTACAAGCCAGCTAGACTGGTTCCCTGACCTTACAATTCCCCAATGTATGTAAACTGCTCTGTTTCTTCTTTTATGGAGTCAGGGAACCAGACTACAGGAAAATGATTGTTTTTCTTGGTTTTTATAGCATTTTCGAACCCAAAACCTAAAAAAAGTCAGTGTAACTATATTTGCTATATATTTCCAACCCCCCAATTCCATCCATTTCTGAAAATTACAGCAAAAGCAAATGATGTATATTCCCTTTAAGATATGAAGCTTAACTTCACGTGTACCATCTTGGAAATAAATTGATATTGTTATGTATTAATTATTACGATTGGGTCTACTTTGGTTTTCATCTGCATGACGAACTAGCAAGTCCGGACGACAGAGTATAGAAGCAAACATGTGCAACAAAACCCCAACCGCTGCAACACGAAGTTTGACGATATTTTTCCTCGCCTTGTATTTCATTAGTAAAGCACATCTCGAGGGCAGAAAATGTAAAACTATATTTGTGAAAAAAGATGTATGCAATACAGGGATGATCCATTTTGTTCTCACTGAGATCTCCAATTTTCTTCAAGTTTCCGGGCGCGGCTATAGCGCAGTGCCTATTGTTGTTTGGTCAATGGTGTGTGCACCTTTGATGAATCTTCGGTTTGAATACTTGTAAAAACAAAAACAAAAATGATTCCTGTTGATGTGGACAAAGGTGACAATTGATAAAAAAAAAACCCGTTATGTCGCTCAAGCTTTGCATATGATCTAATTCTATGAAAAAAGGTTTCACCAGAAAATATATTGTGGCCATCATATTGAGCTTTATACACAACTCGTGTTTATATAGTCCGAGTAACTAGGACTCTACGAATCGCCTTTTGTAACATTTGGACATGGTCGGGCGACCATGCCCAAATGTTAAAAAAGCGATTAGTTACTCGGACTAAACTGGTGTAACGATAAGGCAGTAGGATTTTTCCCAAAGCATGTGCCAAGGAAACAATCCATACCAGAAACCCTTTTTCGTTTTATCATATAGGAAGGCGTTAGGCAGTTTTGTTTCTTCAATCATCAGACAGACTGACTCCGTGTTTGTCTTTTATCTTTGAGTAACAGCAAGCCGACTCGGATCACGCTGATGTGGTTCCAGACAATGCAATTGGAGGAAGTACATTTCCGCGATAAAAACAAGCAACAGTCTTGCCTCGGGCATTTATCGGACAAGATTGCGGCTATTGTTATAACATCAACATCAAAACACTTGTATTTTATTAATTGTTATTTTGTAGCTTTGGGAGATGTTTTTAGATGAGCTCGCCTGCATACGGTACGAAAAAGCCAAACCAGCACGTTTAAAAGAATGACGCAAGATAGGAGGCTGTATGCTTGTGTGTTAGTTATGGCTTTCGTCGGACATTGTTTCATTTTTAAATACGAGTCGTATTTTAGGAACAAGGCTTTTGATTTGAAAAAAAAATCAAGAACCTATTATCACCTAAGACTTCTTATGACGCAACAATGAGAAATGAGGAGATAGTCCTTAAAATCATTAATTACATGAAAAATTATTATGAAACGACAAAAATGTTTGCCTATTTTTGAGGCGCTATCAAGGGGCAAAATGAACACGGTTAAAGGACATAAACATTTTGATGAAGGGGTGAATTTTCTGTCCTTCTTGTGTCTAGTTTGTGGTATATGCAGAGAACAAACATCCAATTAGTCACAAAAAACAAGAGGCCAACATATATCCTGCCAGGGGGCGGTTTAACACGTGGGTCCCCCGTTGCGGTTATTATGATGCAAATTAGCTGTGTGAACTCTGGCATGACATACGCGCATTTTGGCCAATGATAAACTTGGCTTATCGGGAGGCTCCGCCCACTTACTAGGCCAGCGAATGGATCCCAGTTTTGCGTACTGTATGATTCAACGACGTGCATATCGCCAAAGTACACGAATAGATGGGCGAGATCGCTCTGGCTTAGGATTTCTGAAATAGTGGCCGGTAAATGAACAGAAATTCCCCGAATCATGGAGGAGGTAAGTCCCATTTTCCCCTGTTTTGAATAACAATCTTCCAGGCAGGGTGCATTTTATTTTGACAATGCTTAAGATCGGTCTTCTTTAACACAATCAAGCTGAAGCAGCGATCTTTTTTGTTGCCTAATTTAGGTGCGAATGCGGTAACACATACAGCGCGTTTTCCCCCCATTGATCAAGCCCGTATTTTCTTTAGCCCAATGTTGTTGGTCTTTTGCATTTAGATAGCCGTTACTTAATACTCTAACCGCGGTAGCACAAAGGGGCGATATCTTGTTGGTTAGGCCATCCATGGTTAGGCACACAACAGCTGTAAATTCTCTGTGTTTTCAGGCCTTTACGTAATGTGCTTTTCTTGAAAACAGGAAGGCGAGCGTTGACCTCCTCCGCTCACCACGCAGGACGGCCGATGCGTCACTCTGCTCCGTGCACCAGCACCACTCATGGCCGCTTTCGCTCCTGCTGCCGTGGCCGAAGATTACAATAACGAACAGCAATGGTGCGCGCTTTGCTCGGAACGACTGCAGGGCACGGAGCCCAAAATCCTGGCCTGCCTTCACAGGTTCTGCCGGCCCTGCTTGGAGATGAGAGTGGCCGAGCCAGACCGCATACGGTGCCCTATTTGTTACCAGGAAAGCCAGCTCGGCGATTTGGGGGTGGACGGTCTACCGTCCGATCTTTTCATCAGTAATATTCTGGATGTGGTCGGCAGTCATGAGGATGATGGAGACGGGGTTGTGTCGTCGTCTGAACGGCGGACGTGCAGCTCTTGTGATGAGGGGCAAGTTGCATCCAGGCTTTGCAGGGACTGCAACGAGAGATTATGTGAAAGCTGTGTGCTTGCCCACCAACGCGTCCGATTGACTAAAGATCATGAAATAGTTACGCTACAATCCTCAGGGCCTAGTACATCAGGAAGCTATCACAGACATGCGCAACGCCAATCCTACCAAGCGCAGATACAGCCAGTGTCAGATCGACCTCCAAGCTATTGCGAAATCCATCAGAACGAAGTCTTGCGGTTGTACTGCGATTCTTGCAGTAAAGCCATATGCCGTGACTGTACCATGATGGAGCATCGCGGCCACAGCTGTGTATATCTTCAGAATGCAGTTGAAGACAGCAAAGCTATCACCCTCCGTCTACTCAGTGATGCCAAGAATGGAATGCAGGCTTTGCAGGAGAGTTTATCCCACACCAAAGGAATGGCCGAACGGGTTGAGATGAGAACCCAGCTTGTGGTCAAGGAGGTTCAGACGACCATGCATCGACACCTGACTGCGCTTGAAGAACGGGAACAAGATCTGCTTCGAAAGGTGGACAAGATTCGACAGGTGAAGGGAAGAGCTTTGCACATGCAAATGGAAGATTTGAAGCGTGGTTTAGAGAGCGTCTCAAATTGTGTTGGAGCTGTTGAAAAGGCTTTGCAGAGTGGCACCGATTTGGACGTTCTCAAGACCAAGGATATGATTGTCAATCAGATGCAGGCCCTGAGAAGTCTTCGAGGTCATCTACAGCCCCATGAAGATGATCAAGTAGTTTTCACACCCCCCGATACTGCCCTCCACACTGCCATCAGCTCTCTGGGATTCATAAGCAGCAGCGCCTATGCTCCAACTTCATATGCCACAGGCGATGGGTTGAAGCGTGCACTTCAGGGAAAAATCACCACGTTTGTGGTGCACGCCAAGGATCACAATGGTGAATGTCGGTGCATCGGAGGTGAAGCTGTGGAAGTTATCATCCAAGGCCCAGAAGGTGGTCTCTATCCTGCTGAAGTCATCGATCGTCAGAATGGTACCTACTCTATCAGCTACCGACCACAGCTAGAAGGTCGTCACGTAGTGTCCGTCACAATACGAGGGACCCACATCCAAGATAGCCCCTTCATTGTAACTGTCCGTACTGGTCGTAACTACACCAATATCAGCCATGTGCAGCTTGCATTTGGCACTGAAGGTGAGGGCGATGGTCAGCTTTGTCGTCCATGGGGAATAGCCGTCAATAAGGACAATTTCATTGTCATAGCCGACCGCAGCAACAACCGCATTCAAGTCTTCAACCCCGATGGCACATTTCACCACAAGTTTGGTTCGGCAGGATCTCGAAATGGGCAGTTCGACCGTCCAGCAGGAATCGCCATCGACAACCAAGGAAACATCATCGTTGCCGACAAAGACAACCACCGCATCCAAGTCTTCTCGTTCGAGGGGCAGTTCCTCTTCAAGTTTGGTGAGAAGGGAAGCAAGAACGGCCAGTTCAACTATCCATGGGATGTGGCCATCAACAACGAGGGCAAGATTCTGGTGTCGGACACACGTAATCATCGCATCCAGCTCTTCCATCCTGATGGCACCTTCTGCAATAAGTACGGCTTTGAGGGGGCTTTGTGGAAACACTTTGATTCCCCAAGGGGCGTTGCGTTCAACAACGAGGGCCACGTAGTCGTCACGGATTTCAACAACCACCGGTTACTGGTCATCCATCCAGAGTTCAAGACAGCTCGGTTCCTGGGCTCGGAAGGCACAAACAACGGGCAGTTTCTCAGACCTCAGGGAGTAGCCATTGACCAGGAGGGCAACATCATCGTAGCTGACTCCCGAAACCACCGCATCCAAGTATTTCAGCCAAACGGCAACTTCCTGTGTAAGTTTGGCATACAGGGGATGCAGCCAGGTCATCTGGACAGACCGTCCGGTATCTGCGTCACCCACGATGGTCTCATCCTAGTGGTCGACTTTGGCAACAATCGTGTGCAAGGTTTCTGAATATACAAATGTTATACGGGTATTATATAAGCCATCAAAAGGAGGATGGCTGGTGTACAAGGGCCGGTTCCTTTAAGTTGTTTGCATTTGGCCACATCACATTAAAACAAATTGTAAAATACGTGTTTCTTGTTGGTGTTGAAAAGTTTTGCCTCGTAGTGCTTAAAGCATTTTTACTCGGCTGTGCTTTCCAGTACTTGTGGTACATTTTCCTAGTAAACCCTCGTAAAAAAAAAAAATAATGCAATTTTTAGTTTTAAAAAAAATGGTGTGTTTTCATCCTCTGGCCTGTTGTATAGAATGGTATTATGCTTGCATGTGATGTAAATGTGAAAATACAATTATATTTTATCTAAAGTGCTTTCTCAGGAGAATTTGTGATGCGTGTTAAAATGCAAACATCTTAATGGTGCCGAGGCAGAGATAAGTAATTGATTTTAGCTGTCTGTTGAGCAGGGGCAAAACAGTTGTCTTTTACTTGGCGATGCTTTGTAAAGTTCCGATGACAAAAATATTGTTGGTTTGATCAATTTATGATGTACATGTATGCAGCTTTGATGGTTCTTAATTTGGAAAAAAAAAATATGGAAGCAGATTTGCATGTTCAATATGAATTTTAAAACTGCTCGATAAAACCAATGCGCTTTTTAGATAGAGAAGCTTTATTCACATTTGAGAATAGCATCCGTAATTGGCCAAACTAAAAGTGCTAAACTAAAAGCTTGGAAGAAAAGGCAAAAATCTTTTCTTGTAAAATTGTCCCAGCTGATCATGTAGCTGTCGTCAATGTGAGTTGTGGTACCAGGACGGCACCACACTAAAAATATAAAACTCTTCCACCACCAAAGATTTTTAAACTGTTCAGAATATTTAGTGTTTTAGCAAGACGTCGGCCTAAGGCTGTGTTTTTTTGTGTGCAGGTCCAACCATGCAAGTGAGATGCTAACATCTCGCACAGCAGAATTTTATGATTTTTATACAGGAAAAGAAAAAAAGCTTATAAAGCGATTCTCATTCAGGGTTTCATACATGTACAGGTATTATTGTGCAGCATTTGTGTCGCTGCAGTGCTGCCTTTTTGAAAATCAAGCAAAATAATCCGAGATTGGTGAGTTTTAAAAAGGCAGCGGAAGTACATGTAATAAGCGGTTTATTAAATAGATTTTTAGAATTTCTGCTTTCACCAAGTTCCAACATGGGCGCTTTTCAGATTTCAAAAGAAAGGGTCGCAGCAAATGCAAATGCATTTTTTGAGGCACTGTACAAATGTGTGAAAATTGGACACAAAGAATAAAACCTTTTTTTTTCTTGTGATACAACAAAGCTTCAAAGCTGGAAGCATCGCTATCGCCAAACGTTAAAAACGAACATTAAAGTGAAAGATTGAAATGAATACTCCCAATCTGTGAAATGAAAATGTTAATGAAAATTAAAGCATCTGCGCGCTGCATCTGAAATGATCAATGGATTTTGACGATTTCAGTGTTTTTTTTAAAGTGATTGTGACTTCCATATAAATGTGTATTTTAGACTGCACCGTTTTTAAATTCTACCTCAGTATAAATGTCTTGCACCTCCTTATAGATTTGAGTGTAGGTTTTTGGATTATTATAAAGCAGTGCCTTGGTTTAAAGGTAGTATTTTGGGAATTTCTTTTGATGTTTTTTTCTTTTCTTTACCTTTTTTTCACTTGCACACTTTGTTGTAACGTGTATTGCATTCATGTAGGTGTTGATATTGATGGAATTGTGTTCTGTTACATTTGTGACATTTTGTGTTCCTTTGTTGTTTTTTCTCCAACATATTTTACTGGACATAATCACGTTTAAGTTTTGTAAAAAAAATTGTTTAGCTGCTTGGCTCTGTCACAGTTTTATACCTCAAAATCAGAGTTTATCAAATACTTTCAACGCTAACGAACGCGTGCCAACTTTAACAAACATGTACTTCAGAAGTACACAATTTGCGCTTTTTTAACTCAGGAAGCGAAATCTCAGGCTATAAGTAGGCAAATCACACTTTCAATAACTAGGCAAAGCCTGAAATAATGTGTGAATGGACGTTTGATCATTTCAGCCAAAATTTGTATTTTGAGGGATGAGTTGGTTAAGGGCTTGCTCTTAAACGTCTTAAGTGTAGTATTTGTTACAATTTGCAAAGCATACATAGATTAAACAGTTATCGGCTTGCTACAGTGCTAGGGCATGACTCAGTTTTAATGCGCCTCAAAGCTTGCTGATTAATCACAGTTGAGTACAACTCGAGTGCGTTTCCCTCCTTAATCTACTTAACTGCACTTACAAGGAGACGTCGTAATTACAAAACCAGTGTACATGCATGTCAATCTGTTAGCTGCTATCACTAGCATTTGGTAATATTTTTCTTGCAACAGAAAACTTCCACTCCTTGCCTTACAACCGGCCAAATTCATTGCATGTTATCATGAAACATCACAGTTAAATTCCACAGTTATTTTTCACTAAAAATAATTCAGAACATTTTAAAAACAGTTTCGTCAATTGGATTTTTTTTTTTGTAAATCCTTTTTCATCATTTGGAATGCAGGACAAACTGTGCAGGGTTGTGTACACATTTTTTGTGAATCCAATATGGCGGACGATGCCAGAAATCTCAGTGTGTGCTGTGTGCATGCTTTAGTAGGTCACTCCTGACGAAATCTAACCACAACATTATGCAGGAGGTCAGTTTCCTTAGCTACTTGCCCTGACTACCTACAGTACCCCTGTACTCCTTGCTTAAAGGGACCGACGGAATTACTAGTCTTAAGCCTCGTGAAACAAAAATGGCGATATTGGTAGATTTTTTTTTTAAGAGGATCGACTTGTAGCTTGTCACGGTGCAGAAAGATTAGGGATTTGATCCTTGTAGGGTAGAAAACGTGGTCAAAATTGCTGAGAATATTTCTGTTCTGATCGACATGCCCTTTTTTCTTTCTTTTTTTCAGTTGATAGGGATTTTGCATTTTATATTCTCCTATGATTTATGTTGCCTGTAAATGAAATGCAGTAATTTATGGTACATGACATAGTCATTGTAACTGCTCATGCTTGTTTCTTCTGTGTCTTCACATTATTTTTTCTAAGCAATCAAATTTTGTACAGAGTACAGTTAACTTGAATTCTTGTTTGTTCAAAGATTCATGGTGTGGCTAACACTAACGTGGACAAAGTTAACCGTTTTCATAATAAGATAATATCAAGCACTACAATTTTACACGTTCTTGAAGACATCCATTTTGTTTTTCATGTTGATTTCAGTTTGTACTGTTGCCTATGCCTCGGTGACTGTTACTAACAAGTAATGCATTCTGATAGGCATTTCACACTGAGCTGTTGGTTTCACAACCTAAAAGGGAGGGCCGTTTGCAATAAATCCTTGACCTCAAAAGAGAAAAACACACAAGTTGGCTTGAATATAGCCTGGGAAAGAGTGATTCAAGTATTTCTCTTCTTGCTGATAAAGAAAATTAGTATGCATGCTTTAGGAGGTCAACTCTTTAAATAGGTTGTAAACATCGATATCACATCAGCCAAAATGGAATAAACAGAGGGTATGGTTGTGAGATGATGTGCATGTTTTGAAGAGAGTACAGTGGAAAGTCCACTAATTTTTACAGGTTTTTGTTTCAGAAACCAAAAAAAAGAAAAAAAGAACATGGACATGAATCTGTCAAAAAATGTGGAGTCATTTCCTGAAAGAAACGTATACCGGTAGTTTACTCTTGAGTCCTTGAAAAGGAAGTCAGGTGCCAAATTTGGTCATCATTTTAAAATGAGACTGCAAAGAAAATTGCTTTTTAAAATGTAAGAGTTAACAAATGTGTCTTTTTTTTTCTTTTCAGGCAATTCATGTGCTAGAGTTTCTTTACATGGTTGGTTTTCTGAAGTTACCTTGCACTTTGTGGTTGGGGAGAAATTTCTCAGGTGAATGGCCCTTAAGTGTTGAGAAAATGGGAAAATGATCAAAATCAAACATTCTTTTGATAAAAAAGAGAAACTAAACGTGTTCAGATGTGAAGTGTAGCAGCAGTCTACAGTCCATAATCAAAACTATTGCAAATTTGCAAAAAACAAAAAACGGAATATATCCATAACTGGTTATAAAACCAAAAACATACAACACAAGCAGACATATCGGTATTGTGATGAAATTTAATTTGCCGGAAATTTAGTTGTAATTTTACAATTTGAGATAAATGAAACATGTGTGCTTTTAGTGATTTACAATTTAGGAAGGGAAACATGTACATTTTATGCGAGTGTGTGATTTTTCAGAAGTCTACTGGAAGGACATTTCTTTCAAGAGAAATTTCTTGTCCTGTGTTTCGATGACATGATTAACCGAGCTATTTTACACTGTTTTGATATCCATGGGGAAAATTGTGGGGTTCCAACTATTTGATTGGTTGAGTTTAAAAGGGTTGCTCTTTAAAAAAAAAAGGACAGCTCGTATTATTTAATCATTCATGAATCTGGTATTTTTTCTTCTGGATGTTATTATTATACGTGGTTCATATTGAATTCTAGGTTTGCATGTGTTAGTTATAGCTGCATGCCACAATACATGCACATGTACATTACACTGAAGGTGTTTGCCAATTTACTAAAACAGTAGTTCTTGGAACATGAGAAAGTATTTAGCAGAAATGTGATAAGTAGTAAATACGTAACACCGATTTACAAAAGTAACCTTGGATGTCAAACTTTGGCTCCAAATTTGGTTCGCATAATTTGCACATTGTATACGTGGATTTGGTCATAGTTTCAAACTTTCAAATACATTAGCAGTCCTGTGAATATACAGCATGATATATGCACAAAAGGCTGGCTTACGTAATTATCAACGATCCAAAACTGCACTTTCAAGGTGACGAAGTAAACGAGTCTATACTGCCTAAAGGGATGTTATTTAAAAAAAAAAAAAAAAAAAAAATGGTATTAAATCTTGTTACGCTTTTGTTATAATGATAACTGCTGTGCTGTACATACCGCTTGCCTTGTGCAGCCACGCTGCTCGGTCCGTGTTTGTGCTGCGTGATTACATTTTATGGGATATTACAGATTGCGAAGCAAAGCCTTAGGTGTGTTTAGCTCTGTGTAACTTTGAATTACGGGTAGCCTTGTACGTGGTGTATCTCTAAGATCCCACCAAAAAGGCTTGTTTTTTCGTTCGAGTCCCATCTAAATGTCGACAGAATATAAAATGCTTTGCAAAGTTGCATCTACCTCAAAAGTGTGGTAAAAATGTGGCTCGATATTATTACTCAAGAGCTAGCTCTACTACTCTGTTTAAACTCAGGTATTGTACAAAAGATAGTAATTTTTTTTTTTTTCAACTTTTTTTTTTTTTTTGAGTTGGAAAGCTCTCGGACGTGTCGGTTTTGTGATAGAAATAACTTTAGGTCATAATATGAATGTTTATTTGCAGCTGAGTGAGATGGAACAACAATGTTTCCAATGCCAAGCATCATTTTATTATTTCATGCGATCCTTGAAAGGGTAGCATTGTTGAAATGTTTCGGCAGGGCTTCAAGTTCACTTGTAACGGTCAACTGTATGGAAAAGAGTCTTGTTGTAGAAAAGAGAATGCCAGCTTGACATGCTCTTTTGAGCCTGTTATTTTGCTTATAACTTTTTTTTTAAATGATGCACTTTGGCATTCCGTCTGTGTTGATGTTCATGTTTTGGTGCAGAATCTGCCTCATTTATATTACAAAATATCTTTTTTTCTCTGTAAACTTAGAATATTTTTTTCGGTGAAATTTCATCATTTGCAAATAGTGTTCGTTTCGGTTGAATAAGTTGTTATTTTGTGGGTGAATTGAAAAATTTAACTTTTGTGTAGGATTGCCGAGTCTGCATAAGGGTCAGCTGACATGTCATGTGATTTTCACGGTCAAGAGGTGAGAAGCCCTGCTGAATCATTCAAGGTTTTTTTGTTATAATTGTATAATTTTCTGATATATCTAAAACATAGTTTTGATCATATTGGATTGAATCCACTTTGTCGTGAAGATGTTTAATCGTGTCGATTATTTTATTTTGAAATTTTGTGTTAGTGTTTATAAGAGCCTTGCATTGTTGTTTTGATTTGTGTCAATCAGTAATTGTCGTTAGAATCTTAGATTTTTTTATATTGTTATCCATAAAATGAAATATTAGAATTGATTATCGAAAAAAATGATTAGATGAATGTTTAAATGCATTTTTGACTGTTTGGTAACTGAAGCAGTCGGTTGGTGATTTAGGAACTTACTACGATTACCAAATGCAATTTGATTTTCTCCTGTCAATGTTTGATGTAAGTAACAAAGTTCAATTTAAAATGCTGCATGTTCATGTATTTACAGACTCTGACATAGGTTGTAGTTTCTATTAATGTGTATCAGTAGAAAGTAGCCAGAAAGGATGTTAAACAATATGATATTATGGAGGAAAACGAATGCTTAAATGCTACTGTGGAAGGGGAATATGACAAAGGGGTAATTTTTGCCAAGATCAGCATTTGTACGTGTAGCTCAAATGTTGCACTCTGTTTTTTTTAATGTAAACACGATCATCACGATGAGTTCATTAACCCGGAAATAACTACCCTTATTAGTCTTAATTTGCAAAATAAATTTAATTTGGGAAAAGACTTCTGAAATCTGTATTTTACATGATGGAATTGGGGAACACTAGTAGTTATGGTTTTTGTTTGTGTGGATCCTTACATATATGCTGCAAAGGGGTGAACTAATTATGAAATAGGTGTATAGGAAGTAAATATGTTTGCAGGTGCCATATGTACATGTAGCATTGCTTATTTTTTAGTAGTCTGGCCACGTCCAAGTTTGACATAATACCTCGATGAACTGTTTAATTACATAATGTTATTGGAATTGTGTATGGATTCTGAAGGGAAAACAGATGTTTAGAAATCTAATTGGACTGTAAAACTATGAATTTGACTAGTCAGTTCTCAAATTTTATGAAATCAATGTAGCATAAATGCAAATGGAATGCCAATTAATTTTAAGTCGGATTTTTAAATACATTATGTAGTTTGCTTATGCTGTAAACCTCCTTAGGAAACAGGAAAATTTAAGATAATCCTAAATTGAAGATAAGGGAACCTTTAAAATTGACACAAATTCTGTCCTGTTGAATAACAGTTTTGAAATTTTTGAAATTCATAGTCATATTCTATACTGGGGCAACTTTTTAGCATCTTTTATGCACGCTGAGTAAAATTTGGTGTACGTAGTTTTTAGTGTTGGTCAGTGTATTAAAATTGTTAGAGTGTAGATGAGTATTGTAAACTGTAGTTTGAGTAAAATTGTTACCAGTTTATATTTTTTAAATGTGGCCTTTGGGAGGAGAAATACCCAGCAACACAAGACATTTCAGGGAAAAAAATGTGGCGTACATGTATTTCAGGGATAAATGTCATGGGTGAATTCAAGTCCAGGAAGTGATCGCGTATTTGCTAGAATAGTCATGCAATGGTTAATGCCTTATTGGTTTTCTGTTGCAATTTGCAATTGACAATTGAGAGTTTTTGTTTTTGAAACATTTTCAATCTTTAGCCCAGTTCGTTATCAGAAAATGGTACCAATTTCGGTTAGCATTTGATAACTATTTGCCAGAGATGTGAGAAAAACGTTTTCAGGAAAGGAATTGTTCGTCCATGTGGTCGAGTCCATAATGTTCTACCCCAACGAAAAGGCTTAAAGACCCCCCCCCCCTCAAAAAAAGCATTTTAGTTAAAAAGTACACTACGATAGTATTTTATTAGTCCTGCTATAAACTTTTATATGGAATAGGCCTATATAACTGTTGCTTTGCATAAACCTTCCTTTATACATGTCCATGCTTACATGTACCTGAAAATGCACACAGTGCTTAATGGTACTTCAGGTAAAATGGTTCCGTAAATGTTTCTACCTCTTAGCAAAAAAAAACAACGAATAAATACAGCAACAAAGTGATACAATACAATTGATAAATGATACAATTTTCTGATGTCATATTGACATCTATTACAATAACACAGATTGCATTGATTTTTTTAAAGGGAATGATTTATTATCTAGAGACATTTCAGAAAGGTGAAATGCTTGTCTTATAGATTTTTTTTAAACAATTTGCATTGTCTTGGAGTGTACCTTTAAGGTGTTGTACCATACATGTCTTAATAGCCAAGCTTACCTCATGCGTCAGAATGTAATGTTTCATTATTTTGTTCATGCAAATAAAAGAAAGGCCAAGAAAGAAGTGTTGAGTTTGTTCTTTTTATGTCTGATACAAACAGGCATGCAACGTTTCCTCGGATCAGCTGATTTCCACTGTTTTTACTAAAGTATGTTTGCCATTAAAAAAAAAAAAAAAAACGGTGTAAAAGGTCTTGGAAAGATTTTAATGTCCTGGTTTTTTTGTGACTTCCCAGTTACATACCTGTACAAAAGAGCTGACTAAAAAGAGTTGTGTATATGTATTTATCATGACTCTTCCCTTAATGCTTTCTAGTAAAATAATATATATTTTTTTACACTTTTGTCTGGGTTTTACAATATTTGATTACAATGTACAATATAGTGTTAGCTAAATTTGAAAAAAAAAAAATACTTTCTCATTCTCAATTCTATCATGATTCTATTCAGCTCATTTCAATTCATATTCAGGATTTAAAGGGAAAATACAACATTTGCAAACATCAAAAAATAAAACTACCAAATCATTTTGAAATACCTTGCTGGACTGTTAATGAATGACAGTGTAAAGCATCCTGTAAAATCATGGCACCTGGTGCACTGTCATTTTCAAGAAAAGTGGTATTTTTGTGTTGGAAAAAAAACTGGCTTTTTTTCAAATACTGTCCCCAATTGACCATACACTTGTTTGCAATCGATTACACACCTATGAACAGGTACAAGCCAGCTAGACTGGTTCCCTGACCTTACAATTCCCCAATGTATGTAAATTGCTCTGTTTCTTCTTAAATGGAGTCAGGGAACCAGACTACAGGAAAATGATTGTTTTTCTTGGTTTTTATAGCATTTTTGAACCCAAAACCTCAAAAAAGTCAGTGTAACTATATTTGCTATATATTTCCAACCCCCCAATTCCATCCATTTCTGAAAATTACAGCAAAAGCAAATGATGTATATTCCCTTTAATTATCATACGTGTATTATTTTGGGTAACATCTTGAAAGCAGTGTGTGCAGAAAATAATATTTTTCCTGCTTTATTATAAATCGAAATGCTTTATCAAAACCCTCGGTCAGTAATCTGTACCTGAGCAAAACATTCAAGGAGATATGTGGTTTACGCAGTTGAGTTCAGTGGAAACACAAACATGTACATATGTACATGCAAGATTGAAGGTTTGCATTCAAGATAGCCATGTACATGTACAATGTACATGATATATCTCAAGAAAACACAGTGCTGGACATTATGTACACATGTATGCCTTACTGTCTGTTACATAATGTTACATAACAAAAAATGCTCACAGTACATCCTTGGGCTTACTGCTTTGTGAAAGGAGGGCTACTTGTAGGATCCGAATTGAGCTAACCTTGATGTGGGCATGGCTCCATGCATGTGTACAGGGCATGGCTGTGTTAACTGATTGAATTCTGGGTCCATTGTGGGTTTTCTAAGAAACAATCTGCTCTCCTGCTGCTAGTATCAGGTCAAGGATTTGGTAATTGGTGTTGGGTGAGAAAGACAAAATTGAAATCGGGAGGAAATACAATTTATCTGGACTGCAAAGTCATGGCTTACTTTGTTTTGTTATTGGAAGCACTTGGCTTACTAAACCTTAACACAGCACGGCTTTAATTTTGGCCCTTGTTGGAGTAAAAAAAAAACATCATTTAAACACTTGCACAATATTGGGAAAATAGTAAAAAGCAACAATGGAGGACATGAGTGTTCAATATGCCACAGTGAAGACTGCATTTTGTCATTGTTTCAGCCAAAAGGGAACTACAGAAAAGGATTTGAACATTGCATATTTTTGAAATTTTTATCACACATTGAAACATGATGAAGTTGTGAAAGCACCTCAAAGAACAAAAAAGCTTTTGAATCGTACAGATTTCAGAAACGACCACTTAAATTGTGTTGACCATATGGAGCTCCTGTGTTTTATTACTCCATGGTTTCCCTAATCGGGCATGCTTCTGTTTGTTGCAGATCTTTTTCAGATTTTCTCAGGAAATTCTGGCAGCAGATAAGGAATGTGTTATCTGATACAGGGCTTGTTATGTAATGAACTAAATGAACCCCAGCTTATCATTGTTTTTTATATTTCAACCTTTGTTAAGTGCACTGGTGGTGTCAATTAGGTTAACAAACAAGGGCTTAGCAAAGGAGGGGGGTGGGTCAGTTGGCATGCAGAGCCCTAGTTGGTAAAGGAATCACCATTTGAATTAAAATACAGAACCAATTGCCCCAATTTCAAGTGTATAATTTGAAGGGTATCGAGATAGACAACTTGTGGTGCAATGCAAGCATGCTTTATTTGACCTATAAGTGACCTTATGTATGGAGCGCCAAGTACTACAAAAATAACACAAGTGATCTTGCATGTGATGGAATGCCTTTGATACAAAATGAATGGTAATGAATACTACATATAAAGGGGTGGGTTGTGTGCAATATTTAACCAGCTCATTCAAATGCATGGCATTTTTTTGAATTGTAACAAAAAAAATCAGTCATGGGCCCGAAAATCAATCTTTACAATGGCTATGACAATACTAACACCATAGGCCCTGTCCGTTGCGCATGAGTTGATTTCCATAACTTTTTCCTCATTGAAATAAAAAATTCTGAAACATCACAGGAATACTTGTCAAAATTCACTTTAAGCTCAAATTCACTTTTTTTTTATGTGACATCGCAATAAAGGCAGGCAATGAGTACACCACCATCTTTTCCTCAAAAAAACATTGGTTAAAGTGGTCAGAAATTGCCTCAGATCGCACCACAGAGTATGTAGAATCCAAAAATTTTTTGGGGCCCTTAAGCGGGCCCCGAACACCACGCCGTAATTTTGTTGACCCACTTTTTTTGACCCGTTGAACCGTAACTTTGTTGAACCACTTTTTTTGACCCGTTGAACCGTAATTTTGTTGACCCACAAAATTATTTGGGCCCCCCAAAAAATTGTGTTCTGGATCCGCCCTTGTATGAAGCTGGTACAATCTTGCTCTATTAAAAAAATAAGAGGCTCTAGTGTGAAAAGGGCTATAAGCATAGAGCAAGGAACAGAATGTATGTATTTGTACATGGACATGTACATGTACATGTACATTGTACATACATGATGTACAATGTACATTGTACAGTATGTAACCAAAGTATCAGTGTGGCACCAAATGGCAAACTGGTGATCTGGAAGTGGGAGGTGTCTTGATTGACCCTGATAATCAGTACTGTTATGTCATGTTGATAATGAATATTCATGAATAATGAATATTTATAGCAGGTGGATAAACTGATGAGATATCACTACATGAACTATAGTTAATCTCATGAATAGTGACAACTCTCTAAGGTGGTCAAGACATGCATCAAATTAAAGCTTGTTTTTACCTATCTTGTTGACAGCAAATTATGATGTAATTTGTGTTGGTTGTGTCTGTCTTGTCTTTTTTTTTTAACTCGGCAAGAACATTTGGGGGGAAAATGAATCATCACACAGCATGCCTATCATAAAGGATATTATTTTTTTAACAGAAATTTCAGTTTTCACATGCAATTTTGGTTAAACTATCTTACATGATGATATTTATCGGGACGCGTACCTCAATTAAGTTTTACTAAAAGATACAAAATGCTTTTACCACTGAAGAATAAAAGCTGTTCTGGCTTTCCAAAAATGGCATATATGGTGGCTGAAAATTAGCTCAATATAATTATTGGTAGGAAATTTCATATTATGAATCCATCAGATACAGATCTCCCAGACCCATTCCTGTTGGTTCGCTGATTACAATTTATTTACAAATAAAGTTTCATTGTCAGTCCCTTTTCACCAACAAAAAACAACATCCCTGACTCTTGTATTTTCGCAAATTAAACCTTGATGGCATATGGTAGCTGAAAAATAGCTCTCAACTAGTAGGAAACCCCATTATGGCATGTGGCCTGAATTTAGGAAGACATCAGATATCTCCAGACATTGTTGGTTGGCTTATGATTTACAAACAAAATTCATTGTGTCATTTTGGCCCACAAAAAGTCCATCTCTGTGTTGTATTTTCTCAGATTAAACTAGAAATTATCTGTTTCATCGGGCCACGAGTTCATCTTTCCAACTTGAAATCCGCGCCCTTAGAGTGATCCCACCCATCACATGCACAGCAAATGTAATCAACCAGAGAGAGCGCACAGGGCATTATAAATTTCCAGCCCATGTGTGTACTCTTGAACTACATGCAAATAATGTACTCATATCAAGTGCATTGTACAATTTTATGTGAACTTTTTTAGATGTGTGACACAATGACCTATCGTCTAGACACTGCCCTGGATCCTGCTAACATGTTCTGGCTTGCTGCCAAAGGAAAAACACACAAAAAATCTAGGATGTTTTTTTTTTCTTTTCTGACACACATCCGTTTTGTTATTCAATCTTGATCTATGTTTTGTAATATTTCATTAGATTTGGAAGAAAAACATTTGAAGTGGCTTTAAAAATGCACCAAGCTTGAATTTCGATTCAACTTGACATTCGGTTACAAAAATGACCGCCAGCTTTTAATTAGCTACTCTAATAGTAGGCCCTAAGTAAAGGCAAAATATTCATGTTAAACATGTTCTATGTGTTTTAGCAAAATACAATAAAAAGTTAGCTTTTTGAGGTGAGAAAAAAATAAATAAAATTTTTTTTTAAAGGATGCAGCTTCAAAAATGGATGCGAGCGGGGATGATCAATTTTTTTTTTATTTGGCCTAAATAACACTTTTTTTCACTTTATACAAGTAAATTATTTTAATTCAATTCTTTCTCTTCATTTAAAGCAAAACTGAAAATTCAAACAAAGGTCAATTCTTTAGGGTAAAATGTATTTAAATTTACATACATTTGTATTTGTTAGTTTTTGGCACCTAATAGTAATTAGCTTTACAATGAAACAAGACTTTAGTTGTGTTTGTTTACAAACGTTTATGATGCATGCTACAGATTAATACAGTGCATACATGAGTAGAATACTGAAATTGAGTTTTAGTTGAGGTAATAGGCCTATATTTATTTATTTTTTGACATGAATTTAGTTGGTTTTTGTTTGTTACTGATACAAATATGTTTGAGCTGTAGGCCTATACTATGGGATAGAGGTTGGGAACAATCGATTTATTATTTGAAAATCAAATTTAAAAATACCTTATTTTCAAAACATTTTGTCCTAAAATGTTCACTTTTCTTTCTTTTTTTAAATTTTTTAAAATTATGAAATAAGAATCAAACAACTTCAAGTGAAAGGAAATTCCAAAAAAAATATTTGCTTAACTCCCAAATCAAGCAACTAAGCTTGAGGAATATTGTGTTTTATTCAGTATTTCTGACGCGAGTACAATTGACATAAAAGTTATTTATTCAACCATTTAATAATTTATGTAAATTTATTATTCAATTTTTTTTAAAACTGAGATACACAACTTGAAACACTTTTTTTGCACTTAGCTCTTGAATGGACGTCAAAACATTTCTGAGGTGTCGAGCCCCCAGTATATTGCGCACAGTTGAAAATCTTTCCTCAAAACATGCAAAAAGATCAAACTTACCAGAACAGAAACTCGCAACAAAAGTTACTGTTTACTTTGGTCCAAATATTTACGAACAAATGCCGCCAAACTGTACTGATTTCCACGGTAGCAAAGTTGTGATTCTAAATCACGCGTTCGTCGTCACTTTTCTTATTCCTTAATTTCAAAACGTCTAAAGCAAAGATATTTCGTCTGCTCTCAAAATTACTGTCGTCTGCTCGGTGTGGCGCGCACACAAGCGGTATGACAAGCGCCCTCTGTTGTTCTCTTTGAAATCTAGTTGAAACAACGATTTTGAGTAATTTTGGGCGTTTCATATAAGAAAATGCAAATTTGGTATTTCTGTTTTCACATGGTTCATTGAATAGAGAAGTATGGGCGTTAGGCGCCTCCTAATTAAAATTCGCGATCACATTTTCCTTCATTCTATGGGAAAGAACCATCTAAAATTATTTAAACAAAACATTTCTGTTGCAGGAATTACTAAAAAAATAAACACAATAAAAGGAGACCTGAAATATGAAATAATGTGTAGAGCACTAGCTTAACAGTTTATTTTCTGTATTTAGCTAACACCACATAAATGTACAGAAGTCAATACAAAAACTGTTGCCCCAAATGAATTTAAATGCACCACCTCCTTTGCAGTTTCTGCAGGCTATATAAAGGTGAAACATTTGAAAAACCTGAAACACCCCCCCCCCCCACCCCCCCCAAAAAAGGATTATTTACATGAAAATCCACCTCGGTTAAAGGTAATATACAACATTTGCTTTTGAAGTTCTTTTCAGAAATGGATGGATTTGGGGGTTAGTATTTTATAGCAAATATTGTCACACTGACAGTCCCTGTTGAAATATTTGTGTTCATGGATGCTGGGGGGGGGGGGGGGGGACTGGGAAAAAAAACTAGAAAAAAATGCCGTTCTTGTAGTCTGGTTCCCTGACCCTACTTCAGACGAAACGGAGCAATTTATAGACGTCAGGGAATTGTCAGGTCAGTGAACCAGACTAGCTGGCTTGCACTTGTCCACGGATTTGCAACCGTTTGCAAACAAAATGTGGACATAACTAAATTTGGTAAATTGCAGGTAGTGTTTGAAGAAAGCCAGTCGTTGGAAATTGATACAAACTACACAAAATTCCACATTTCATGAAAACAGCACACCAGGTGCCATGATTTCACAGGCTGCTTGAGACTATTTTTCATTAACATTCAAGTAAGGTATTTCAAAATAATTTAGTACATGTTTTTTGATGTTTGCAAATTTTGAATATTTACCTATGAATTTCAATAAGTTATCACATTCAGATATTTTTGTCTCCAGCTTCAGTCTCATCACAGGCTACAGAATTATTCAGAAGGCTTTTTCTCAGTATTTTACTTTTTTGACATGTCAATAAACGTGAACTTTAAACAGCCATAACTTGTCAACGGAATGTCTGATTAAAGTGCAACAAACAGTATTGTAAGGAGGATTGTATTCTCTTTCCTAATACTCGCAAACCAGAGTTCCACAAGTCGAAACCCCGAGATGAAGCCAAGATTTTTACCCCCCCCCCTTCATAAATAATATTAATTGATTGCCAGTACTTCGCTCTGCGTCTCGTGGCTGTGTTGTGTTTGAAGGTCGCTCAGTTTCTTCTTGAGTACGGCCAGGCCCGAGAGGACGATGTTTTCTGGCCTGAGGGCGCCGCACGACTCCACGTTGATCCAGAACTTCCTCGGGTTGGAATTAGCGTCAAATGCTGCCTCAGCTGTGCGGCAATCGAACAAATACAAGAGAGTAAATACCAACGTTTACTGTCTGGAAATGCAGTCATAGGCTGTTTTGTTTTGAATCATGTGACCCAGCCTTATGGCTTTTGTGCACAACTATGTCATCAGCAGCAGTCTCAGCAGTACGGGTGTCGATTTATGGGTAGAACGGTAACCGGGTACCCGATTGAAAAAAAAAACACGGCTACCAGGGTACCCGTTAAAGAAACCCAACCCCAAAATTCAAATCTTCGGTGTTCAGATTGTTCATTTTTCATTGTTCATTTATTTTCCACAGTGTCACATTTTTTAATTATAGTAATTAATACAAAAAGGTACTTTATAGACAGATGGTGAAACTGTAGAGGATCCTATAAGAAGCTAAGCTTGTAATCGTTGGCCCCTTTTATACAAATTTAAAGCTGCTTTAAATACACAAAACACAGGACAAACAATAGACAAGGACAATACACGAACGTTACATGCCAGTTAACAAGCAGGATAAGATTTGTACATGTAGCATGAGCAATCTCAAAGTTAAGGGGTTACACGGGATCACAATAATTGTACAACATGATCGATTTATATTTCCGTTTGAAAGTAGACAAATATTTAGATCAAGCATGAAAGTCCTTTTCCTGTCCCATTCTTATATCAATTAAATAAAAGATACCTTTTTGAGACTTTGGTTACAGAGTTCGTATCAGGAGCTTGCGACACCATCACGGTGTATTTATCAACTGGTGTTGTTGAGGCCCTCATGTGTCCCGTCACGTGACAAAGCACGTGACGTGAGGGGACACGTGAGGGCCTCAACAACACTAGTTGATAAAGACACCGTGATGGTGTCGCAAGCTCCTGATACGAGCTCTGTAACCAAAGTCTCAAAAAGGTATCTTTTATTTCATAAATATTTAGATGTTTTCAGGTTCTCCGTAAATGAGTTCCACAGCCTGGGTCCCTCATATCTAATAGTTATTGTTTCATAAAGGTCTGTGCATCGATACAGCTAGATACAAGTGTGCATAGTGAGCTTCTTCTTTAAGCTTTATGATGTAAACTGCTACTTTCACGAGCGTCATTAACGTGAAATGATTAGCAAGCTGGCTCGGGTGGGACTTAAACCCAAAACCTCCTGCGCAATGAAACTTACGTGTCTCATCATCCAGTTCCGTGAACTCGCTCTTGGGCCACTCCTCCGGCTTGGGGTACACGGTGTGCCGGAAGGAGTTGTCTGGGTCGTACTCAAAGGCAACGGCGGCCGTCGGGATCCACTTGGCGTGCTCCTTGCCGAAACCTTTCCTGGCAAAGGCGTGGAATTTCAACTCCTGCCCCTTGCGCAGTTTCACGATGAGGATATCTGGGAGGAATGATATGAACAGGTTTTTTTATGCTTGGACTATAATTTTTATAGCCGAACAAAACTGAATGACGATATCAACATACCGAAACACCGACGACCTCTGTATGGAATTTCATTAACCCTAACCCACCTCACTCCTCCAAAATCCTCCTGGCGGTTTTGGAGGATTCTAGAGGATTGAGGATGAATGGTGATTGAATCAAATGAGGATTCTGGAGGATTGAGGATGAATGGTGATTGAAGCAAATGAGGATTTTGGAGGATTGAGGATGAATGGTGATTGAAGCACAAGAGGATTTTGGAGGATTGAGGATGAATGCATTTTGTGGCAGGACTGTCTGATGATTTTGAATGATTTGGCGTTGGTTATCCTTCATTTAAACACGAGTGCAAAGTTTTGGGATGAGGAGGATTTTGGAGGATTGAGGATGAATGCATTTTGAGGCAGGACTGTCTGACAATTTTGAAAAATTTAGGCGGAGTTGAAAAATTTTGGAGGATTTTGGAGGATTGAGTATGGTTGTAAGCAACAAGGGCCTAGGGGGTTAGGGTTAAGACAGATCTCTTACCATCAGTTTCGCCATATTCACTGGACTCGTCTTCCCTGTGTCTTGAGGTCACCTGGAGGTCAAAGGTAAGAAAATTAACGTGAAATTCTCCGTCCTGCAATTAAAAATTTATCAGCCAGGTTTTCAACGGAATAAAACACAGCTTGCAGTGTCCAAAAATAAATATTAATTCCTCCCTCTCTGGCTGGCAATTTCAACAAGGCCAGCCCAGCAGTCAAAGAAAATCAAGTGACTGTGTTAAATAGTTGAGTGCTCCCTGCCTTCATAAGGCAGGATTGACTGGCTGTGATTGCTTTAAAACCTGATATAGCTATGCTTTGACTGTAGGAGATTGATAAGCCAGCTGTGCCTACCAGTCTCCTGCTTTTGTCTGTTGGAATCTGACTGTCACAGTGCCTACAAAAATTAATATAATCTGACTGTCGGTGACTAGCCTATGTAAAAGGCATGGCAGGGTAAGAGATTGAATTTTTGACTCTGCGATGGATCAAGTAAAAGTAGGGTTTTAAAGTGTGTGACTTACGGGGACTACTTTTGGATTATTGGAGATGAGGTCTCGTGATGTGACGTGACGCGTCTGGTCGTCCGTACATTTGACGTCGAGAATGAATTCAACGGAGCACTCTGGGCAGAACTCATCACAGTTGCAGTCCTAACAACAACAATAACAACAACAACAAAGTGTCAAGGTTTCATCGAAATATCAGAGGGAAAATGAAGTATTTAAGGGCAGAACATAGATATCTGCTAAAATCAAATCATATTGTCAACTAGGGTTGTGCATCGGAACCTTTCCAGATTATGGGATCGGGTACCCGTAACCAACTTTACATATTACTTAGTAACTTCTCAGACAATGAAAAAGAAAGGTTTTGAACATCATTTGTGCGGAATTTTCAAAATGAAAACCAGGCTACATGGGAAAACGAACCATATTTCACATTTATGACGCTAGCGAAAGTTGCAGTTTACACCGTAAAGTTATAAAGCTCACTGTACACACTTGTATCTTACTGCACCGATGTGGTAGTATTAATCGTGCGGACCTTTGTAAACAATCTGAACAGCCACTTCTGGGATTTGAATTTTGGGGTTGGGTTTCTTTAACAGGTACCTGGGTTTTTTTTCAGTTAGGTACCCATTTCCTTTACTACCCCTAAATGCACACCCCTATTTTCAACTCACCCGGTTGTAGTTCATTCGGTCAACAAAATCATCACTCGTCAGGGGAATTAAACCTGGGATAAATAAAAATAATATATTTTTACAAAGTGATATTCGAATATCATGATGTCTGTTACCACAAATGAATTAATTCAATCAAATATAATATGGTTAACTCTCCTGCTATTTAAAGTCACAGACAGTCAAACTTTCCATCCACTTCCCCTGCTATACTTTTAACACAGGCTAGTCACCAGCAGTCAGATCATGTCCAGCAAGCACTGTGACTAGTCAAACTCAGTCAACAGACCATGAACAGACAAAGCAGGCAAGTTGTGGGCACAGCTGGCTAATCAATCACCCACAGTCAAAGCAAAGGTGGAGCAAGTTACATGGGCAGTCAGGACCAGTCAATCCTGCTTTATGCAAGCTGGGAGCTTTTAACTGTTGAAAACAGTCACATCATTGATTTGACTGAAAGGACTCCTTGGCACAGAATATACGTTTGCATCGGAGGGTTGATACTGATGATGGAAAACTAACAGTGGTGTCACTGGACCAAATTTACCACCAACTCAACTCCACGCGTCTACTCACCTACTCTTTGTGAAATGAATTCATCGTGCAGGACTGAGCTATTAGCCTCAATCTGAATCCAATCGATGGCTAATGTAGGCGTCTCAGCAATGAATACTCGACGCAAACTGTTTGCAACACTAGCAGGGAAAAATTTTAAAAATTAAATGAGAATAAAAAAGCCAGCTGTACAACCAAAGCCTCACTGTAAGTACAAACCTTTTTCCATGGTTTTCTATTTTAGGCATTGCAAGGTTTCCAATCCATGCATTTCTATTTTAGTTCCCTGGATTCTAATCCTGGTTCAACCTCAAATACAATACTGAGCTCCGAGGAAATGTACACCTTACCAGCTATTAAAGGACTACCGTAAAGGGGACCTGACAATACTAATTTAAGATAATATGATCTCGTCTAAATGAACTTAAAAATGTTTTCCAAACCTTTTTCAAATATTATGAGGTGATTTGGAGTTTTTTGTTTAATTTTACACCCCGCACCATGCCGGCGGAATAATTAGAGTTGGACATGCCCCTTTAACGGACCATAACTTCACCATACTTTAAGATAATTGGTATCATTTGTTTTCTTTTTCCAATGATACCAAGTTTGTAATATTTGGACAAAAAAAACCCAAAGTGTCGACCACCCTATTTAATTACAGAGTAGTGACTATTACATTTCTTTTTGATTAACATTTTCAACTTCCAACTCGCTGCTGTCTTCCAGACACTTCAATCAATTTGACCGGCTGCCTCCAACTTAAGTTAATTCTGCACGACGTGTGCATCCAAAAGGTGCTCTAAAATTTTTAACAAATTTTCCCTAAAAACTTTTCGCACATGTACGAGTCTTCCTGGATTCATCTTGAGTAGCTTGAGTAACTCCAGCTCTAATGCATTAGAGCTGGAGTCACAACTACGTTAAACTACCGGGTCGTAAGAATCCCGAAATCCCGGACTGTAAATCTGATGTTTTTATTTGCCAGTGTTGTTTTTTTTCTCTTGGTCAACGGTAGTCGGCAGAATAGTGTCGCGCGACGTTTTCTCATGGTTTCTGGAGATTCGCCACCAAAATCATCAAAAAATTTCATATGTTAATCTTCGTCGTTCTGTTTGAAGTTGATTACAAGCTTCATGAATGTCTGTTGCATCGTATGAGGTATGAATTATGGAATCTGGGTCGCGATAATATAGGGAAAATAACCCGTTTTTGTAATGCACTGGGGATACACAGTCCGGGATTTCGGGATTCTTACGACCTGGTAGTTTACGTAGTTGTGACTCCAGCTCTAATGCGATAGGCATTAGACTTAGAGCTGGAGTTTTAATACTCAAGCTAGCCTACATGTACATCTTGAGTGAAATCACAAGGTGAGGTGAAAATTGATGTGTTTGGCGGCAGGTAAGTGGTGGCCCAGTATGGAACTCTTCCCTTTGTTATACGACAGACAGTACGAGTCGAGTACGAGTACGAATCAACCTCTTCCCCAGTGCTTGCTTTATTTCCAACCGCTTTTCCAATAGTAAACCCTGGATAGGAAAGTTTCATCCTGTATCCTGATTGGATACCGCAATTGGCTAGTAATGGATTTTTATCGTGTACTTGCTGCTATTATTCACAACGTGCAGTACGTGTTTTCGCGATCATTCGTCCACGCCTTCTCGAAAATACTAATTTCCTTTCCAATTTGCTCATATTAATATGAAATATGATGCGTGATACTGCATGTTGTCTCGATAAGATCGTAACAGTTTGATTTCAAAAATCGTGTTTTCGTAACTCACGCCGTGCTCGCGCTGCTACGAATTGACTCTGTTTTTACCCCAGACACCGCATACAAAAATAAACGGGCACAATTGCAGAATACCCCGCCACTCGATCTATCCACCTCGTAGCCGGCTACGAGGTCACGGCTGATTGACCTCAATAAACATTCTCAGCGCTACTTGTATGTACTATGCCGAGTATGCATCATGCTCCATTGCACTCCCACTTTGTGACCGCGTAGCCGCCAACAGGGTAGTTGGTTTGGACTTAGAATTTTTTCAGCAACTCCCATTCCTTTTGTGTTGCTTTGTTCTCAAGCATATTCAAGGGGACTCCCACTCCGTAGCCTCGTAGCCGCCAACAGGGTGGTTGGTTTGGACTTAGGGGTGCATACCTGCAAATAAACTCCCATAGACACTAGTGCTAAATGCCCATACTTCAAAATTCTTTTAAAAATACTCAAAACTCTCACAGGTATTCAAGCTGCACAGAAAAATGATGATCAATGTGTCATCTTTCATTTTCTTTTCAATTTATGGTGGGTTGACCATTGACTTTTCGAGATATTTTCACGCAAAGAAGACGACCCCTATTTTCCCCAAAGCGGAAAAGTAGCCATCTTGAAAAACGATCCCTCCACAACATGGCAAAATAGCGCCACTTTCGAGCCCAATAGCATCCAAAATGCTCAGAATTGGAAGCCCCAAGTCCGGGCCAGAGGTTCACTACCATATCTCTTCAATTCCCCAATTTTACGGCGCTCAGAACTCTCTAATATAGAATATTTTGAGGGTATAACTTTTATTCATGAGCTTGGCGGATCGATTTACCGGTATGCACCCTATAATAGCAGGCAACTTTCAAATTTTAACACAAAATCACATTCAGGACAAGCAGAATATCTCCAAAGTCAATATTTTGAAAAAAAAAATGAAAGAAAAATATTATCCAAGGTCGAAATTAAGCCCGAAAATAGTGATTGTTTTGCCCCTGCTAAGCTGTAGAGCGCCCCCAGCGACAATACATTGAGTTCCAGCTACTTTTAAGCTCAAAATGCCCCCCCCCCTTTCAACTATCAATTGTTGTAATCGGGTGATAGCCTACTGCTCCCTTATGATTTGGAAGCATCCGTTACGGAAAAAAAACCCTTGTTGATACCTTTAAAACACTTTTTCCCCCTCCCCGTAGGTTCCGCCCACTGAAAAGACCACTGCCGCGGCACAGCGCATGCGCGAAACGGCCATCTTTGTGATTCTTTATAGGGTGCATACCTGCAAATAAACTCCCATAGACACTAGTGCTAAATGCCCATACTTCAAAATTCTTTTAAAAATACTCAAAACTCTCACAGGTATTCAAGCTGCACAGAAAAATGATGATCAATGTGTCATCTTTCATTTTCTTTTCAATTTATGGTGGGTTGACCATTGACTTTTCGAGATATTTTCACGCAAAGAAGACGACCCCTATTTTCCCCAAAGCGGAAAAGTAGCCATCTTGAAAAACGATCCCTCCACAACATGGCAAAATAGCGCCACTTTCGAGCCCAATAGCATCCAAAATGCTCAGAATTGGAAGCCCCAAGTCCGGGCCAGAGGTTCACTACCATATCTCTTCAATTCCCCAATTTTACGGCGCTCAGAACTCTCTAATATAGAATATTTTGAGGGTATAACTTTTATTCATGAGCTTGGCGGATCGATTTACCGGTATGCACCCTATTAGAATTTTTTTCAGCAACTCTCATTCATTTTGTGTTGCTTCGTTCTCAAATAATGGACCCCCACTCAGTATCCGCGTAGCTGGCAATGGACTTGAATTGTTTCTTTTGCAGTGATTCCAACCTCGTAGCCAGTGATTTTAGGGGTGTATTTCCGAGTGGCGGGGTATTCTGCAATTACTCCAATAAACGCTAATGTGTAACGCATATTCAGGCACCAGACTGTTCCTCATTTGCATACGTGTTCAAAAATCTTGCACATGCAAATGATCCAATACCACCAGGGTGAGACTGAGAGAGCAGGTAGTAGTGGGCGCGTACTGCTCGACACCCCGGGGACGAGGTCGGAGTACGAATGTCAACGCAACAGTAAAGAGAAATAGCGCCCCCAATGTGTGAAAGTGGCGGCCAGTTGATGTTTACCTCAAATCGGTGTCTTCAATCACAAATTTGACGTTGTCTTCTTTCAGTTCAGTAATTGCAATGGATGGTTGATTAGCGTATGGCATCTTGACAGTCGTTTACGAACTCAAAAGTTCTATTTTCTTATCGTCTTCGGAGAAAATCATGTATTTTTTTCACGAAGAACATCAGTCACGTTTCATTCTGCAACGTTCTTCAAAGTAGACTGGCCCTTTCGCGTGTCGCATCAGGAATACGTATAACGAGACAGGATTTCAAACAAGCCTCGTTCTCATTATTTTACTGTCATTATGATGTTTATTTGATAAATATCCTTCAAAACGAAGATAGTAAATTTAAATTTCCACTTTTTAGCAATAAATTGAAAAACGTGTTATTAATACACACAAAAACATTTTCACTCTATTTACAAAAATTATCTCAAATCAAAAGTTATTCTGAAAGAGCCAATCAAGACAAGACCGACCACGGCCACAGCAATTTCGGGTCTTAAAAACTTTTTAAAATGAGCTCTTTTTCGGAGGGCGCTTTGACGGAAAAACTTGCTGGATTGACCAACTCACAGCAAAGCATTCAAACGATGTCCTTATGGCTGATTCACCACAGAAAACATGCCAGAAAGATTGTAAAGATCTGGAACATTGAACTCAAGAAAGGTAGCTTTTGGCTCGCGCTCTTCTTTTTCCAGTGGGGGACAAATAGCCAGTTCTTTCTTTAAATTTGGTTATTTGGTGTTCTTGTGTCATATGTTAAATAGTATGCAACGCCTGAATAACTCCCCTTTATCTGATTTCATCTGATTGCATCATGACGTATCATTGAATTATTCGTCCCAATGCACAGCTCAGCTGCACGTCAAAAATAGGAGTTCCATTCCACAGTAGCCTAAATGGAAGTTCACTTTCATTGCATGGTCACACTTTTGACGGCTTTGAGACTTGACCAGTCATATGATGAGGAATTTATTTAGGTGTATAAAACAAATATAATGTTTAATAAATATTTCACATTTTATGATATGACATTTTTGCAATGGAAAGAATAATTTCATTTCATTCAGTGCCAACATTCCATCTGTTACCTCATGAAAATGTTCTTAGCAATGCACTCACAAACATTATTTGTAAATTGTGTATAATTATTTACATTTGTACTTATTTATTAATTATGAATTAAATCAAACAATATCAGTCAATCAATTAATTTGGGGCACCATCTATCACAGTCCTGTAGCTCGTCCACAGTCTCAAACCTTGGCGCTTCCGCTACCATACATCCATTACTTAAAATTCATAACTCCTCTAATGAGATGTCTCATGACTCGGACTTGGACTTTTGTCTTCAAGCAAACTTGAATCCTTGATTCTGATAGGTTGATCCACTAGCAACAACAGTGTGACATTATACCTAATACCACAGTCCATATCGCACTCATGGTGGTGATTTAAATATATAATGATTTTGACATTTACTGCTTTGTATTTTTCAGCAAAGACTAAGAGAAAATTGGTGTTCATCTACCTTGCCAATGATGTCGTACAGAACGGCAAGAAGAAAGGAGCAGAATTCACCAAGGAATTCAGTACAATTATCGACCACGCCTTCAGTCATGTCTTGGAGTAAGTCTTTTAACTCCGACCCCTCAGCGGTTTTTTTTGGGGGGGGGGGGACTAGACAATATATTAGTTGATGGAGAGAGACAATCATAGAATTCTGAATTTCTGGAAGATAAGAGTAACAAAATGTCCCTGGAACCTGAAAGAACAAAACATTTTCTTATCCAGCCTGGATTTGAAGGCTGACCTGTTTAAAGTGTTGTGTTCATAGATGCTTGAAAAACAAGAAAAAAGTGTTGTTCTTGTAGTCTGGTTACCTGACCATACTTTAGACGAAACAGAGCAATTTATAGATGTCTGGGACTTGTCAGGTCAGGGAGCCAGACTAGCTGTAACCAATTTGTTCTTGTAGTCTGGTTACCTGACCATACCTCAGACGAAACGGAGCAATTTATAGATGTCTGGGACTTGTCAGGTCAGGGAGCCAGACTAGCTGTAACCGATTGTAAACAAAATATGGACCAAATAATTTGGTAAATTAGGGGGCAGTATTTGAAGGAAAAAAAGTGAGTCCACAACATTGGCCCCTGTATTTTTTTCTGAGCATATGATTTGATATATTGTATTCCCCCTCCCTCCCTCCCCCCTCTTCCCCAGGACAGCAGAAGATGAAAAGACAAAGAAAGCGTTGGCCAGAGTGCTAAGTGTCTGGGCAGAGAGAAATGTCTTCAGTTCCCAGTTGCTGTACAAGATGACTACCCTACTGTCAGGTAGGCCTAAACCCTCGTACTCTTTCACTCTTAACATGCTAAAAAAGTGACAAGGTAAGTTGTACCTTGTACAATAATGTTATTTAACATTAATTGGCAATAGCCATAGCATGTTTGCAAAACTAGTTCCCAAAGTTCCCAAAGGATTAGGATTTTTAGGATGCGATACTGTTCATCATGCGAGAGGTCGTCTTCAACTGACGCCTTCTTGGGAGACTCTGATGGTCGCAATCAATGCATCTCTGTCCAGCATCAGCGTCCTGGCTCAGCAGTATCTTGTTGTGCTGCCACCCTCTTCAACTATTAATACCTCAAACAACCCTCTAAACTCGGCCTTCAAAAAACTTATGTCGAGCCCAAAATCAGATTCATGATGATGGGCAGAGTATTATTGTCTAAAAACGTTGAGTTTGTCTGGTTCTTTTGAGAACCACACAAGCTCACAAAAGAGATTTTTCTTGTCACCTGCTGCAACCACAAACTTACTCTTATTGCTTAAGCCAAAAAAAAGAAGAAGATAGTTCCGCTTCCGGTTACCCTACCTACCCTATTTTGACAGCCCCTACCCTCATTCTTGGGGGGAAAATTGAGGGGAAAAAACGAAAATCATCGATTACTACCTTTTAACCTTGACACCTCCATATGATCGTACACACAAAAAAAATTGCAAAAAAAATAAATAATTCCCTACCTACCTACCCTTTTTTCAAACGCCATGTTATCGGGAGCAGAATTTTTTTGGCATTACTTGATCATGCAAATCTTCAATTCTTCTCTGATGAAATTTTGTTTTGGGTTTAACATCCGAAGGTGAAGCGCCGCCACCAGTCAAGAAAGCCAGACACAGTGAACCTCGCCATCACCACCACCACCACCGCCACCATCAGCATCACCACAGCCAACCCGCCCAAGCCTCCCCGGCCCCGCCCGACTCGGACAGCCAGAACGAGGAAGCGGCCAAGAAGGAGAAGTTTGAAGCGTCATTCGGGGAGAAGTTTGAGGAGTTGCACGGTTTGCTCGGCGAGGAACAGGACGGGTCGGAAGAGGAAGAAGACGAACACGTCGATCCTGAAGATGTGCCGGAGGTAAGGAGACATCTTATGACTCTAGTCCGAAATGTTACCTTCACTCGGATGATTTTGGTCGTGATCCTCCTGAGGGGGTTCAAATTTCTGTCCTAGGAATTATCATTAAAACCACAAATTTTTCACCAGTTGTATTGATTGATAGGGACTATGGTACTTGGTAGATATTTAATCCTAAGGATCTAAGCGCACCTTCCCTCTCAGCAGTGATAGTGAAACTGTACTTGTGCAATGCCAACAACTCACGTTGGCTGTATTTCCAATTTGTAATGGTTTTTAATGTTAAAGGGAATATACATCATTTGCTTTTGCTGTAATTTTCAGAAATGGATGGAATTGGGGGGTTGGAAATATATAGCAAATATAGTTACACTGACTTTTTTGAGGTTTTGGTTTCAAAAATGCTATAAAAACCAAGAAAAACAATCATTTTCCTGTAGTCTGGTTCCCTGACTCCATTTAAGAAGAAACAGAGCAGTTTACATATACTGGGAATTGTAAGGTCAGGGAACCAGTCTAGCTGGCTTGTACCCGTTCATAGGTGTGTAATCGATTGCAAACAAGTGCGATGGTCAATTGGGGCCAGTATTTGAAAAAAATGCCAGTTTTTTTCCAACGCTGGTCGGCCAATCAGCGTTGGAAATTGATACAAAAATACCACTTTTCTTGAAAATGACAGTATACCAGGTGCCATGATTTTACAGGATGCTTTACACTGTCATTCACTAACAGTCCAGCAAGGTATTTCAAAATGATTTGGTAGTTTTATTTTTTGATGTTTGCAAATGTTGTATTTTCCCTTTAACTTCTCTTTTGCTCTATGATGTTTTCATTGAGTCCATCGCAAGTCCAAATTCTCAGTTCCAAGGAAATCATTCGTCAATTCAAAAGCTAGGCCACAAGTAATAGGAGATGAACAGTAACAACAAAGGACAGCCTGTGTAACAGTACATTTGAATAGATTATGACTTGACTTAGGAATCAATGACCTTGTGATGGACCGATGAGGACTTGTAATGAATTCAACTGCAAAAATGGTTCTCGCCCTCCATCTTTCTCTTTTGAAAATGGAGATTATACTCAAAGAAGCATTTGCTGTGCTGTTGTTAGTCTTCATTCTACCTTCCTTCCTGTGGGGAGAGTAGCCTAGTGGTTAGGGTTCGTGACTCACGATCAGAGGGTCAGAGGTTCGAATCCAGCTGCTGGTCATATGTTGTGTCCTCGGGCAAGCCACTTCACCACCACTTGCTTCTCTCCACCCAGGAGTATAAATGGGTACTGGCATTATACTGGGGAGTAACCTGCGATGGACTAGCATCCCGTCCAGGGGGAATAGAAATATTCTCAGCCGTTTCATGCTACTGAAACCGGAGATAAATGCTGGCCTGATGGCTCATGACAGACTTTACTTCTTACTTTACTAGCTTCCTTCAGACGCATTTGAATTTTTGCCTTATTTACTACCCAATTTACCCTTCTGATTCTTATGAACAGTTTCTGTTTTTTAAAACTTGGATATTAAATGATTTCTTCTAGGCTGACGAGATCATTCAAGCACTGAATGACATGGACAACTCGGCCTCCAGCGATGCGGTGGTCAGGGAGAAGATTGCCAAGCTACCCCCAGAGGTGCAAGACGTCAGCCTGCTAGACAAGATACAAGGTTGGTATTCAGCAGACTTGTATTCGAGTCACCAAACAGCGAGTCCGAGTCCGAGCCCGAGTCCGAGCCCCGAGTCATGAAGGTCGAGTCCAAGTCCGAGTCACAAAGGTCGAGTCCAAGTCTGAGTCACGAGTCACCTTTAAGTATTTATAGGAAATCATTCTTGATGTATATGTATGTAAGTATGTATAGTACTTACCGTGTGTGTTTTGCACTGCACTGACTGTATTGCTTGCTCAGGAAAGGATCGTCTTCAAAATAACTATAGTGCTGAAAAAAAAGTTGATTTGTGGTAATTTGTGGTCGAGTCCCGAGTCACGCAGGTGGTGTTCGAGCCCAAGTCTGGGTACACAGGGTCAAGTCCGAGTCATTTTTCATCGTGACTCAAGTCCGAGTCCGAGTCATGGAAAATGGGACTCGAGTCGGACTCTAGTCCAATCTGAGTCATGAGTCATACAACTCAAGTCTGTCACAAATTCTCTTCAAATTCTCTTTCAAAATGTCTTTACAAGTCCCAAGTCAACTCCAATTTATGTAAATGAACTGTGACAGAGGCATTCTTCTGTTATTGTTCCTCCACTGTTACTCCTGACCGACATTGTTACCCTTTTAAATTAACGACAACTAATCCTTATTTTTTTTCTCAGAAATGGAACAAGCCGACAGACTCTCCGCCTTGGTCAACGATGCCTGCTCCCTTCTGGACGACTACAACGTCCGGTTGTCTCTGGAGTTGGAGGACCGGCAACACGTGATGAGAATGCTGAAGAATTACAGAATCTCACAGCATCAGAAACTCAAAGAAGCCGAGGAAAAACTCAAGGTAAGGCTGCATCCGTATTACTTGGCTACGGCTGCGTCCGTATTGCTTGGCTACAGCTGGAGATAACACACGTGTCTATGGGAAGTAGCTGCAGCCGCTTCCATAGGAGTGTGTTAAATTTCCAGCCAGAGCCAATAATTTGGATAATGCACTTTCACCTTTTCTTAAAGGGAAAATACAACATTTGCAAACATCAAAAAATAAAACTACCAAATCATTTTGAAATACCTTGCTGGACTGTTAGTGAATGACAGTGTAAAGCATCCTGTAAAATCATGGCACCTGGTATACTGTCATTTTCAAGAAAAGTGGTATTTTTGTATCAATTTCCAACGCTGGTCGGCCGACCAGCGTTAGAAAAAACTGGCTTTTTTTCAAATACTGGCCCCAATTGACCATCGCACTTGTTTGCAATCGATTGTACACACCTATGAACGGGTACAAGCCAGCTAGACTGGTTCCCTGACCTTACAATTCCCCAATGTATTTAAACTGCTCTGTTTCTTCTTATATGGAGTCAGGGAACCAGACTACAGGAAAATGATTGTTTTTCTTGGTTTTTATAGCATTTTCGAACCCAAAACCTCAAAAAAGTCAGTGTAACTATATTTGCTATATATTTCCAACCCCCCAATTCCATCCATTTCTGAAAATTACAGCAAAAGCAAATGATGTATATTCCCATTAACCGATTAGCACTTGTAGTATTACATTGTATTAGTATGTACATTGTATTTATTCTCTGATGAATGTATAAAACCATACAGCGCTCGGGCAGTTTTGGACTGTGTAGGGAGGAATAGTACGGGCAGGTTGGGGCGGTACAAGAACTAACGGCCTATTGAGTCATGCGTGAAACGTCGACAAATTCATGAGAATCTAGCACTTCTAGGTTCGTCAGTAAAGTTCTTGCTAAGAAAGATAGATTGGGATGTGTATTTTATTAGCCCGCAAAAGCCCAGAGATAACATCACGCTTTATTGTAAACTAAGTGTGATGACATTACATCTCAGGGTATTATTGAAAACCTATAACATGATAAAAGACTACTTTGGATGTCATTTTTCACCCTGTTAGTTATAAAAATGAAAAGTGTGATTTTTTTTCACCCATTTACAGACTGTCAGGGGCCAATATCATGGACTGCTAAAATTTTGCTAAGCATGGAAAATATATGCTTAGTAGAATAGGTTACCAGTGAAAATACCATGCTATGTATACTGCTAATGACTGGTTAACTGAGGATTTTTGCTTAGCACCTACATTTTGTAAGCGATATTTTCTGCTTAGCAGTCCTATGACATTTGACCCACGTGCACATATCCTCTTAATTTATCGTGAACAAAATTAAGAGAAAAAGTTATTAATTTTAAATTAAATTGGTTCTTGTCTGGTCAACTTCTCAGGATTTCAAAACCAAACACGACAAGGTGACGCTGGTGCGCAAAGACCTGGCGTCCCACATACAGAACCTCCCAGATCTGACGTTACTGCCCGATGTCACCGGCGGTCTGGCACCACTACCCTCTGCTGGGGACCTCTTCTCAGTATGAGCGGCGAGTCTAGATACCAGACTAGTAAAGCATTGTTTGTTAAAAAAAAAAGGTGAATGGATATTGACTACAAGTCAAATGAACTTATTGCCCAAGGCACGGGGTAATGTTTTAGCTACGCATTGCCACTCATAATGCAGTAACACATATGAAGAGAAAGCCACAGAAAATTTCAATCAAAACCTCTCGGCATTCTTTTTATAAGAACATTTTTTTCACTCATAATGTATTTATTTGGGAAAAAAAGTTGAGAAATATGGTGAATGTTTCTAAATGGCTGGTCCTCATTATCACATTTGCTGCAGTGAAAGATCATATTGACACGAGCCAAAAAGTGTACAATTAATTTATTATTCATTTTATCGTTTTCCGATAAAGGTAAGACCCAAAACAAAGCCTTTATACACATGACCCCTACCTGTTATCTTTCCCCCTGGATGTGTCATCCCAGACAATTTTCTCATACTTATGAAGGGATTAATTCAAATTTTTTTAAAAATGCAGGAAGAAAATAGGCCATAAAATGTGTCACTTGTGTCTCATTCATGTTATTTTAATTTATTAACAATATGCAATGAATGCTGATGCACAAAAAATGCAAAACCATTGCCCACCAACTCCGCCTCAAGGCATAAAGTCTGTAATCGAGACACTTTTCAAACAATGGGCCTAAACACAGTAATTTTGAATTCTGATTTCTACAAGCGTTTATTGGGGGACAGACCCGAAACTGTATCACTTTTCAAGCTGATATAAATTGAAAACACAAATGTACAGATGTAAGATATTAAAGTGACTTTTAAAATGTTTGGTATTGTCATTTATGTGACAGTTTTGAGCATGGAAATAAAATTTGTCTTACTGGATTTTTGTCTCCTGTTTCCCATGTGATCTCCTTATGGTCAAAATGACTATTTGAAATTTGTTTAGCCAGTCGATGCAGGGAAAAAAGATCTGGAAACTTTCAACAAAAAGTTGAAAATTGACAGATTTGTTTGGCTATAGGCCATTAATCATGTTGCGGCCATTGTGATTTTCCCCATTCAAATCAACATAACCAAATAAAGGAAGGAAAAATAGTCTGGTTCTTTTTGCATAAAAACCATTATCATTAGGTATTGTTATTGGATACAGGGAACATGACTGAAATGTTGGCAGCATGATCAAGATTATTTTCCTTTTCCACTGAACCCCCCTCATGATTACTTTGCCTCGCCCACTAAGAAGCCCCGCCCTGCAAACTTGTCAATCTGCATTCTTTTTGGGGGAGGGGAGGGGCTTTCAATGTCATGTGTAAAATTGGATATGAATATTCATGAGTTACGTGTCATCCTTGGTGTTTTTCCATCTTCCGCCCATATCTGGAATGAATGACCTTGATGAATTTGCATGCCTGGATGACCTTGACACGGATGATGGTCCCCTGTTATGCTACGGCTGTTTTATGTATGATAGAAACCAAACAGTAAATTGTCGTGGACCGGCATTGAGAATTGGGCGTACGTGAGATTGCGGAAATCGTTCATTTTCCCTTGAAATTTTACGGAGAAGAGATGGCTGCGACGTTCCTAACTGACGATCCGGCCTGGCAGGCCTTGCAGAAGTACCACGATGAAAACGGAAAGTCGTTGAATATTCTGGAGATGTTCAAATCGGACCCTGATCGGTTCAAGAAATTCAGCTTATCGTACGTAGCAACCAATGGGGTTTGTGTATAGCATGCATCGGCCTTTCACATGCAGTGTCGTGTCAAGTGTGGTTTAGCAGTGCCATGGTGCATGACTTTTTGCATTGTCATGGAATTGTTGAGCACTGTCTACTATCTATTCTAGTGTCTATTTCAAGAGTGCAGTGTTATTGTACAAACAAATGTTAACATTTTTGTTGTCATGGTTGTAGAGAATGTAGTGTACCTATCCGCTAAATGTGTAGTTTGACTTTTAATATCAATCATTCATGATCGGGGATTTTAGAAGATTAACTTAACCTAAAAAAAGTAAAAAGTACAACTCAGTGATTTAGCCCTATTGTGTTTTGTTTTGCCATAAAGATATCGTGCTGTTGCTCCAGACTTACACTATAGACTCGGTTTGTTGCACAAATTGCACAAAATCCTACTTTACGTTTTGTAGACATTTTCGTTGAACTTAGTGACAACCCATCATTTACATGAATGGAAAACATGGTCATGGAGAAAATTTAGCTCAGATGTCCACACTAGTACTTGCATTATCATTCCAACTCGAAAAAAAGTGCATGAAGCTAAATGACTGGAAAATAAAAAAGGGAAGAATTCCATACATGGACATCACTGTTTTTATTCCCTGCTGTGCTTGACCTATCAGACATCAAAAAACATTAAGTCCTAAAAAAGTAAAAAAACCTGTCTCATACTTTGTGCACAGGGTATCAAGTGATGTCCAGGTATGCTGTAGGTTCCTTGCTCAATTTATGCAACCTCTAAGTCTAAACTTTCAAAAAGTGTATGGTCAAGTATTTCTCTGTCATTATGCTCTTGAGACAGATTCTGCTAAAATGAAATAGTAGTTAGGCCCTCCAACTTCTGTGATTCAAATAAAAAAATATTGGTGAAGTTTCCCCTGTGGTCACAACCCACTACTTGTTCCCTCCTTTTAAAGCAGTTTTTTTCAAGGAGATAATTTCCTTCAGCTTGTTAAATCCGGGCTCAGTTGACAAGAATCCAACCAACCAGGAAGCACACTTTAGACGATCGTGTAAACATTTTCTGCCATTGTACCGTGGATCTAACCCTTGACCACAGTTTTAGGTAAACAAGGAAATGAAACTGGGTTGTTACATTCATTGCATGTAAAGCTGTACAGTGCGATCACAGCGTTGGGTTAGCCTCATGTGTCACTCAATTTATACCCAAAATTAGGCTTCCAGTATCCCTGATCCTATGAAATCCGCCTGGAATGTTTTGAAGGGTTTTGCAGGATTGAGGCGGGGGGGGGGGGGGGGGGGGGGGGGGGGGGTGTTACAGTAGAATGCCAATATAGGTCTAATGTGTACATAATACAATAGGGCTTATGGATTTTGGAAAATTCAGGGAGGTTGTTATTTCAGAGTTTTCAAGAATAAATTAAGCCAACAAATAATCAGCATTTAACTTAGAGAATCAGTCATTTGTATTAGTGATGGATATATAAACATTTGCAAAAATATCAGAAAAACAAAACTACCAAATTATGGTGGAAATACCTTACTTGACTGTAAGTGAATAATAGTCTGAAGCATCCTGTGAAATCATGGCACCGGGTGTGCTGTCATTGCCAAGAAAAGTGGAATTTTTGTATTTATTTCCAATAATGGTCGGCCGACCATCGTTGGAAAAAAACCTGACTTTTTTATAAACAGTGTCCCCAATTTACCTAATTTAGTGTCTGTGGTATTGGCTTGAAGTAGTTGCTTGTGAAATACAATTGCTGGGGGGAAAAATCCTTTCAGCTGTTGATTTGAGTTTTTGCTGACTTTGTAAACTTAAATAATAATGATCTTAGAGTAAAACAAGGAAACAGACCAAAGCAGGCTTTGAAGCCGCGTATGCCATGAAGCCAGGGATCACGCCCAAAGTCACGATTCTAGCAACAACACCCGGGAAATAGCAAACGGGGATAACTCAGAGAGGATACAGCTAATTTTTCAAATAAACCACAAAGGGACACTGACTAGGTTCATTATAATACTTTTAAAGTTGAACAAAGAAATTGACTGAAGCGGGGTTTGAACCTGCGACCTCCAGATTGCTGTTCCAGTGCTTTACCAACTGAGCTATCCAGCTCTATGTTGGCGGCTCCCCAATTTCTCAATGTCTTTGTTCAAGGGTCGCTTGAACAAAGACATTTTCCCCTGTGTGGTTTATTTGAAAAATTAATGAATTATAAAAGTCCTTATTGCATTACTTGATTGAAACCAAATGTGTTTCTTACAGTGTTCCCCTTGGTGATGGAAATGGCGATATTCTTCTGGATTTCTCCAAAAATCTCATCAACGAAGAAGTCTTCAAGTTGCTCATCGATCTTGTAAGAATTGGGCAGATTTGAATGAATTTTTATAACTTTTCTGTGAATTATTTGCAGCTGCCAATTGAAGCAAACTTTCCTTACTGGAAACTGAAAATGTTTGGTGTTTCCATCGGAAAGATGAAAATTTATCTTTGAAGTTCTTTCTCAAGGAGATTACAGCAAAGAATATTGAAGTGCATTTATGTTTTATTATTATTATTCTTTTATCATTTGACAATTGCTGTCCTTATTCAGGGGCCAGATTTATAAATGACTGGTTTTAAACACTCGGTGGTGTTAAAATGTGACAGGCTCTTAGCCAATAAATAGTCAGGTTTTCCTTTTAAGTTTGAATGTTTTATTTTTCATTTATTTTTCACAGGCAAAATCCCGGAATCTTGAGGCTGCTCGGGAGCGCATGTTTACCGGGGAGAAGATCAACATCACCGAGGATCGCGCCGTGCTTCACATCGCGCTGCGTAACCGCTCCAATAGACCCATCGTGGTGGGTGGACAGGACGTCGTGCCGGAAGTGAACAAGGTCCTCGGACACATGAGGACATTCTCTGAGGTAGGTATAACAAAGTCTTTTTCTTTTACCCTTAGGCCAAAAAAAAAAGTCTCCGGTTTCTGGTATGGAACTTGCCCAAAAAGTGGTGCGGCGACGTGGCCTTTTTTTTTTTAACCTGATTTTTTTGCTTCAAATGTCGGCTGATGACTGCAAATGGTGCCCGTCTAAGCTTAGTGCAAATATATGCGAGTCCAGAGAGGCCACATAAAGCTTATTCTTGACCATAACCCAATCTAAAAAACACGTAAAAATTGTGCAGCAGCAGGATTCCAGTCAAACCAGTTAGTTTGGCAGTTTTGAGACATCATCTTTCATTGAAAAAGAAATTTTCATTTTGCCGACGTGCATGGCTACGGCGACGTGCACGCATACCAGAAACCGGAGACTTTTTTTTTTGGTCTTAGGGTTATGGTTTAAGGCCTAAATGTACTGGCTTGGATTGGCCTGTATACACTGCGCATGAACATACCCCGAGGAAGAGCGATAAACCGCCTTAGAAACCAGAGATTTTTGTCAAAATACCTAGCGATAACTCTGCATTCTGACCAATCAGCACTTGATGGTTATGACGTTTTGGAGCTAGCTGTACGCTGCCGTGAAAACCTTTTAATAGTTTGCATAAATTAACACAATGCCGCACAGTTCTGCCCATGTGTAACTGTTTACTACTTCTTGATTGGCCGTTTTTGTTTCTGTTTTCTGTTAATTCACTTCTGTGAAAATAGGTCCTGAACCTTCCAAATCCTCCACAATCCACAAGGAGTTTTTGAAGGGTTTGCTGGATTTTGTAGGATTTGGAAAGGTTGCATAATATTGGGCTAAATACAGCATTTAGAATGTGCCGTGGAGTTATTACAGAGTAGTCAATTTAATCGATGTTTTTTTTTTTCTTTTCAGGCGGTGCGCAGTGGCGAATGGAAGGGCTACACAGGCAAAGCTATCACCGATGTGGTCAATATCGGGATTGGTGGATCAGACCTGGTAAGTGGATTAATATTTACTGAGACAAATCACTATCAGTGGCTGGGATATCAGCTGACATGTCCATACTTGCAATGGTGGATCAGATCTGGTTAGTGGATTAAACTAATTCAAGTCACTATTAGTGGCTTGGTTAACTTCTTAACTTAAATCAACTAACAAATTAGCTACCATGTTCCATATTGGTATTGGTGGATCAGACCTGGTAAGTGGATAAGTATTTACTAAGGTAAGTCACTATCAGCGGCTTGGTTAAATTCTTAAATCAACTAACAAATCACATGACCTGTTCCCTCATCTGTAGTGGTGGATCACACCCGGACCTGGTTAATGGATTAATATTATCCGAGGCAAGTAACTATCGGTGGCCTAGTTAAGTGTCCCAATCAACTAAAAGTGGTTTAGGTGATCAATAGACAACATTTCAGAAATGTGTTGTATTTTTTTATTCATGTTCCAGGGCCCTGTCATGGTAACTGAGGCCTTGAAGCCTTTTGTGGGAACCTGAACGTGCATTTTGTGTCCAACATTGACGGCACCCACTTGGCCGTGACGCTGAAGAAGCTGAACCCAGAGACGTCACTCTTCGTTATTGCTTCCAAGGTAGGAGGATCTATCAGTTTGGTAGTCAAGTTTTGTAGTCAAGTCCTCACATGTCCTCACATGTCCTCACACGTCCTCCTTATGTAGTCCTCAAAAGTTATTAAAGGTTCATCATAAGTCCACACAAGTCCATCACAAGTCCTCACATATGCTCACATGCCCCCACAAATCCTCACAAGTCCTCACACATCCTCAAATTCTCACAGGTCCATCACAAGTCCTCACAAGTCCATCACAAGTCCTCACAAGTCCATACAAGTCCATCACAAGTCCTCACAAGTCATAACAAGTTCTTACCAGTTCTCCAAACTCTTCACAAGTCCTCAAGAGTCCTCACAAGTCCTCAAAAGACCTTACAAGTCCTCACAAGTCCTTACAAGTCCTCACAAGTCCTCACAAGTCCATGCAAGTCAACACCAGTCCTCAAAACTGTGAACAAGTCCTCGCAAGTCATCCAGTCCCAAGTAAAGTCACACAATATTCAATTAATCTGTGATAAAGGCAATCCTTACTTTTTGTGCATCCCCTATCAACTGTTTTTTTTCCCCCACATTTTTGCCGAGTTTAACATATCCTTATCAATTTGTGCAGACATTTACCACACAAGAGACGATTACCAACGCGACATCTGCCAAGAATTGGTTCCTAGCGACAGCCAAGGATGCAGCTCACGTTGCCAAACACTTCGTTGCTCTGTCGACCAATGCCGTAAGTTATCATGAATTTCTTTTCAATTTACTAATAAACTTATTTAACATCAGCACAAAATCTTGTGCTGAAGAATTTTCTCAAGTTGACCTGAGCCTTGAAGCATAGGACTGTTTCACCATTTTCAGTATTTCAGCATTTCCGCACCTCCCCTTGTTGTTTGGGCAATCTTTCTCCCAACTTTGACCCCCCTTGCCCCCTCACGCCACCCACTATAATAATTTGCCAACTTGCCAAGATATATGAAGTATTACCACAGTAACATTATACTTCTCTTGTTTCCAAATTTTCCTCCTCAATAGGCAAAGGTTACAGAGTTTGGCATCGACAAGGAAAACATGTTTCCCTTTTGGGATGTGAGTATTTCATTGAAATAAAAATCATTTTGGATGAAGAATAGTTAAAGTAACCTTGTTTGTGTATAATATACCAATTCATTATATAGGAAAACATAACTGATGAAATGTCCTTTTCTGAAATCATATGCATACAATTTTGTTTTTATGAACCTGTTTTAAAGTCTAGATAAACAGTATTGTAATGATTGTAATTTTTAAATGTTTGTAGATTTTTTTGGGGGGGGGGGGGATAATTTTAGTTAATATTGTAACATTGTCTGTTTCTGGCAAAAGCATTTTACAAATAATGTATTTATTAAAAGCCTGTTGTAGCATTCATACCATCCAACAGATTTATACTTTTACTGTTTCTTGCTAAGTGCTCCAAAACTGAATATGATAAACTGTACCTCACCTTTATTGAAACTCGGCTTTGCCATTCTCTCCTTAGTGGGTAGGGGGCCGCTACTCCCTCTGGTCTGCCATCGGCCTCTCCATCGCCCTGTACATTGGCATGGACAACTTTGAGGCCCTGCTGTCTGGTGCCCACTTCATGGACAACCATTTCTACCAGACCCCCCTGGAAAAGAATCTGCCAGTGGTGCTGGCCGTGCTGGGAGTCTGGTACCACAACTTCTACAAGGCCGAGACCCATGCTCTGCTGCCGTACGACCAGGTTTGTGCTCAGACAATGGCATCACTTAACTACACATGAAAATTAAAATTGCACAAAAATTCTACACTTTGCATTTCGAGAAACAACCATCACATGTTCCGTTCATGGAAATGGCCCTGGAACATGGATAGCAGTGTAATGTTTTTTAAAAATCAATCATATGATGGTTTATTTTCTTGCCTTCAGTACATGCATCGCTTCGCCGCCTACTTCCAACAAGGTGACATGGAGTCCAACGGGAAATACGTCACGGCCACCACCGGTCGCCGTGTGGAATACACTACAGGACCCATAGTGTGGGGAGAACCGGGTACCAACGGCCAGCATGCATTCTACCAACTCATTCACCAAGGTAGCCAATCACAACTTCTCAACCAAATTTGTTTTTTGTTTTTTTCGTATTTTGTATTCTTGCATTGAAACTGATGTGGAATAAACGGAAAGAATGTTGCAACCTGACGCTGCTTTTTTCTTCATATGTCATCTCAATGACGGTCATTCATTGCAAAAATGATGATGAGACATGAATCTGGGACTGAAAAACATTTCCAATTTTGTTAGGAAATACTTAAAAAATTTCTTGACTCTCCATAGACTTTGTACACAGCTGCCGAAGTAGCGTCAGGTTGCAACATTCTTTCCGAATAAACAATATGCTTGGTTTTTTAATTTATGTCGCATTTGGTGTAAATTAGAAGGAACATTCTAAGGAATAATCAATCATTTCAGTATGAATTCAACATAACTTTATAATATTTCAGGCGGCATTTTATTAATATTGACATAGATGACATAATTTACTCCAAAATAGATATGCGCTCAAATCAGTGATTTTTTTTTCTTGAAAACAATTTTCTTATCCCCATAGGAACCCGCATCGTTCCTGCCGACTTCTTGGCTCCCGTTGTAACCCATAACCCTATCGCGGATGGACTCCATCATGAGGCAAGTCAATTTTCAGTTAGAACAATCTTTGTATTGTTTCCATGGTTCGTTTCTTTTTCCCACAGAATCATAAGCATATTTGTAGGGATCATGTGAGAGGCGCTCTGGCGAAACGAGATTGGGCAGTGGTCAAAATGAGGAATAAATTCTCATTACAAAACTGTTGCACTTCAGTCAGGCATTCTGTTGATAATTATGGCTGTTTAAAGTTCACATTTATCAACGTGTCAAAAAAAAGAATACTGAGAAAGAGGCCTTGAATGTTTTGAGTTTTATAGTCATGGAAATGAAAGGGCAAGTTTGCGCAAGAACTATTGTTGACCATTGGTTAACCATAGTTCAACTAAAGTTAGCCCAAACTCTGTCTAGTCGACAGTGGTTGACTACGCTAGTCGACTATTTGTAACCAACCTACTGGGGCTGGTTGCATCGCTGGTAACCAATAGCCGCGCGCATTCATAACGTACAGCAGGGAGCCAGGATCCAGAAGTGTTGCTATGACATTTTGACCAGCGTTTGACTAGAGACGTTCGCGCGTTGCTATCAGTGCGCAGGCGTAAGGTACGTCACAAACCAACCACTAGTCGACTAATGGTCCTTGCCCGAACTTGGCCATAGATGCCAATTGTATTTTCCTTAAAAAACACTTTTATTCCACGATTTTAAAACTATTTCTTTAAAATATGTGTAGTAGACATATCAAAGATTACAAATATCAATAAATCTGAAAATCAAAAAAAAATCACCCCTATTTTTTTTTTTTTTTTTTTGCATTTTTCTTCACTAAAGCCTGTTCCTGTTCCATTTCATTTTACATGAACGCCTCACATACAAGGCTGAATCGCAATTACTAAGCTATGGCCAACATTAATACACCTGTCTTTGGGGTTGCAACAGAGTTCATAATGTTCATGCTATTGCCTGCAAGTTGAAGTCAATATTTTCTATTTTTCCGCCTTTCAGATTTTGCTGGCCAATTTCTTAGCTCAGACCGAAGCGCTGATGAAAGGGAAGACAGCCGCGGAGGCCGAGGCCGAGCTGAAGGGCTCCAACATGCCGGAGGCCACCATGAAACGCATCCTGCCGCACAAGGTATGGACTGCATGCGCGAACTGTAGAGGGCGCCCCGTCACCACTCACAAGAGCGCCAGTGGGAGGGGCACACCGCATGCATGTTCTGGTTCGCAAAGTGTCTGACAAATATTTTTTATCTTTATATGCACCAACCTGTAGTGTGTTCACATGTGTGTGGTTATGGTGCATGTGCCCCTGGGCAAGGTACTATGTCACTCATTGCTTCTCTCCACCCAGGAGTCAATGGGTACCTGTGAGGGCAGAGATGGTATATTGCGGTTGATTTTAGCTGCCTTGCGTCGAAATGGCCGCATCGAGCTGTATACTCCCCAGGGAGCTGAGATTACATCTTGAGAGTTTCATTGGCCCAATGATCAGGGGTAGTAATAATGTCAAGTGCTTTGATCTGAGCTAAAAGCATTATGTAAGTACCTGTTGTTATTATCAACCAGAGCCATGAAGTTGACCCCTGTTTGAAAAAAAAACTACCCAACGGAGCAAGATATCAAACCGACGAGCAAATCATGAGTTCCTTCTACATGTGAAGAAACCAAAAAGGCCAAAAATTGTCCTTTAGACTCGTTTTGTGGGATCCGGTCACAGTTAGCCTTTATTGATGTCATGAATTGCTTTTGTTTGCAATGATCAGGTGTTTGAAGGGAATCGTCCTACCAACTCCATCCTCTTCCAGAAGACCAGTCCCTTCACCCTGGGGGCTCTGATCGCGATGTATGAACACAAGATCTTCACCCAGGGCATCATCTGGGACATTAACTCCTTTGATCAGTGGGGGTAAGGCACTTGGAAAGACCAAGACAAATTTGCGTAAATTTGGATAATTTTTATTTTAGCTGAGAAGCCATGGTCCAGTGGTTACAGAGTTCGACTCATGTGCCGTGGTGCGTAGTTCGAACCTTGGCAGGGCACATGGTGCTTGTGTTCTTGGGCAGGACAATTTACAACAATTGCCTCTCTCTGCCAGATTTGTCATCAATTCCATCACAAGTCAAGAATATTATGTGAGGCCACAGTGGGATGTTCCAGATTTGGCCATAAGCTCCACCCACTGATTATGCAGTCGCTGCTGTGATTGGTCAAAAGATTATGGGGGCGGGGCTTAACATATTGGCCCATTAAACAAGAGATGAACAATGACAAAATGTTGGACACCTTTGTCAAAGTTCATTTAAATATTTTTTTTCCATGAATAAATGAATAACATTGCTGCAAACTGCTTTACTGGCTGGATAGAATTGACATTTAAAAAATACAAATAAAAAAAAAATCCCTCCCCCCCCCCAAAAAAAAATGGAGGGCCTTACGTTTCAATCCCGGTAGGATCTTTGTCAAAGGCTATTGAAAAAGTTTTTCACTTAAAGATATAGTCCATCATTTGTAATCTGTGCATTTTGTTCGTTTGAAGCAACAAAAGTGCTCAAAATCTAAAGAAGGGTACTGAACAACTAACCTGATGAAGTTTCAGCTCAGCTTCAGTTGTATATTCCGAGAAAAACAGCATTCTAGGATCTCAATTTCAAATCAAAAGTTGCTGAATCATGTTTTGAATTGGGCCTGAATTCAGTGTCCGAGACACGTTCTCACTGAGCCGATTGCAGCTACGCTATGTCGCGCACTGATCCAACGAATTATAGCAACCACATGTGCGTCGTGCCAATGCTTGCGCGCGCTTCGCCGAATAACAAAACGAACTACTAATTTAAATTTCCTACGATGCGTCTTAAGAAGCACCGTTGGAAAGGCCTTCTTTTGTTGATTACTTCAAAATGACAGCTTGCCAGAAAGAATAATTTCACAGGGAGTTTAGTCCCCTTACTATCTTTCATCCAAGTATGTTTTTCAACAATAATAAATTAACGCTAGTTACTTTTCGGATGGCTGCAAATGATGGACTGTAGCTTTAACTTGGTACTGACTTGTAATTTGATTGATGGATGGATTTATCAAATATGAGGACTTGACTGAAACATTTATCAATCACTCAGTCAATCGACTGCAACACTAATAATCCCACATTCACTATGTTTTTGCATATGTGCATCTCTTTCCCCCTCGTTCAGAGTTGAACTGGGCAAGCAACTTGCCAAGATCATCCAGCCGGAGCTGCGCGGCGACACCCCAGTCACAAGCCACGACGCCTCCACCAATGGACTGATCAACCACATCAAGGCCAGCCGCCTGTGACGGGGCGGGCCCGCATCTCAAGATGACGTCGTCAAGGACGACGACGACAAAAACGCAACAACGGACAGTGAAGTTGGGGTCAGTCAGAGGGGTAGCGAGGTCAAAGGTCCTCGGTTCAGGAGCAAGGAGGTCAAATTTCAAGAGGGTCAGGAAGTCATCCCTAGAACCAAGCGTAGTCACAGAGGTAACAAGTCCGGTACGTGTTTGCTCATCTAAAGATAGCGGGCGTGTCATTTTTGTTTGTGATTTTCTTTAATGCTGATTATGGCAGAGTTGGAATTGAGGTATCGCAAGTCATCTAAAGTTTACACAAGTCAGTTTGAGGTCGATCACAAGTCATCAAGACTCAAGTTAAGCAACACAAGCAGGACTTTTCTTTTTTCTTCAGACTTTTGTCGGAAATAAGCCCTTTTGAATCTAAGAGAAAGACGTTATCAATATCAGTAAAGAAAGAAATGCATCTTTCAAACCTTCCCTCAAATTTTCTGACCTTATTTTTAGCTGTGTCATCATGGAGTCACTGGGGTCAAAAAGCTGATTTTTTTTACTCAAAACGCTACTCCTTCCAGAAATTACATGGCACAGTCACGTGACTCGTTCATGAACACGGATTCGTTGGCCCGCAGCTTCTGAGATCCGATCGAGCTTGTTTTTTATTGACAATCTCATCTTTAGTGACAAAGAATTTCAAAAAAATTGTGATATTCTTTAGTCATTATTCATGCCCTGTTGCTTGTGACTTGAATTTGACTTGTGACTGACTTGTGATTGGCTTGTGATTGACTTTTGATTGACTTATGATTTGCGATTACAACTCTCCAGTTCTGTTCATTTTGAGTTGTTAAAAGTTGCTATTTAGTATTACTCAGTGAAATTTAATTTCAATGCAATTTTATGTGGAGTGCTGTTTGATTTATGTTAGATGTAAAACCTGGGCTTTCTTATGTTAATCAAGCTATGCGAGTTAGATACATGTAACTAAACTTTTATATTTGAAGCCATCCACCGTTTTTCCTAGTCTGTGGAATATCCCCTTGCACAGCAAGGGTCTATGATATGCGAGCAGATTCGGCGATTAATTATGCAAAACAAGACTGCGTCTTGACCATGAGATTCACTGACCATTCAAGCAGACGCCTTCTATCAGGTCTTTCGTAACCCTTTGTTGTATGACAAAAACATGCCATCCAAATCGACCAATCCACAGCTTAGTCCACATTTCTGATCAAAATGACGTCACAGTTTCTAAAGACCACTCCAATTGGCTGGCGTTCATGCCCACGTGAATGTCTGATCGTCAAGCTACCTTTTTTTCCCAATCATGCTTACAACTTTAGAAATCTGCTAAGCATTGAAACTACTTGCTTACCGGTTACCACCCAAAATGTCATGCAATGCACATTGCTTGTAACTGGTCCCTTGCTGATTTTCGCTTAGCACATAAATTTGCCAAGCTAAATTTGTTGTTTAGCAGCGCAGTGAAAATATGGCCCTGAAGTCCGTGTCACCTACTGTGGCTTATATCTTGTGAAATAATTTGGTAACTTTGTAACAGTAACAGCTTGATAGTGAAATGGTTAAATTAAACCACAACTTTTTAAGATGATTTTCAGATGGTTTGGGGGAATTAAGATTAGGAAAAATAATTTTACATTGTTTATGCCTAGATTTATTTGTGTGCAAATTTTACCGTTATATTGATATCAAGTGTGGTGTTTGGATAAATTTATGTTTACATTTGTGTTTCTGAATATATTTGTGTATCACAGCTCTCGTTCAAATTTTATTTGCTAATTAGCGTGGGCTTTTTCTTTTCATTTTGAAATTGAAAAAGGAGGATCTATGTATTGTGTTGTTTCCACATCATTATGAATCAAGAGCAGAAATGTGGAGTTATATTGATGTTGAAATTTGTTTTCTGATTTGGCAGTAACGTATTTGTTTTCATTTTGCTGTCGTGAATTTGTCCGAATATCTTGAAGAGTCATTCACTTACCAGACTAAAAACCTCTGTCTTCTGCAATAAACTTTAGATCTTAAACCTTTTCCTTAAAAAAAAAATAATAAAGTACTATATGAGAGTGAATTCCTATTTTTGTAAGAATATAAACCTAGTATGCTTTAGTATAGTTTTAATATTTTTCAGATGAAATACATTTTTGAGATTGGTTTGACTAATGCATGAATATATCAATTGTAAAATGATTTTCTAGAATTGGAAATTTCGCTGCTTCGCATTTCAGGAAAACACTATTGACCTTATGCGTTGAAGGCGGAGTTAGAGGGCAGTGTTTTTTGTATCACTGGAATAGGCACGCGTAAACCATATGTGCATTCATTGTTACTGAATTAAACCCAACCCTCCTGTTGTCTGAACTGTCACAGACAGTCAATAAAATAATTAATCCTCTTCCCTGCCATGCCTTTTATACAGGCTAGCCATCAACAGTCAGATCATATTTCAAGCAAGTAATGTGACTAGTCAAATTCAGTTAACAGACAAAAGCTGGCAAGTGGCAGGCACAGCTGGCTTACCAATCACCTACAGTCAAAGCATAGCTAGATCAAGTTCCATAAACAGTCACAGCCAGTCAATACTGCTTTCTGTAGGCTGGGAGCTCTGAACTGTTAAAAACAGTCACTTGATTGATTTTGACTTAAAGGCCAACTTAACACAATGTATGTTTGCATTGGGGTTAAACACTTGTATTACATTGTACTGTATTTACTCCTTAGTGAATTCGTAAAACCATAGTGTTGACAAGGTTTGAGACGTTAAAAGGAATAACAGGCAGGGCGCTTTAGGGTGGTACTGAGAATGATGGATTAAAACAAAGAACACCCTAAGAGATACCCACAACGCATAAGCTTGCTAATCCACCTGTTGAAAGTTTCACGGCTGATTGTGATTAAACAGTGAAAGCATCTGTTGAATGCTGAACAGTCTGTGTTTGGTTTTTTTTGCGATTGAATACCTGGTTTCGCAGGTTGTGCATGGCATAATTAACAAGTTTTCTTCCCAAGTTTAATATGACCCTTCCCAGGTTGGTGCTGTGTATCACAGAAAAAGAAATATAGTCATTGAAGATCAGGTTATATCACTGTCATTATTAACTGATAAGTATTAAAGATGCAAATGTTATGAAATATTAACATTGTTGTACAGGTGTTTCATTTTCTTTTGTCTGTTCCAAACATTTGTAGCAGTTTTTCTATTTTCTGTTTTTTATAATAGCCCCAATTTCCACTTCATATTTTTTTGGCACAATTTTAAGACCACACATGATTAAAAAATAACACAAACACTGCTTTATTGTTACAATTGAAAATGCAATTTAATATCAGAGAGCAGCCCACAGTAATCCGTCTGAACGATTAATATGCCTTGAATTTCGGTTCATCTTGAGTTTTACTATTTTACAGTTTTCAGGAGTAATACAATTTTTTTGTCGGTAATATTTTTATAGCATCATTAAATTTAACTATACTTTTAAAAATAATTTTCAATAGTGGTTTTAGATTACTATACATAGGATTAGTGCAAAAGAAACGATACACACACAAAAAATTCTTGAAGAATGTATTCCTAATCATTAATTGCTCTTGATCAACATTCAACAAAAATATGAAGATCAATGGTTGTATTAGGTAATCATCAGAACCAGAGCTGAGTTATTCAAATTTGGGGTCCACTTAGTTCCTGTCCCTGTTACATTTGACGTCTACGATTTTGTAAACTCTGTATGCACTACTTAACCTTAATCCCCAGGCCCTTTTTGCTCCTCAATCCTCCAAAATCCTGCAACATTTTGCACTTATGTTCAAATGAAGGATACCCAGCGCCTCAATCCTTCAAAATCGTCAGACAGTCCTGCCTCTCAAAATGCATTCATCCTCAATCCTCCGAAATTTTCAAACAACATTCATCCTCAATCCTCCAACATCCTCATGTGCTTCAAAACCCTTCACCCTCAATCCTCCAAAATCCTCATGTTTTTCAAACACCATTCAACATCAATCCTCCAAAATCCTCATGTTTCTCAAACAACATTTATCATCAGTCCTCCAAAATCCTCAAGTGCTAAAACACCATTCATCCTCAATCCTCCATAATCCTCATGCGCTAAAATACCACTCATCCTCAATCCTCCAAAATCCTCATGTTTCTCCAAAACAATTAATCCTCCAAAATCCTCCAAAACCACCAGAAGGATTTTGGAGGATTGAGGTATTAATGCCTTCATCCCCGGAGAGTGATTATGTAAAGCAAACTACCAACCCAACAAATGAGAATAGTTTGAACTATTTAATGACACTTGAACAGCAAATTTCGAAGTTCACAGGTAGCAGGGACAGAAAAAATGTCACAATTTGAACCCTAAATTTATACAGAGTGACCCATCAGGACAAAGATTGATGAAGCAATCAACAGTAACCTACGATTTTAAGGAGAAAATCTCTGTTCAGATTTTTTTCTCAAAAATACATTAACTTCTATGTTATATATTGAATGTTATTAATCAAAAATCCCGACACTATTCCTCTATACAGTATTGGAAATAAATCGCAGCTTAGAAAATCAAAAACAAAGGTATTGGGTATTAAAAAAAAACACCAAAAAAGCTCATAATTTGATAATCTGTACAGTCATTTTAGTCCAAAAATTCCTCATTGAATAAAACGTCTGAAATATCAGATCCATTGCCCAAATGACCAAAAACAGTTTACAAAAGCAAGTTTTCAAAATGTGAATCCCAAGAAACCATTCCCAAATTTGTACACGATGCCTTGAATACTGAATTTAATACAAAAATAATTACATACAAAATGCAAAGTTGAATCCGAATGTTGAAAAAAAAACATATCTATAATTCCACAAGTTTTTAAAGTAAATTTGAAGTTTTGGGCAAAATTTTATCACCACATTACTGACAGAATTTCACCTGAACTTGGTTTGATACTTAACCTTTAAAGTTTAGAAGAAATACAATTTTAGTGGATTTATATAAAGCAAATATACATGAATTTCTATTATAAATCAAATCATACAAAAACAAATTTAAAAGAAATTTCAAATTTCAAATTCATGCTTTTACTGCAGAGGAAAAAAACCAATAAATGCTTTGAGTACATAAAATGAATAGACGAAAAAAAGAGTTACAATATTGATTCAATAGTTGTACACTCGAAAATATACATTGTTTTCTTGGTATTAATGGACAATATGTTTGAGAAACCATGCTTGCCTTTCCAAACATCAATTGAACTCCAGATAGATTTGCTCTTTTTTTTCAACATCCGAGCTCACAAAAGCACTTCCTTCTTCAACATGAAGATGTTTTTTTCACCTGGGTGTTATCTTTTTTTTCTACGGGGATCTATTTCTTGCAAACTTGGCCCATCAAAACTTGGTCTTATGGGCATGGGGTGGAAAACACCCTTAACGCTAACCCTTGAATGATTTACTAGGAACCTTCCTCACTCTTTCAAAATCCAACACCACGTGATAAACTCCACACCCAAACTGTTGGACTCTGATTATGGTGGTATGCCTGACCCCATGTAAAGCATAATCAGTTTACTTGTGCAGTCCTCACTCCAACAGAATCCAACAAAACATGCAGTTGGATTTTGAAGGGTTGGGGTGGTTGGGGTTAACAATGTGTCCAACACATATAAAAACTCATAATCTGTTTTCCCAGATATGGAACTAAGCTATTTGACAGAAAAATACATCAGCGTCAAGTATTTGCGTGTAAAAAAACTACATTTTTTTGTAATTCTGTGTAACAAAACTGTTTACAATGAGGCGTGAATCAATGTGCAGCATAGTATTTTTAATTTCTTTGTATGGGATGAAACTGTGAAATACTAATTTCAACGGGAAATACACAAATGTTAATCTTGTACGGAATCCGACGGCTAAATGCAACATTTTGTTTCGCAGTACTTAACTTCGTGATCAACTTTACGCAAATATTGTAGAATGATGCGCTACCTTCTACAAAGCTAATTTTAAACAGATTCTGATATAAATTTTTGTACATATATATATAGTATGCGATTGTAATGTGACGTCAATGTGTTACCGCACGATTCGTACTATGTTGAGTTACCTTACTCCATTTTTTTTAAAGTGTGCTTGATACTCAAGATTAAGACTTCTTTCTTTACCAACCCGCTGGAGAAATGACGACAGTTTTGAAGAATTTTGTAAAAAATTACAGCAGATTTTTAATCCTATTTACAATAATATAAATACATGTCGCGATGATATCGTCAGATTACAATCTGAGGATTACTAATTAGCCGATTAAGCATTATTATCAGAACCATTTCCGGGGGTTCTTTTAAACTACATTATCAGAGATTTGTGATTCAAGTCAAGTACAAGCACGTACGACGCGCGTGGCTGTAACATGCAGTGTGGCATGGGGGACTTGCACGTGTTGTTTCCCCACACAGTGGGCGGGGCTTAATGGAGGGTTCTACTGAAATTAGGTGTATCAAGTTTTTGAAAAATATCTTGTCCATGTTGAAATACGCAGCAATGGACTATTTAAGCGCCCATGACATGAACTGTACTCCTAAATGTATGAAAACTATTTGACATCCCTTTTTCGGTTAATCTTATTGTAAAGGACATTTTTTTAAGCATTTCCAATTTTCCATGCTTTTCTTGACAAATGAGGGTGCTGTTGCTGTGATGTCATTTCAGGAAGACACTGTTCAGTTTGGTGGATTTTCTGTTAAAACTGTGAACCCTAAAAGTTGCTCACTGAAAACATTTGTGGAAAACTTAGCTAATTGGCCTGTCATGTACTGAATCAACGACTCACCCAAAAAAATTATGATAGCAAAATAGCCAAAATTGTGGAAACATGTTGATACCAAAATAGCTGTGACATTGAGGTTTCTGCCTGAAATGACATCACACTTTTGCTCATGAATATGCAAATTTTCATTAGCATAAAATGGCCAAATGAAAATTGAGAATAAGGTTTACAGGATACAAAGGTTCATTTCCAAGGGTCGCATTAAAAAAAAGTTACATTACATGGGCCCTTTAAGAACCGAAACTAACCGGAGTAATTCGGGAGACAGAGAGTGACACACAGTGACAGACATACAGTGAAACATGGGTGAGAAATAGGGTGATATCTCTCCCCAAAGTCATCTTCGTTAGAAAATATCACTTGAAAGCAAATGGTCAAAAAATCTCTCACGAAAGAAACCCATGTAGTTCATAAAATCCTGTCGATTCGATCAAGACAAAAATCTTAAGCATCTTTTTTTCACAGAAAACATTTTCAAACCAGTAATTTTTGTTTGTTTCCATATAAAATGAATGACCTCAACATTCTGGCCACATGATCTTACCGCTGGAAGTTTGATTCCAAAACCAGGACTACTTCACATATTTTTGAGCCAAATATGATTTTTCTGAGTGAAGTTTTGTTTTTAGCAGCACCTAAATACAAGAAGTGATAAATTTTTTCACCAGATTTCAACATGCTATAAGATAAACCTTGTCTACACTGTAGATATGTGAAATAACCAGTGATGTAGTTGAGCCCATCACAAGTCCATCACAACTCCAGTCAAAAGTAAATAACAAGTCCAGTCACAAATAACAGTGGATGAACAATAACAAAGGAAGCCTTTGTCAAAGCTCATTTGAACAGCTTGTAAGTTGAATTGGGACTGGAGGACTTGTGGAGGACTTGTGATGGACTTGCAGGGACTTGTGATGGACTCGACAACATCCCTGGAAATACTGATTTCCTGGTTATGGTACAGAAAGGGATTCAGAATTTAATTTTAGAACAAAATCGAAATAGAGATTAGATCACTTATTTTGTCCTCCGCAGTTATGCCTGGTTTGTATTTCTGTGTGTACCTTTTAACAAATTCTTATGTCGTTTTTTTTTTTACTAGTTATCTCTTAAGTCTCCTCATATGAATAAGTCTCCTCATTTTGAACTTTGTATAAATTGTATGGGCCTAATTTTATTGAGAAGCTAAGCAGAAAAATAGTGCTTAGCAGATTTATGTCCTAAGCAGAAATCAGCTGGGCACCAGTGAGAAGTAAAACATTTCACATGACATTTCACTGGTGACCGGTATTTTTCTGCGCTTAGCAAATTTCTGTTCTAAGCAGATCCAAGAAAAAAATTGGCCCCTGGTCAAGCCAGGCCAAGCCAAGCCAAGCCTTAGCCTAGCCCGACTCCAAATGTAGACTGGTATAATTTCTCACTGTCAAGCTGCGTAGGGTCTTCTTTTTTCTCTTGCAGTTGGGGTTTCCCCGTCTAATCCGTCTCCAGGGTACTAACCTTCATGACCCCGTAGTACACGGCTCGCATCAGGTTCAGGATCCCGACCACAAAGGCACCTGGGAATGTCAAAGGTGAAAGGTCATGAGGTCAAATCAACTTCACAGCTTACATCAGGGTGAAGTGCTCATTCAAGGACCATTGGTTGGAATGGTGGTCGCTGCGTGATGTGCGTTGTAACTGTTTAATCACAGATGTCTATGGGAAGTCAGGTTTGGGCAGTGGCTTCTTGCCTCGACTTCCACCGTTATGGCTGGGGTTCGATGGATGGGTTTTTTCAGTCCCTACCTGATTGGCTTTTTAGCCCCTGCCAGTCCTTGCCTATTAACCTACCTGATTCTGTGGGATTTCTACAGAATATTCTTCTAGGGTTTTCCTCCCACCTCTTAAAACTGTAATTTTTTTTCTTCTCATTGTCTCCTCTTTTACATGTTTCTTCAGGCTTGCGAGCTGCAGTGCCTAGGGCACTTTTGAGGAATCCTTGGTTCCAGTAGACTATAATGTGCGAACTATGGTTGATCCGCATTAAAAAGAAAATCCACATGGTCTATGCTCCATGTGTACACTATGTCCATCGCACTCTCTATAAATAGCGGACTAGATCAACATTAGTTTGATGATGTTTTGACCATCATTTGATAAGATATGTTCACACGCTGCTATTAGAGCGCTAGTATCGTGTTATGTCTCATATTAACCATTTGGCCACCTAGCGTCCTTGCCCTGATCAAAACTTACTCAGGATGGGAATAACAACCGTGGTGTTTGTGGCACTGCACGGGGTAGTCCAAAAAAAAAACCCAGCCTGGTTTCAATACAGCCAATTAATTTTAAGTAAGTTATTCACTCACCGATCCACACAAAGTAGATACCGCCTTGGTTCTCAGCCAGAGAGTAGGTCCCAATCTGTGGACGAATACAACCAGACCATTTACAATTAACTCTTTGTAGGAACCCTAACCCTCCTCAATCCTCCAAAATCCTCCAGGCAGTTTTGGAGGATTTTGGAGGATTGAGGCCGAATGGCCAAAACAACATCGGTTGATTTTGGAGGATGCACTGTGTCGAGTTCGCAGGTTGTACCCAGCTTTGCTTACGTTCAAGTCATGCATAACTGAGCACTGCTTGATGTAGTCCGCACTGCTTTTGAATGTCATCGGCACTCAACCCGTTAACAGTGATTAATTGTTGGAGGATTTTGAAAGATTGAGGCAATGGTCAACCCTCCCACTGAACGAGTGCAAGAAATATCGGACGGTTTTGGAGGATTGAGGCTGAACCCAATTTTGACATGGTGGCAATTGGAGGATTTTGCAGGATTGAGGATGGTTCCTGGCAAAGCGGGCCTGGGGGATTAGGGTTAAGGTGTATTTACACATACATATACAAGATTTTATTGCAACGCCTTTGTGTCGCGGCAATGTCTCGTTCCTTGTTTTTCCGTCTTTTTCAATCAGTTCAGGCACCGGTTTCAGGTGAAATATGTACACAAAGTTTTTGTGTGGTATCACAAAATAACTTTGTGTGATTAAAACCACACGCTAAGTCCCATAACTTTGTGGCATAAACACTCTCACTAATTTTTGCATATTTATAAAAATGTATAAAAAAATTTGCAACATTGTCGAAAGAGGAACATGCCTGCGCTTGCCCTGACTGAAATGACTCTCCAAAGTTTGGCAATAACAGCAATGCACCGTTGAATGAGTCTTAACGGATCGGTCAATTGCTTGGAATTTTACAGCTGAAGGCACAGCAATTCGCACCAAATTATTTCCATTATTAATTTGAGCGTGTATAATATTGGAAATACAGGTTTAAATACAAGGTCTTTGCAACAAATTGTAAGGTGTTTGCAACAACTATTTCACAGAAAAATAAAACATGGCCATACCGTGACACCAATGCCAGCGCCCAGGAAAATCAGTCCAATCACAGTGTAGATGATGCACCTGTTTTTAGCATAGGCTTGTCCAACAGACGATCTGCAAGTTCAAAACAGAAAATTTATACAAACCATCGGAATCTCCTATTAGGAATTTTAAGGAGCAGCATAAAGTTGGTTTTGGTACTCGACCCCATATTCTGGAACCTGACATCAACGGTCGGGTGCTCGGGTGCTCGGGTACCCGGTTCCGATGCACAGCTGAGCTGGCCAGCTGGCGCTATTAAGCTGGGTGCTTTATGGCTAAGACATCTGCACTGCAGAGATGTTATCAGTTTGGGTCTCATCCGAGCTAGCTTGTGGAAATTGTTGTGCAAGCTTTTTGACAGCGTTGGGTACAAAGGGCAAGCCCAACACTGGGAGTCGGGTTGGCGTAGCGGTACTTTCCTCGCCTTCTACCACGGTGACCTGGGTTCAAATCCCAACTGGGCCAATATGTGGATTGGGTATTCAGTCCCTACCTGATTCAGTGGGTTTCCCTAGAAAATAATCCTGGGGTTTTCCTCCCACCACTAAAACTGTTAATTTCCTTCCACATCTTCTAACAAGGGACCCCACTGGAAGTAAGTCGAGAGACTTCCGTGGGCTATCCTGTCAATTGCCGAATAATGACAAACAAACAAACAACTAACAAACAAACTGACAACTTACACTCTTCGACAGTAGGGGCATCTGGCCAGGGTTGACGAGTGTGGAAACTAGAAAAAACAATTCAAAGAAATCTTCATTTACAATGTACTTATGCTCCCAAGGGTTTTAAGCCCTTTCCACCTAAAATAACTTTATATATCTTAACTGAATCAAACTACTTAGTAAAACCAGAGTACAATCCCCAAATGTGTTTACATGTACATCGTGTAATGTACACTGCTTGCTGCCAGTTCTCTTTGCTGAGCGACAGTTCTGTCAAATTTATGGTGACAGAGAGTTGGTGTTACTACCTGGCAGAACACAACGAAGCTTGCCAGGCACATCCGTGCTTACGCCCAAACCCACTGATTGCTTACAACTTCCTGCGGCATTTTCTACAGCTATTTGCAGTTGTGTGCTTGTACTCAAAACTGATGTGTAAAGGAAAGTGATACTACAAAAACTGCAATGCACAATTAGTAAATAAGCGTTTGACTTCCTTTTCCACAAACAACACACACGTGCGCACATGCACTGAAGATGACATTTCTTCATGCTGATAGAAACTGCACCTATACAGCCGTGTTAGAGCTTGCCATGAGGAATTTCCTGCCTAGTTTTAATACATATTATGAGCACGTGAAATTCAAAATCTCACGTAGCCAGGACGTTTGTATTCTGTGCGAGGGAATGAGTTTAATAGCGCTCTAGTATTTCAAATATAGCTGTATGGGCTCACCCTGAATCGCTCGTTGCAATGACCGCACACCACGCGGTAGCCAGAGGTAGTGGTCAGGGTGTTCGTGGTCGAGGGAGTTGCAACAGTCGTCATCGGCGCCAGGTTGATGATTCGCTTACTGTTGGCCAATCAGAACAAAGGAACAAACTTTTTCAAAAATATTCACATGTGTCATGTACGCACAAAAGTCACATCATCTCGTCCAAAAAAATGATGTTTATTTCCACACACAAGAAAAGAAATTGACCCAGCTTTAAAAAAAACACATTAAAAAATATGCAAAGAGAAAATACTACATTATTTACCCATTCAAACAAGAATCACTTTGTGAATCGACATAGCAAGATTATAAATATTTAATCTTGGAGTTTTTACGATTTGTAATTCACCTTTTCCTGTGATATGCACACAGGAAACATAACAACAGCAGGCACTTTGTGGTTGCAATTCGCTGACAAATGATCAATGGGCAGAACAAGTCTTAGCTATATCCGTTGGGTTTTGGAGGATTCAGGAGCAACCAGGCTTTGCATTTGTTGGATTTTCATGGATTCACAAAAAAAACACCCAAAAGAGGGAGTTAGCATGGTAAGGGTTAATATTAAACAATGCTTAAACCCAATTCCTCTGAAGTTTGGGTAGAATCCTTCCTTAGTCCATGGAAATCCAACAATCAAAATCCAACAAAATTCCACTCATAGTTATAATTTTCAATGAAAAAAAAAATCTTCTAGTTTTTCTTATTCAACTCAAATGGCTTACGAAACTTATTTGTGTCAAATTTTGCAAGTCCGCTATACTCCAGTTTCTGGAGCCATCAAAATCAATTAATACCAGTTATTAGATTTTGATGGAATTTGTAGGGTTAAGGAGACCCACCAGTTAGCCCTGGGGCATGCAATCCGCTTGGATGACAGCTTGCAGATAAGTAGGCAGTTGCACGGACAGCGGACATACTTCTTGCCAGCTGGGGCTTCTTTGATTGGCTGGAAATTGACAGGAAAGAAATATATTTAAGGGGTTCATTACGTTTCAAATAACAAGACAATTATACAGGGTGAGTAATAAAACCAGAAACCCAATTGTCGGGACCATGGTTTTAGTGAAGTTCTGCATGTAGCACTTTCAAAATCCAGGATATGAAAGCCCAATTCATTTCTTTAAGTACAAGAATCCTTCAAATCACTCAGGTAATTTTCAAGTTACGGAGTTTTAAACACAACCACCGTTTTAAGTGTTCTTTCAGCAAAACGAAAACAATTCACATAGGGATGCGTGTGAATTGTTTCGTTTTGCTGAAAGAACCGTGGACAGAACTTTAAAACGGTGGTTGTGTTTAAATTCCGAATGAATGATTCTTGTACTAAAAGAAAGCTTGTTAATTGGGCTTTCATATCTTAACTTTATTAAGAAAATGGTTCTGCCATTTGGGTATCCTTTTTTTTTACTCACCCTGAAGATGTAAGTGAAAACAAAGTAACTGGATTATGTTCATTATGTTCAACTAGTTGAGCTTGACCTGAAAGTTTGACAGCTAGTTTTATTTTCAAAGGAAACATAAAGAAAATTATCACAGTGAAATAAAAAAAAATGTGATAATACACTAACCAAACAACAATGTTATTTAAAAAGGTTTCGTTGAGGACTAAATGAAGAGATGAAAAAAAAAAACCTGGAAAAGTAAAAGGTGATATGGACTTCATAAGATGTTAATCCTCATCAAATTTTGTTTTTAAATTGGTTCTTGATTACAAACTTGAAGCACATGCAGGGTTGCAAGTGTTATGCAAGTTCGGTATCGAGGCTCCCAAAAAATAGTTCTGCTGCCGATTACATGGCATTTGAAAATAGGGTAGGTAGGTAGGGAATTTTTTTGGGGGGGGGGGGGGGCAATTTTTGCTGTACGACCATATGGAGGTGTCTGCATGTAGTCAAGGGTAAAAGGTAGTAATTGATGATTTTCAGGGTTTTATCCTCACTTTTCCCACACAAGATTAGTGTAGGGGCTGTCAAAACTGGGTAGGCCTGGTAACCGGAAGCAGAACTATTTTTTTTTTGGCCTTACATAAGTTGTTATCAACTCAACTTTGACAATAACATTACTGCCCATCTGTGTTATCATGGAATGACACATGATCCGCAAAAAAAAAATTGGTTATCAGAATGAACGTCAAGTTGCCTTGAAACCAACACCAAGGCAAAGATCGGTGTCACAAGATTTTCTTTTTGATACCAACTTTATCAATCTCAAAGGTCGGTCATTGGCAATTGTCAAATCCAAATAATTTGTGTAGCCGCCAACATTTAGATCATATTGAAACAAAAAGTACTGTGTAACTTTCAAAATCTGTAAATTTTAAACATAAACATAAAAAAACATACATGTACAGTGACTCATCAAAATCGAGACAACTTTATATTTACCCCCTTTTTTTTTCAAAAACACTTCCTGCATTTCATGATATTTTGTGGAAATATTCTTAAGTGCTTACACAAATATTAGAACATCAATAAAGTAAATTATAGAACTTTCCTGAATCAATCAAAATACTGCCAAACCAGAGTGTAGTTTTTTGGTAGATTTAGGGAAGTTACATAGGACTATGGAAGTTTTGTTTTGGTACACTTTTAAACATGCGTGCTAAGTTATACACATTTATGTAACCACACATGTACACACATTTATACATGTACAAACAATGTACATGTACAAACGTTAAACAATGTACACATGTACAATGTACATGTACGCAATGCCTGTACAACAGTACAGGGAAATTGATATTGTGTAATGGCATTGCATTCAAAGACAAGTCCATGTACATGTACATGAGACAATATGTACAACTTGCAATTTCTTTTCTGTCAAACTTCCTGTATGATGCTATTGAATTTTGATCATGTAAAATGTACAAATGTACATGTCTGTGTGCACTCTTGGAAATTGAACTAACAACAGCCTTTGGGGAGAAGAACTCTTTATAGAAACTTACTCAACCTTTGCCTGTTGCATTGTTTGAATAAGGTCACGGGACCACCCAAATAATACAAAAGATTCCTGTGGGGCCCTTTGTCCAAATTACGATTACGCATATAGAATGCTGACTGTTATCAGGGGCTACAAACAAACAGAAATGTGTTTCTGGCAATTTTTGTGACTCCTTTTTTTATGTGCAGTGTGCGTTAAAATTTCCCAGTTGAGAATTTGAGTCGTCAAAAGTTTCAGACTGATCAAGTTACAGGACACACGTAACCCCTTTTCATATTAAACAAAACTGACATTAACCAGTAGCCTAAGGCCGAATTAATATAAAAAAAAATAGTTTCTCGTCCGAGCTTGTTAGAAAAATGAAGGAGGCGAGCGTTTTCTGCTTTTCTTTTTCTTTTCTTTGGCCGATTTTCCAAATTTGCGGATTGATTCGTCCATTTTCTCAACTCTGTTGCTGATATAAAATTGAGTCCAAAGGAGCCTTAATTAATGAACCCTTTCTTCATTGCAATAATTTTGTTAAGACAATCATTGCAAAAAAAAGGAGGTGGGCAGAAGAACAATGAAGCGTGCGGGGACGGGAAAGCGATATATATTTTTTACTTGGACTAATTTCCACAAGTTTCATTTTTTCAAATAAACCCCAAAGTAAGTTTCAATTTTGATAGATGGACCACGTACCAGACGCCGGTACATACTACATGTACCTGTATGAGGATGCACATATACAATAGGTTTGCAGGGATGCTTGCAAAATGGAGTTTGGCCACGAAAACCACAACTGACAACTCATAATAGAATAAAATCTATTTAGAGGTATTTACATGTAGATAAGAAACCTGTACAAACATGTTCACATGTAATTTAGTTTTGATTTCCGTCACAGTCAGTATGGTATTAAAAAAGCAATACTTCTGTCTAAGAGGCTGTCGTAAAACTCTCTAACACGTACATTAATGTTCTCGTAAAGCTCACACTGCATGTAGGTGCATGTATGCATACTACAAATTGTGCGTTGATAGCTAATCTTTAATAATTCCTATGATTTTTCCATTTTGAGAAAGTTTCATTTCACATTCTAAATAAGAACCGCTTTGTGTTTTTATGATTCCGAAGAAAGTCAGACAAAACAATTTTCAAAATGGCGGGCTGAGGTGATCCAACGACTGTTTCACGAACGAACAAATTCACACACAAACAGCCATCGTAAATGCTGCTTTTATCCTCATCTAATATGTGTGAATTATTTAAAACGATGCGCAGCTACGGCAAGTTTTGTGACATCGATCGTAAGTTTATTGCGCAACTGCACCACAAATTTGTTGCGTATGTCTTACACATGGCGCAAGCTGCGTACTTTTTCGTGAAATCGGCTGCTGATCATTGGATTGGGTACCTGTAACCAACTTCACATGTTACTTAGTAAGTTCTCAGACAATGAAAAAAAAAGGTTACGACTGTCATTTATGGGGACTTTTCAAAATGAAAACCAGGTTACATGGAAAAACAAAAGAGATTCACGTTTGATGAGGCTTGCAAAAATGCAATTTCCACTGTCAAGCTAAAGAGCTCACTGTACACACTTGTATTTGTCTGTACTGACACACCCATGTGGTAGTATATTGTGAACAGCAACTTCCATGATTTGAAATTTAGGATGGGGTTTATTTCAGTCGGGTACCTGATTCCCGTAATTCCCATAAATCCACATCCCCCCCCCCCCCCCAGTTCAAACCTTAATTCATACAAATTGTCTGGATTTTAAACCATGAACTACCCTAATACTACAAGCAACTGATACTTATTAACAAGAACAAACCCACAGACCCTGCGATCTGCCATCCATAGTTATGATGAAGCTCTAATTTACATATCACACTCCCGCCCCCTACCTCCCCCCCCCCCTCCCCGCCCTTTGAATTTGCTGAGCCAGGGCAAGACAGCTCTATTAAATCCTTGATAACTCTTTATTTTCCTAAAGTTACCTCCATTTCAAACCGGTGTTCTTAAGTCACACCAAACAAACTTATTTGAAAGATTTTGAATTAAGTACATGAACAATTGACATTTGAAACAGGAGCAACCACATCAAATGATCAACTGTTGCAGTCGTTCAGAACAACTCAGAACAGAGTCTAGTCAATCCAAATTTAACCCTAACTCCCCTGGCCTTTTTGCTAGGATGTAGCCTCAATCCTGCAAAATCCTCCAATTGGCCTCATGGAAAAATAACATATAGCCTCAATACTGCAAATTCCTCCATTATTACTTGAATATGGTCCGTGGAGGATTTCTAGCATAATCCAGGCCTATTTCAGCGCCTTGTATCCTTTGGCAATTTGGCGCGCTATAAATCCAGTTATTATTATTATTATTATTATTATTTATGCATGGCTGAGGAAAAACAACACAAGGTCCGGCCCAAGACCTTGACACAGTGTATCCTACGAAATCAGTAACGCACTTTTGCCATGTAAACTCAATCCTGCAAAATCCTCCACTTTGGCAAAGAGGATTTTGAAGGAATCAGGGCAATTAGGGTTAAATGTTTGTGTAACCCCACAAATAAGTAAACAGATGGAGTAAATTTGTGTCAAACCCTTCAAAGCGTTTCTTCTCCGAATTGCATTTCCACCACATGCTTGCTTGTCAGTTCATGAAACCAAAATTATTGATGAACCCAAACTCCCTAGCATCTTTTACTAGGAACTGGACCAAGTCCATCAAAATCCATCAATCACTGTGCGTCCAATACAAAACTGTACATGACATAATTGAATCCACCACTGACACACTGGTTGACATTCATGAACTTGCTACACATGGCTTTTATCACAATAGCAATACAGGAAGCTAGGCAAAATCAATCGGATGAACCAAGCACTGCTTCAGGCCATTAGGCCCAAGTCCATCATACTCCATCAATATTTAGTCACGCCAGGCCTTCTGGACCAAGTCCCCAAAATCCAACAAAATGGGGGGATGGATTTTGATGGAGTTGGGGTGGTTAGGGTTTTAAGCAGTTTTAAGTCAGTTCGTGATAAGGCCAAAAAAAAAAATGTTCGGTCTCTGGTCAGACCAAAGTTCCGGAATTGACGCGGCCACGCGGCTTTTTTTTTTTTTTTTTCCTTTTTTTTTTTTTCTTCAAGCTTGGATTGTACAGACAAGGTGGGGTACTATTTTGCTTTTTTGGTGTCCTCATGTACATTGGTGTCCTCCATAATTTGCCTTGGTGCTTTCCATCATTTGCCTTGGTGCAATTTCCCATTCCTTGGTGCTCTTTGGTAAAAAAAAATTGAGGAGGTGCGGAAATAGAGGGCGCTGTTGGAGCTACCGCGGAACATTTTGCAAAAAAAAGATCGACGCGCATGATTACAATCGACGCGCGCGCTGACCAGAGACCAACTTTTTTTTTTTTTGCCCAACAGTGACAATTTTACTCACAGTGGCTTCGTGACAGATGCTGCATTTGACCACGTGCTGGTGCATCCTCCCTTCCAGGTTGATCATGGCCTGACAGACGCGGCAGTTGATCATGGGCACTCCGCCACCGGGGCCCCCCTGGACCGGAGGGGAGTAGGGCGGGGGCATCTCGCCGGGCTGGATGGGTGGAGGGACATCGCTGCCTAGCACTGGTGGAATTTCTAGGGGTAGAAAATATCAGACTTTAGTATCACAAATTTAACACACACAAAATAAAAACCCAGATTAGTTCCTGAAGCAAAGTATTTTATGAAGATTAACCCTAACTTTCTAGGGCTTTTGTGCCAGGAATCCGCCAACATCCTCCAAAATTTTGCACCTCTGTTCAAATGAAGGGATACCCAGCACCTCAATCCTTCAAAATCGTCAGACAGTCCTGCCTCTCAAAATGCATTCATCCTCAATTCTCCAAAATCCTTCTCTTTTTCAAACACCATTCATCCCAATCCTCCAAAATCCTCATGTGCTAAAACACCATTCATCCTCAATCCTCCAAAATCCTCATGTTTCTCAAACACCATTCATCCTAAATCCTCAAAAATCCTCAAAACCGCCATGATGATTTTTGGAAGATTGAGGAGGGTTTATAGGGTTAATTGTTCTCTTTTTCATTTTTTGGAATTTATTAATTTTTTGGTTTTCTTTCAAAAATCCCAGCCAGCTGTCATAACTTCATTTTTTTCCCCCCAGTACATAGTGCTCATGCTATTTTTTTTTTTTTTAAGAATTTCGTGTATGAAAGTTATTTTTGGCATGGAAATATATTGGTGTACATGCTCTTTTTGTATATTTTGAAACAAAACCTTCCATTTCACAATGTGACTTTTGATTAATTGAACTTAAAAATGTACATGTACAACAATCAATTAGTATGAATAACAAAATATACCTTGCGGGTCTTTGCTATTTCTAAAAGTAAAAAGTACCTGTGGCTGTGTGCCTTCTACTTTTCTAGCACGACCAAAAATAAGATTGCCAAATTGTCTATATTTCACACCTGACGTGCCTGAAGAAAAACAGCAGTTTCTAGTCGGATACTACTCCTAGAACCATGGACCCCACAAAATTGGTTGCTTCTACAAAACACCAACTAAGTACAAAAACGTCCATCAAAACACAGACATTTCCCACAGAACCGCTGCACAATTTGCCCCTAAACTTCGTACTATACATCTTGACATACTCACGTAAGTTGCGCCTAACTTTTGTCAGTTTTTAGGCCAAAACGATGAAAAATATGCCCTTTCCGCACTGAGCCAACCTGACACTTGAAACGTGCACGCAGATATCTACATGTGTATGATCGATCGATGATTTTTGGTTCGCTCAGCGCGCAGAGCATCACATTTCTAGGATTACACTAGTCCAAGTAACTTGGACCCAACTTATCGCCTTTTTAACATTCAGACATGGTCTGGCGATAGTAAGGTCCAAGCTAATAGTGCGAGCTGGACAACATAACCCTGTCACTGTCCCAAAAACCAACATTTTCCAACAAAAAACATCAGATTTCACCTTCAAAACGGCCCCCAAATTACTAGATATGCCACCTGAGCTACAAGTAGACATCGATGATTAAGATGGTTGTACTGAAGTTTACTTACGATCCAGAAGAAAAGTGAAATTTCTCGTTAAATTCTGAGAGCTCCCCTCTCGATCTTGAACATGTTAAATTTCCGACTCGTGTTAATGTTTGAACGACGCGATTTCTTCTTCATGCCCAGCGTACATTGGATGGTCCCCGTATCCCGAGTGCAATTCCGTTACCGAGCGCGCGCGATGCATCGCTTATGATAATGAGTCACGTTTGTAAACACAAGTGCATTTCGAACGGTAAAAGGGAATCGGGAACCAGCTTGAACTGGTATCCCCCATAAAAGCTGCGCTAGTTCCCGATTCCCTATTATCGTTCGAAATGCACTTGTGTTTACATGTACAAACGTTATCCAGTCTACTCATTATCATAATCGATGCATTTCGCGCGCTCGGTAACGGAATCGCACTCCGGATACGGGGACCATCGAATGTACGCTGGGCATGAAGAAGAAATCGTGTCGTTCAAACGTTAACACGAGTCGGAAATTTAACATGTTCAAGATCGCGAGGGGAGCTCTAAGAATTGAACGGGAAATTTCACTTTTCTTTCAGATCGTAAGTAAACTTCAGTACAACCATCTTAAAGGGAATATACATCATTTGCTTTTGCTGTAATTTTCATAAATGGATGGAATTGGGGGGTTGGAAATATATAGCAAATATAGTTACACTGACTTTTTTGAGGTTTTGTGTTTGAAAATGCTATAAAAACCAAGAAAAACGATCATTTTCCTGTAGTCTGGTTCCCTGACTCCATGTAAGAAGAAACAGAGCCTTTAACATACATTGGGGAATTGTAAGGTCAGGGAACCAGTCTAGCTGGCTCGTACCCGTTCATAGGTTTGTAATCGATTGCAAACAAGTGTGATGGTCAATTGGGGCCAGTATTTGAAAAAAAGCCAGTTGTTTCCAACGCTGATCGGCCGATCAGCGTTGGAAATTGATACAAAAATACCACTTTTCTTGAAAATGACAGTATACCAGGTGCCATGATTTTACAGGATGCTTTACACTGTCATTCACTAACAGTCCAGCAAGGTATTTCAAAATGATTTGGTAGTTTTATTTTTTGATGTTTGCAAATGTTGTATTTTCCCTTTAATCATCGATGTCTATTTGTACCTCAGGTGGCATATCTAGTAATTTGAAGGCCATTTTGAAGGTGAAATCTGATGTTTTTTTGTTGGAAAATGTTGGTTTTTGGGACAGTGACAGGATGATGTTGTCCAGCTCGCACTATTAGCTTGGACCTTACTATCGCCAGACCATGTCTGAATGTTAAAAAGGCGATAAGTTGGGTCCAAGTTACTCGGACTAGGATTACACAGGCACGGCTGACAGTTTAAAAGGTCAAGCGTGTAAGTCTTCATTTGGAAAGTTCGTACTGAAAATGTTTACGACGAAAGCATGGATCTACAATTTATTTTCTGTGAACATGTCACCCACGGACATATTTACTTTTTCTAAGCCAATCATCTTTTTAATATGGACACAAGGAATATATGTAAACAGAATTTCATCTCCCTCCATCATTTTGTCCATCAGGTAAAAATATAAAATGATGTGTTGTAATTTTTTTCGCTATGGGCAGCACAGTCATACCCTGGATGTCAGTCGTAATCTGGTTCTGGTAGGAACCGTAGGCCGTAATGCAATGAAGATGTCGTCCAACCTGGGCTTGCTGATAATGATATCTGGATATCCAACATGTATTTTTAGCGAACTAGTTTACTGTTCGTTTAGACAATTCCAAACACATAAAATTAAAATTACTTTTTTTCTGCTTGTATCATCACCAAATGTTTTGGTATAGGCCTAAATAATCTAGAAGTCCCAAAGCATAAAATGTCTTATGTTCTCTAATACGGAACGGGGTCCTAAACTACACGATTACCACCGTTCTTTCCTTCATGGCGCAACTTGGAAGGGGAAGTCAAAACAAAGCAAAAGGAGGAACCAACCACGATGTCGCGGAACATGTCGAAATCCATATCCCATGATTGTATCCCGCACACTAATTCGCAAAAACTTAACGGCCATATTTTTTCACAAAAACGACAAATTATGTCCCCCTAAAGTAGCCACATGTTTTACCTGTAGAGTTAATGGGCGGCAGGTTCGGTGCTGAAGGAGCAATGCCTTCATTTTCGCTACTTTCTGAATTACTCAAGAGAGGTTCACTTTCGCCCCGTCGACTGTCCGCCATCTTGGCTGACTAAAATGCTGCTGACATACGTCACACGTCAGGAAATAAAAGTTCGTTTGTCATGTGACGTGATCACGTGATGAGCTTTGTTTACATTCGTTTCGTCAGCAAGTTGTAGAAGTATTTTTTTTTTCCCATTATAGAATTGTGATGTATTTTTACTAGTTTTTGAACGAAATAAAATGAAATGGAATAAAAAAAAAGCTTACTTTTTAAAAAAAATGTCATTTTGGCGAAAAAAGTCTGTCATAATTGTGGTGGAACAAGTTTAGGTCTTTTTTGCGGGAGGGGGGGTTGAAGAAACATGAAGGAAAAAATGATAAATTGTTTTGAGAAATTTATGGAAATTAGCGAAAAAAACCATGACTCAAAGGATAACAATATTTCATACGTAGTCTATAGGCAAAATATAACCACTCCCAATTTTCTGGTATAATTGCAAAGTTAATTTATTTTGGCTGAAATTAACTTAAAGGGAATACACAACATTTGCAAACATCGAAAAATAAAACTGCCAAGTTTTAAGAAGTACTTTACTAGGATGTTGGTAAATGACAGTATAAAGCATTCTGTAAAATTATGGCACTTGGTGTGAAGTCATTTTCAAGAAAATAGTATTTTTGTATACATTTCCAATGGTGGTCGGCCGACCACCGTTGGAAAACCTAACTAGTTTTTAACTACTGATCCAAATTTACCATTTTTTTTAGTCCAAATTTTGTTTGCTATTGGTTACATGTTCATGAACGGGTGCAGGCAGGCTTGACTGGTTCCCTTACCTCACAATTTTCCGGCATCTATAAATATTGATCTATTTCATCTTTAGTGGAGTCAGGGAACCAGACTGCTGGAACATTTGTGTTTTTCTTGGTTTTTCCAGCATTTTCAAACCCAAAACTTCAAACATGTTAGTGTAACAATATTTGATTCATTATACTAACCCCTCAAATAGTTCATTTTTGAAAATTACAGCAAAAGCCAATAATGTACATTCCCTTTAATGACGTCCAGTTTACAAATCCACAAAATAGTGACAAAATGTTCATTATGGATTTAATTTATTACATTATCTCCACTGTCAACTTCCTAAAGACCAATGGACTCAAATAAAGTATTACATTTTCATATTCAATGTCACTCTACATGGGTATTTTAATTCACTACTAAACAATGTAAGGCCACGAAAAAAAGAAAAAAAAAAATCTTTTTTTTTTTTTAATTCATACATTTGCAATTACTGCATATTGCCAATATTGTCTGTTTATGTTTTTCTAATAATATTTGAACTGTGTAAAAACACAGTTTTGTACCATCAAAAGATTCAAAATCCGCTACCACGGGGGGAAAACAGGAAACAAAAAGCCCCTTTCTCCTCCATTTTTTTTTAAAGCCCGGACTACAAACAATTTTTTTTTTACTTGGCCTAACAATTGACTTTTCAAACCAAGACTAAAGTTGCAGATTCCTGCTCAGTTTGAGTAAGTGTAAATTCTTCAAATAAGAGACCTTGGTGGAGTGAATGCTTTACATTGTAAATATCTGCAGCAAAAGTTGTACACGAACTCTCACAAGACTTGGTAAATAATTCTGTCCAAAAAAGGATGTAATGCAACCTCATTTGTTTTTCTTTTAAATTGGCAGTACATTTTTTGATAATTTAAATAGACTTCTGAAAATAAGATCGAGTTAAAACATTTCAATTTTGGCAATAAGTTCTAAACACAAAATATATACATTGCAAAACTGGTTTTACAATTTCAACAGTATCAAATTACATCAGACTAATGTTGAAAAGTTAAACGACATGAACATAATATATAAAAAAAAAATCATCAAGTTTTTGATATAAAATTCATAATTTCTCTCCAAACACAATTTATTTCTGTACACATCACAGCTTTGATGAGAAGGTTTCATAATCATACTGATCGCTTTGAGCCAGTCCTTTGAAGATTTTGAGGTACATTTCCTTTGGGCTTGCGGTGGCTTTGACGGCAGGTGTGCTCTCCATGCGATTGACGTAATCCACCAAGTTTGGAAGTTGTGCTTTGCCTAAATCGTAGAGTGGATCAAAGCTTACCAAACGCTCATTGAAAGGCCAGATCATCAGGTCCACCATTCCGGGCTCTTGCCCTGTAACGAGACAAAGGACAGGCGTATAAATAAGGGAATGTTAAGACTGGTTGGAGTCTCGAATGCTGATAATTACCCAAGGCGAAGCTGAGGGTAATTATCAGCATCCAGACTCCAACCGGTCTTAAACATAGTGTTTAATACCGTCCAAGCACATATTTATTCCCATTGATAAATACCTGTTTGGTCAAAAAATCAAAACCTTTGGGTCCAAAAGTCCAAACAAGTCAAAAATTAAATGTTTCCAACCATTTTGTTCAACAGTTTTACTTTCTGTTTACGAAGCACCCCTCTAGCTATATAATGGAGTAAACAACTCCTTTTATGCGTACTGCGGATGACCCGCAGATGCAGCTGTGGTGAGTGCGTTGTGAATTTAGGACTATGAAATACTGACTCTCTGGTAGTCTACATGCCTACGTGAGGATTGTGAACGTTCGACCAATAAAACGGTAAAAGGTACTGGATTTCAAAGGAGTCAAAATTTCATGTGACACTGGGAAAGTGTTTGAGACCAGCCAGCCATGTCTTTATCATCCGTTTAAGACCGGCCACGTGACGGGCTCTCGACCAATGGGAACGGGCAAACTATCTTAGGTATAATTAATTTTTCTGATTTTTCTTTATAATAATGGAAATTTATACCGCGCCAATATCCGCCATTAATGACGCTCATGGCGCAAACAAAATTATATCAAATCAGAAATAACAAAACAATTAAATTTAACTAAACAAGAATATTCTGAGTGGTCTGAAACAAATAGGTCTTTAGGGCAACTTTAAATTCAGAAAGCGATGTGATGTTGCGAATGGCGAGGGGTAGTTTGTTCCAAAGATGAGGACCTGCGTGAGAAAATGATCGATCACCCCAAGATTTGTGAGTGTGAGGGACAACCAGCAAAGAAGCATCAGAAGATCTCAATCGCCTGGATGGATTATATGGAGTTAATAGGTCTATGTTGTATTCAGGAGCTGAATCATGAAGGCAATGAAAAACAAGCAGTAACAGTTTGTACTTAATCCGGTCAGCAACAGGGAGCCAATGCAGAGACTGCAAAATCGGGGTGATATGGGTTCTAGAGGGTGTCAGGGTCACAATTCGAGCGGCAGAATTTTGGAGTCTTTGTAGGCGAGCAAGTTGGTTACGGGGTAGCTGATACAACAGGGAATTACAAAAATCCAACCGAGATGAAATGAGGGCGTGAACAAGTTTCTCTGTTGCTGAGCGGGTTAGATACTTCCGAATTAAACCCAAGTTACGAAGTTGAAATCTGACAGATTTACATGTGTTAGAAACATGATGAGACATTGACATAAGTGAGTCAAAGGTGACTCCCAGATTTCGACAGGTCGCCGACAAGTTAACAGGTGAATTTTGGATGTTGATACCATGGACATTGATCTTAGCAAGTTGTGACTTTGACCCAAACATAATAAGTTCAGATTTATCAGTGTTGAGTTTGAGAGAATTAGAACTCATCCATACACTGACATCATTGATGCATGATTCAAGTTTCTGGAGAGTCAGCAGGGCGTCATCTTGATTTGGTGCAAATGACACAAAGAGTTGAATGTCATCAGCATAGCAGTGGTAACTGATATTATGAGATTCCAAGACATGTTTCAGACCACTGAGATAGATGGTAAACAACAATGGCCCGCCGACAGATCCCTGGGGAACTCCATGTTTCAGTTCAACTATATCGGATCTGGCGTTACCAATACATACCAGCTGATGACGATCACCCAAGTATGACTTGAACCAAGCAAGAGCACGATCACAAATACCAAAAGATGACATAATGTTTGCAAGTATGTCGTGGTTGACCGTATCAAACGCTGCGGACAAGTCCAGTAGAACGACTGCTGTAAGTCTGCCGACATCCATTTCTGACAAAATGTGGTTAGATAAATTAACTAACAGGGTCTCGACGCTATGATTGGCACGGTATGCAGATTGACGATTATCATACAAATTGATAGATTGTAAATAATCAGTCAGTCTAGAGAAGACAACCCGCTCAAGGACCTTAGACAAGTACGGTAAGTTTGACACGGGGCGGTAGTTCTGAAGCGACTCTGGATCGAGTCCCGGCCTCTTCAGCAATGGACGAACATGGGCGATCTTTAATGCTGCTGGAATAACCCCATCCTTGAGACTCAAGTTGACAATTTTTGCGATCATTGATGAGAAAGCTGGTGCGCAGTCTTTGAGTAGTTTTGTAGGAACAGGATCAAGTTCACATGATTTGACGGGACTTTTACGGATGAGTGTTTCGATTTCTTTAGGTGTTGTAGGCTCAATTGAATTCATGACTGCAGATGTCTGAACTGGTAGTGGAGTAGATGTATCCGGGGTGAAACCAGCGCATATGGTGTCGATCTTGCTAATGAAGAATTGACTGAAAAAATGTGCCAGTGTTTTATCACAGCCATGGGAGGGAAGAGCGGTTGTCTGCTTTCGATTCAGGAGTTTATTGGCGACACTGAAGAGTCGTTTGGAGTCATTGCCACAGTCATTGATGATCTGGTTGTAGTGAGCACGTTTTGACTTGCGTACAAGGGAGATGACATGTTGTCGCTGCTGCCGGTACAATTGACGATCAATCTCTAGCCTGGAAGAGCGCCACTTGCGCTCGAGTCGTTTGCGCTTGCTCCTCTCCTGACCTATTTCATTGTTATACCAAGGAGTACGGACCTTGATAGATGTAGTTCTGGCTGGCGCATATGTATCCAAGAGCTGACCAAGTGTGACATTGTATTGGTCAACGGCTTCGTAGACAGTAGAAACATCCGACGAAATGTCATGCTGACGGAGATCGTCAGCAAAGTCCTTCCTGTCAATTGCACTGATGTTCCTCACTGTAATTTGTGTGCGAGTTGGGCATGGCTTGCGAATATGCAGGCGACAGGAAATGGCTGAATGGTCAGAGATGCCTGGCAAAAGTTTGAGGTCTGAAAAAATGTGTTTTTCAGAGGTGCGGGAGATGAAGACGTCTAAGATGTGACCGCGTTCATGGGTTGGCGATTGAATATACTGGGAAAGACTGTGCGCTTTCAGTAAGTCGTTGAACGTCTTTGTATTGGACGCCTCCAGATTGTCAAGGTGAATGTTAAGGTCACCACAAATCACAAGCGGTGCAGGTCTGAAGATATGGTCATCAAGCAAAAGCGTGAACTCATTCAGAAACGAAGAAAATGCCATTTGACCGGACGGTGGTCGGTAAATGATGTAAAAGTCAAGGCTGGTACTATTGGAGGTCGCGGTGGCTGACAAAACCTCAAAACTCAGGTAATCAAAAGACGTGTTGACTGACATGTCCAGTTCCTTCCGAAAAAGTACGCCAACTCCTCCTCCTCGCTTGCATGCTCTGGGTTTGTGTTTGAATTCATAACCACAAGGAGTTAAGTCGGCTATGGTTGCTTCATCGGATTCAGTTAACCAGGTTTCGCAAATACCCACGATGTCAAAGTTGTTTTCTATGACAAAGTCCTGAAAATCTGTGGATTTGTTGCGAAGAGACCGTGCGTTAAGCATGCAAAAACTAACATGATCGTCAAGGTTGGGGATGATAACTCTGACTAAGTTCTGATGAATAGGGTGGGATCTTGGGGGTTCATCTACAAAATCAGGGTGAGAACTTTCAGTGGGGTTAGGACGGCCAACAATCACACGTATTGGCAGGCCATGTTTGCTTTTCCTACGAATACCGCCCTTGTAAGCACGTCGAGTACGACGACGAGGTGATGTAGATTTAGTGTTGTGTGTTATGCAGGGTTTCCTGAGAAGTTTAAGATGTGAGATTTCATGGCACACCTCCCTGGATAGTTTGCAACTTTGGGAAGACAAGTCACGGTTAAGACCGAGGAGAAAAGTCCGATCATAGGAACGTAACATGTTGGTCGTCGATGTCGGGCCAGAAGAGGCCATTGTTATATAACAGTACCTTGGTGACAATAGGATAGTCCCCGCAACACCAGCTGAAGATTCACTCAGTTTGTTTTGTAGAGCAGCTGAACTCGATTGTCCATCTTGATGAGCCTGTGTGAGATGAATGTCACGTCTTGTCCAGGACGAGTCAAGCGGATAGTCAATGACAAAAGACGGTTGGTGGCATGGCGTTAACGTTACAGTTCTGTACCTCAGGGAATGGCATGATGAAAAATTGCAAATGCAAAATATGCTCCAAATCAGAATGATCAGAAGAGAATCAGGCAGTACCATGATGATCACCGAGTCTCCAACATTCACATGGTGCCAAAAATGATGAATAAATGTAACAGAAGCATATAAAAATGTGAAAAGAACGGAGAGCAAAAACGTGGAGCTGCCAGACACTAGCGCTACACACAAAGAAAATGTTTACCTATCCAGTAATTTGGCATTTTATCTTGCTGTTGGATTTGGTTAATATCAAACCAAAAAACAAATAAAAACCAACTCTGAATTGGAAAACACATTCGTGGCACAAAAGAGAATCAATGAACAACTTTACTCGCATATGACCCAAGCTGGGAATCGAACCCGGGCCACATTGATGAGAGTCAAGTGCAATACCACCCATGCCACAAAATTTAGTTAGGATTGAGAGTTGAGGATAACACCCCTGAACTTACCACCAAAAAAAGGGGTCCCTCTCTTAACAAGTTCCCTTTCAATGAATCCCAGGCCATCCATGAGTTTACCAGCGGCCTTCATATCCCCTGTAAATATAGCTTTCATCATTGGGTTCTGGACCTGAATGAAGAAACATTAGGGAGGAAAAAAAGGGCACAACATAAAGTAGACTTAAATTGGAGTCGCCACACATCAAGTCCGAGTCCGAGTCACCTCTCCCGAGTCCGAGCCCCAAGTCATACAAGTGGAGTCCGAGTCCGAGTCACGAGTCACAAAAGTCGAGTCGATGTCCAAATCACGAGTCACCTTTAATAAATCCTGGAAATATTTTGAAGTACATTTGTACTGCTAAAACCTCACTGCGTAAAATTTTTATTATTTTTTTTACAGCTTTTCTCTAATTCAATGAACTGGAAATACATGTATATCATGTTAAATAAGGCAAGGCGCCAATGTCTGGAAAGCATAATGTGGTACCAAACACTATCGAGCTTGCATTTACGCAATACACATTAACATGTCAAGCATGGATGGTTGGATACATGTTTCGATACATTGTTTTCCCAAATCAATACACCGGAAACAAGCCAGCTGCATGCGCTGTGTAGGTACAGAACTTAGCTCCGTTTCTCCTGCACCGCACAGACTGTATCGCTTGCTCAGAAGAGGATCGTCTTCAAAACAATTTGTAATTATATTGTGGGAAAAAAAGTGATTTGTGGTAATTTTGTTAAAACAGCATATTGCAACCGGGTCTAGGTTGAAAAGTACATTTGGATTGTGTTATCCTCACGTAGACAGTCGGGATCAGTGGCGCACCCAGAATTTGGCTGGGGGGGGGGGGGGGGCCTCACAATTTTTTTGTTCAAACTTTTTAGAAGTGTAAATTTTGTCAAAAAATGTTGCCCAAAATATCTGGCCGCGTCACTTACATAGGCCACATATATAGCACCAAGGTCAAATCGTTGGACGAAAAAAAAATCCCCCAAAAATTGACCTCAGGGGGAGGGGGCTCAAGCCCCCCAAACCCCCCCCCCCCCCTTGGGTGCACCACTGGTCCGGATCCATAGCTCCTTGGTCAACCTGCCAGTTGTGGCGTTAGAGGAAAATATTAACAAGAGGAATTAGGAACTTGGGCGCTAGGACCCCACAAAATCTGGGCATCTTTCACGCATGCGTTTTCAACGTGCACGTGTGTGGGGTAAGCTTAGAACTTCTTGGTTTTGGGCGCCAACATTCCCAAGACTAGACTTGTCTCATCTGGTTAAAACAGCCTCTACCGCAACGGCTGCTTGCTGCCCTTGCTCAGGCTTGGAACTGGCTGCATTCGAGGAGCAACATTCCGAATCCAGTCTCCAATTACGACTAACTGCAACCCACCTTGGATGTGTACATTTCCACGATCACTCTGTCCTGTGCTTTGTCAAACGGATCCTTCGGGTAGAGTGGGGGATCTGGATACAATTCCTCGATCAACTCACTGATGACTCTCGACTCGGTGATCACTTTCCCATTAATTTCCAACACGGGGACTTTCCCGCTGGGGTTGCGCTCCACAAGGAACTCGGGCTTGGTCCCCAAGTTGCAGTTGATCTCATCGTAGCTGTCAAGGTTAATTGGCATTCAGAACTATTAGCTTCCTGAACAGACGAACAGTTACAAGGACAAATCAAGTGATTTTTCTATTTACTTGAGCTCGAGGTGATTTGGGCATACCATAGTGCAAAAAAAAAAAAACTATAGGATTCACTGACAGAAGAAAGGACTGGAAGGCCAAGTCACTATTTTGTGTAGGAAGAAAAAAGGGCAGTGAAAATGCAGTCTTTCCTGAGCCAAATATTATAAGTGGGTCAGTGTTTTTTTCTGATTTCAATGGCCTTAAATGGCTATCTGTTCCCCAGAAAAGATGCCCGACAATTGCAAGTCACTCGAGCTAATGCTGGTACCCATTCTTACACCTGGGTGGGAAGCGTGGTCGAAGTGGCTTGCCCAAGGACTCAAACTTACAAATGCCAGCTGCTGGATTCGAACCCCACACCCTTTACCTACTAGGTCATGATTTCCCCAACAGTGTGCGGGCTGTGCCCTTGTGGTCTGAAGCATCGAGCTGAAGATCTGTAGGTAATTCTGCAGGTTGCGGGTTCGAGTCCAGGCTAGAATTCAGGAGCATGTGTCCTCAGGCAAGACGCTTTACCCTAATTGCTTCTCCCCGCCCAGGAGTGAATGGGTATGTGAGGGCAGTGCTTAACAAATACACATTATTAGTGGCAGTGGTAGTGGTACTAGTACAGTGAGCAGATATTAATACCATTTTAAATTTTACGGAAAATGAAAACTGTAGGTGAAAAAGGATGAAATTTAAATATTGTCGACGTCTCCAAGAAATGCAAATCTCATTTGCTGAATTTCAGCTTCACTTTGATGATGTCCTGTTTTAAGCTGCCCTAGTCTTACCTGATTCCTTTTGTTGCAAAAACCAAGCGAACCCGATGAGAAAACGGAGATAATTTGGCGCTAAACAGCCATGGAAAACCAGCTCTTAACTCTGGCAGAGGGTCACCTGTGATGGACGAAACGTTTCAACCAAGAAATGAATTGACTCATGCAGGATTCGAACCCGGGACCTCGAGACAGAGCAGCAGTGACCCCATTGCAATGCCTTTATTTCAGGCCCCCGGTCCTAGTCAAAGAGTCAGCTTTAATTTTTCTAAATAAAATTATGAAGAACTTCATTAAAACTTAAAAGGCTTTATTGCAAATATGGTCAAACTTCGTACTGCCCCGAGGGACTTTAAAAAAAAATCCAAAAATATATTTTTTCCCCTTCTTGTGATTTTCTCTGAAAAATGTGTTGCAACCTGAAGCTGTTGTGCCCATTCTTGAAAATCACGCAATCTTAAGAATGTGCGCGCATTCTTACGAATGAGCGCCCATTCTTAAGAACGAGCACGCGTTCTTAAGAATGAGCGCTCATTCTTAAGATTGGGTGGGAATATCACGTGCACAATTTATGAATTTTGCCCAATCTTAACAAACATTGCATGACATAATTATGTTAAATGAAATGTAAAGCGGTTAAAAGGGAAACAATTTATATAAAGAGGAAAGAAAATGTTCTATGCTTCTGTACTCGTATAACTACGATAATTTGAATCAAATTAAACATGTTATTATTGCTTTTTTCTGCCCACTATGGGAAGTTTTGTAATAACGGAGGACTGGGAACTAGTCTGGGAAGTGCTTTGTTTAGGCTAGACAAGTTACAAGTCCCTGTATGTATCATATGCATGCCACGAAAAAAAAACGATGTCCAGAAGCTGCCAAAATTGCTCTTTTGACTAGATAGAATCCAGCTCTGCGACGTAATGGTGGGGTGTGAACAATAAATTGGTGGCAATTTAAATGGGAAATAGCATAAGCACTATGGGATGTCGCAGTATTCATTCTCATTCTTCACATTCTTCATTCTTACGTCCCCCCCCCCCCCCCCCCCCGCTTTTATTATCCCAAAAATCAGAATTCTTTCCACTAGTATTATTATGTCTCTTATTTTTTCCCGGTCCCCCCCCCCCCATATCAATACGCCTATACTTATCATATCCACTCTACTTTTCAGCGCCTTGCGTTGCAACAGTATAATTATTGAGAGTCAGTGAACGAGGATGCAGCTAGACTTGCCAAGCGCAGCCGGTGCTCGGCATCGACAAGACCGTTATCTTGTCGCGCATTCTTAAGAATGTGCGCTCAATCTGGAAGAGTTATTTTTTGCGAAGATTGCGCAAGGATCCAGTTGCACATTCTTAAGAATGCGTGATTTTCAAGAATGAGCACAACAAAGCCACTTCAGCGGTTGTGTTCAAAGTCTATGGAGAGTCGAGAAGATTTTCTAAGCCTAACCATGGAGGAATAAGAACATATTCCTCCATGGCCTAACAAAACTGACTTGGTGAGTCAGTCCATGGTCAGTCCCAGATTCACGCATGTGATGTCTTCATGATCATCACGATCATTATTGCAATGACTGACCTTCATCTAGACCCGTGAACATGGCTTGCTTGTAAACTACAACGCCACGTTCACGGGTCTAACCTTCATCGAGACGATATATGAAGAAAATAAGTGGCGTCAGGTTGCAACATTTTTTCCTTCTCTGATGTAAATATTTTGTATAATTTGTGTGTTGAGGCCAAAAATTCCAGATTTTGAACCCCCCCCCATCCCATGCCCGGCCCACCCTCCCCATTCCCTCCAGACATGTCAGATCATTTCCATGCCTGCCAAGCGTACCAGTTTTTAGATGCGTTTTCGAGACGACCCTTGCTGAACCTTCCAAAGCAGTCTGCGTTGATAAAGATCTTGACATGACTAACTTTGCTGGGCGCAGATAACCAACAACGACAAGCTTGCACTTATACATGATTTTCTTTAAACATCAACAATTTAATAAAGTTTCGCACGATTATTTCGGGTTGCAGCTGTCTTTGCTAATTTGACGATCGATGATCGCATGATTGAACGATAGAGGGCGCTAGATCGCCCCGCTGGGTCCAGATAACCAGCAAATAAACTGAATGATAAATGCCCCCACTTCAGAAATTCAGGAAACAATACTCACAACTCTCCAAGGTATTCAAGACTAGCATCAAATTATTGCTTATTTCATCATCTTTCATTTTCTTTTCAAGTTTTTGAGGGTAATCTGATGACTTTTGGTAGAAATTTGAAAAAACGGGTGCCTACACTCCATTGCAAAATGGAGCGTTTTTAGGGCCCCAATTTCATCCAAATTACACAGAAATACAAGCTCGGGGTCCTGTGCACGGCTTCCACCACTATTACTCACAAACCCTCAAGTTCATGGCACACAATGTGCTTAAATACTGAAGAATTTGCCGGCGTAGGCAATTTCAGACCGATTTACTGGCCTGCAAACTTGACAATTGGAAAGACTTTCGGCAATTAGTTTCTGCATGCTTTCGAACACTATTACAAGCCTTTAAAAGCCTATGCATTAAAGTTAGTCCTATACATGATTTCCGACCGATTTACTGGCCTGCATACCGCTAGTACGGACAGGATTGGGCCGGCCCGGCCGGTGAAGCATTTTTTTAAAATTCCAGTCCGAATTAATAAGGTACTATAAATGTCTACTAAAGGACTACCCTAAAGGTCTACTAAAGGAGCACCCGCCTTCCACGGTTCCACCCCCAAGGAACTGATCGGCCGAAGAAAAAAAAACAATTCAAAATCATGTATAGGACTGAACTTTAATGCATAGGCCTATAAAGGCTTGTAATAATTATGTTCGAAAGCATGTAGAAACTAATTGCCGAAAGTCTTTCCAATTGTCAAGTTCATGACATTTTAACCATTATTTTATTCAAGAGCTTGTATTTGATTGGCTTGAGATGAAATTCTGGGTTTTTTTTAATTCTTTGTCAAAACTACTTGCATCTTCGAGTGGTGATTGGAGGAAAATGATAATGTAAAGGGGGCGTTTAATTAAAGGTGTCGTTTTTTTAGCCTGTAGTTCACTATACATTGCATTGTCACCAGCAACAATCAACATCGGTTTCTATACCCGTTGTGATTGTTCAAATACAGACAAGACTGTCACCGTGACCGTATGTACTTACTGGATCTAAGGATGTCAATGATACAGGAAATTGTGTCTTTCTTCGCCGAAGGCCAAACTATAAATGGAGAAACTGAGCACATCACGTGTTATTTTCTTTTAACACAAATTGTTGTGTATGCGCCTGCGCATCTTAAACGAAATCGATGGTATCAATTTAAATCGGAGGCTGCGATATGAATTTATATAAGACTCAAGTTAATATTGTGAATGTGAGTAGTTTCCCTTGAGGATCAAACCACACACGAATAAGACAAAGAAGTATGAAATGTCGCCTTTGACAATACCACATTAAAGATGTGACCCGTACTTTAAATAATGATGCTTAAAGGCAAATTTAAATGTTTTTTTTTGTGTGGAGGCATATGTACAGATATCGACTAATCATGAAACATTGGCCAAGGTTCTTGACTTACCCAAAGCGGAATGAAAGATTATCGTTGAGGTATCGACATAAGTCGTTATCTACAAAGGTTTCGATGGGAAACAAAGGCGGGGAAGTTTGGTCGAAAGAAGTTCATTGTTTGGTGGTGACAGGACAACCGTCGAGACTATTTAAAGCTAACTGTAGTGCACGAGTTAATTCTTGCAACACCTACCAACTCAGTTTTACTTCATCAACTAATGTGCTCAGTTCGTCTGTTTCCCGTTGCACAGTAGATCAATTCCAATGAACAGAGTTGACATGAACGTATTCTATATTGTAAGTTTTACTTCCAATTTAATGATTCCACTTTAACAAGACAACATTAAACAGCTGAATTGATACTTGCTTAGAATAAAGTGACAAGAATACAATTATTGTTACTTCAAATTACTCTGTGCACAAACTAGCATGTGTGATGTAGGTTTTCCCGGCCAATTTCGCAAAAATTACATTCGAATTCATCTTGACAGCTGGCCAATTTGAAGCAAAGTAGCGCCCTGCTGTCATTCCCGTGGTTCGTATTAGATTTCAAGCGTTCAAATTCGTTTTTTAGACCTGACATTTTCATGTTTAACACATCCTAAATTGAAGGTATGTCGTTCGGTTTAAGTGATCATTCAATTTAGCAGTCGGTTGGTCAATGGTTATTTGCATGAGATTCTTGTTTTCGTTTTCATTTCTGCGCATTCTATTTAGCACTTTTTGCATTCAAAATGAAAGTAAACGAAGGTATACGGTGCGAGGCTTTTCATTTCTTTCACCTTTTGATTATTTCTGGTTCATGTCGTGGTCCATGTTTGTGTTTCTGGCCCCTACTCGGCAGTTTTTCCCGTCTGCCAGGTCTCAGATACGCGGCAACTGATTGACCTGGCAGTAGATCTGTTTATACCAAGATTGTCTGCAAGTTCAAGATAGTGTTAGGTATATTGCCTTCGAAAGCTTCGATCAAACGACCACGGTCTACATTTCAAATTCTCATGTAACGCCCATGAGCTGGCATATTGATATTTCTAGTGCTTCAATCTAACAGTTTGCATGGTGATCAGAGTGGCAGAGTCTTGTGAGAGACAGGTTTTTATATCTATATTTCCAAATTGGAACAAAAACACTCCATCTTATTCTAACAAACGTCGGAACGACATGGACCTATTTCGAATTCCTTTGCTTACTTTTCATATATGCTTGCTTAATGATGAATTTGAATGACCAAACTTACACAGCTGGAAGCTCCGGCGAATTTGGATGCTCGTTTGTGCAATTTTCATTTGAATGCCATTGTTGAAATTGCATGATTAAAATGTGAAATCGCACGCTTCTAATGTGAAATTGATTGGTGTTTTCAGGTAATTGAATGTTGATCTCAACGTGCATTCAAGTTCGTGCGAAAATGGGTGATTGGTCGCCAATTTGGTCGCCAAATCTGCTAACTTGGCCGGAAAAACCTATATTAAAGCGCAACTAATATTGAAAGCATATTGAATACATGTCACATCAAAACATTTTCTAACAAGTGTAGTATTTATAATTTGAGATATTAAAAAAATCGTTTCAAGTGATCATCCGCACCCTTGTTTCTCCTTCACAAATAATAATACAATTATGTAAAATTGATAATAGGGCATAAATAAGTTTGAAAGCGCCCGTCCATAAAAATGAACCATGCTCCTGGGCACTTATAAAATTAATTTGAAAAAAACCCATATACATATAGATGAGGGATCTATTATTTAAAAAGACAGGTCATCCTACTCAGAATAATCTGTACGTAAATGGATCCTTGAAGTCAAACACATATTTATCACATTTCAAAATTGTTTAAATAAGTGGAAAGTGCAACACAAAGTGAAAAACGCGGCTTGCAATTCCATGTCAAAAATACCAATAAAGAAATGTTCTTTTTAAAAAGTGCAATTTGGTAAAACTTCAAGGCAAATGGCTCTCCTCGTATCCAACTGTAACTTCATCACTAAGGCACTAGGACAGCTTAAATTACTGTCACCACTACGTTAAATTTCTTCATAACAATTTACAAATTCAAATGTTTTTATGCAGGTGCGAAAGGCAATAAAAATTGTGAAACATGAAGCTGATGTTTTAAAATATCCTCCTAGTACGAAAAAAATGTTAGATAATTTCAAACGATAATAAGCAATATTCTATGACATTTTGTGTCGAGAAGATGCAAATTTCAATATTTAATTTCAGTAGTTGACTTTATTAATTATTTTAAATGATAAAGAACGGTGCAATTAAAAGTGATGTTAAAGGGTCTTTGTATACGTTCATTCAGGATTCCTGAACAAGCATACCTTATGTTATTCATAGGCGTAGCCAGCGGGGGGTGGGGGGGTACCCCCCCCCCCCCAATGTTTGTCAAGAGTGCCCTTTTTTCCTGAACAAGTGGCCTTTTTGTCCGAAAAAGTGCCCTTTTTCCCCGAACAAAAGTGGCCCGTAAAACGTAATCTTGCCATTTTTGCTTTCATCAGCCGTTTTAACACAGGTGCCTTCACCGTGTACAGGTACATTTCACCACGGATGTGCAAGTGCCCTTTTCAATAATTTTTACCCAACCAACAAAAAAGACCGTGCTACGCCACTGTTATTACCTCAAAAAGGCCGCTAAATGAATGTTGTAAAGCGGTCCTATATTTCCATGCCAGCAAGACACACTATATGTATTCTAAAACTTTATTTTTAATCGATTTAATATGTTAATTTTCTAAAATGTGAATTGAAAAAAAATAAGTGCAAAAGGCGATGCAAAATGTGAACTCTCACAATCGTTAACACAATACGGAAAAATGCTAGCAAATTTCAAAACATTTACATGTATGAGCAATTTTATGATTAAAAATTTAAGTTGTTTACCAGCGACTGTTTCTCTGGTGGCGTTTGCCAGTTCATCCACTATTCCTGAACGACCTTGCTTCAAAAGTTTCTCTCCGTTCAAGATAGATGTTTAACGATTCAGTTGTCTCGCAGAAGCGAGTAAAATGTTAATATTAGTTGTTTTTTTTCTCAGCAGAATTGAACTTTCTGTTACCATCTATTGTTCTGAACACAATCTCTCTCAAAACCCTCCAAGTTTTCCACCTTACTATAGCCACTTTTCTTACACCTTATAGCATTTTAGGACAACGTATTTGGGTTTCGAAATTTGAGCAATATTTGTAAAATACCATATCGCTTTTGCCGGCTTCATAGCGAGTGATGTCATTTAATTGACAGATCTTCTCTCCAAGGCTGACCTCCAAGGCGTCATCGAGGCTCATTCCGGCACGCCGAACCACACGCGATGACACCCTTGGTGGTGGAGACCTCGACGTGACCACTATTGGGATGTGAGGCGGCCATCAGCGTCGGTCTTCAGGCAGAACATCGATGGGGCAGCAAACTTATTGACACCAACAGGGTCGTCAGTAGACTCGGTATCGAATGGGTTGACAGTAGACTGCAGGGTATCAACTGGGTTGACAGTTGATTCGGCATCGAGTTCACAAATTGCGTGCAAGTCATGCGCGCACGGGAAATCAAACCAGATTCGGTCGTACATGCGCCAATATGCGCAATGGTCAGTGTAACCTCTAGGACAAACATGACACCAGTTAGGGTTCTCACACGGAGTATCATCGGAATGAAGCCATTCGCCCGGTGATGACGCTTCGAAACAGTTGATCCACAACTCTAACGCGTCCCCAAACTCTCCCATTACCATGCCAGATATGAAATCTTGCTCACTTACCGAAGTAGGGTACCACAAACTGCCTCTAACCTCAGAACAGGCAATTTGAGCATTTGCCCATGTCATTGTTTCGTTTGTCACGCAATATCCCATACCATTAAACCACTCCCAGTCAGGGCAGAATGCATCTGCTCCAACACCGACGAGTGCGATCACAAGCGACATCAATGTCTCCATTCCTGTAGCCTTTTCACCAGCAACAATCGACGTTCGTTTTTATACCTGTTGAGATTGTTCAAAATTTAATACAGTCAAGACTGTTTTTCGATATCGTATGATGTATCCGCTGGATCCAAGGATGGCTTTGATACAGGAAATTGCGACTGTGTTTCGTCTCTGACGACCGAACAACAAATGGAGAAACTGAGCACACCGCTTGGTATATTTCAACGGAAAAAAAATGTATAGGCCTACGCTTGCGCATCAACGAAATCGATAGCATCAATTAAAACTGAATTGCATTAATAACCTCGGCGGGGTTTCATTGTGCCATTTAAGATGCAAAATGATATTTTACTAAAGCTGATGTTACTGATGTGAATGTGAGTTATTTCCCCTTGAGGATCAAACCACTCACGAATAAAACCCAAAAACAAATAGTATGAAATCTCTCCTTTGACAATATGCGTTGTAGATGTGACACGTAATTTAAATTTCGATTCTTAATAGACAAACTTAAATGTTATTTCGTGGCAGTAGATACATATATCGATTAAGGTTTACGTTCATTGTTGAGGCGGCAGTCTCGATGCCTCGGTAAAATAAACCGATTGCACTAAGTGAAAGAATCATGAAACAGTGGTCAAGGTTCTTGACTTACCCACAGCGGAATGAAATGAATTATCACTGAGGTGTCGACATGAGTCTCTATCTATAAAGGCTTCCATGGAAACAAAGGTGGGGACATTTGGTAGCAGACTTGGTACCGACTGGGTTGACAGTAGACTCGGTATCGGCTCGGTATCGAAAATTCAACAATGTCAAGAAAACCTCAGTGGCTTTATGGAATCCTTTCTAATTGAACGGTCAACTTTCGTCTCAGGTCGGTACCGGCATGCATGCGACTTGCACTTAAATGAGGAGACATTGTCCAACCGGGTCGACCAAGTCCTCAGCATTGGCTGTGTTTTGATGCTTCTTTGTATTGAGGGAGCTCACCAAGCAATAAGATTATATAGGAGTTTTGTTGTGTAGTTTCCATGGTGATATCGGACACATATTTGGATTGGGCTGCCTGTCAATCATTCGAGGCCTGCGTTGTTGTTTGTTGGTATTGACCGACTCCATAAACACATCACTCACTGTGCCAATCTCACTTGTCAAGGCTGCATCGTCCGTCTCGGTTAAATGAGACACACATTGTCTGTTGTTACTTTGATGATTATTCCAAAAGCTGCATCGATAGTCTCCATAGAAACGTAATGCCAGGCAGTAATGCCAGAATTTGGCTTGGGGGTTCACAATTTTTTTTTTCCAATCTTTTTTTAATTTAATTTTCTTTTCTATTTTGCCTTAAATATTTGGCCGCAGAAAAAAAATTGTGTGGTTTTTTTTTTTTTTTTTTTGGGGGGGGGGGACATTTTGACGTTTGTGGCACCACTTACACCTCTGTTATACTACTCGGAATGTTTTTAACTTGATAAAACATTTTGGGGGGGGGGGGCTCAAGCCCCCGAGGCCCCCCCCCCCCCGCCCCCGGGTGCGCCACTGACGCCAGGGCTTACTGTCAATGTTCCCTGGCTGCATTGCAGATCGAGGTAAATGACTAGCGCCCCTTGAACAAATAGTTGGCAGAGCGCGAGGTTGCAGGTTCAAGCCCAATTTCTCTTTTTAACCAAAAAAACCCCGAACAATTGTATCAATATGACAGTATAAGTTTTGAGACATTATGCAAAGTAACCAATTGGTATTGCCATCATTCATGTCCACGGGTAATGGAATTTGAAACAATTAATGTTTCCTGTTTACCAAAAGAGGGAGCAGTGGGTCCACGAACATTGTGAAGCAGAAGGTAGAACCCTATAACAAAAATGTGCACCAACACAAAAAGACACCACATCAATAACACAGACAGCAATATTTGTCAGAACATGTCTTCAAATTGCCCATAAATTAATGGTTCTTTATTCAAAGTATTCACACCAAATATGACACTGATAAAATTTGAAAGATACATTTTCGCTACAGGAATGACATTGTGAAGAATACATAGAATTAATCTATCACATGATCTACCAATTTATTTCAATAATCTCGGGGCCCAAAGAATTACCATACCATTCCACCAACTATTTTCTAGTCACTGAGTTGAAAAAAATAAAAAAATAAAGTCTTTGTCCAATGAACAGTACAGCTGAGTAAAATCAAATCTGTAGTTCAGTAACAATTTAGCTTAATGTTGTTTTACCCTTGCTGATTTCAAGTTTCTTTCCGAGAAAAAAATACATACCTTTTTCAAAATTGCTATTTTTCTAGCAATATACAAAAGTTATTCACTTCTGAATGATAATCAACAGAAAAACAAGTTGGACAATGTTAGCAATTGAATTTATTGAATTATTACTTTATTACAAATTTCGAATGACTTGCTCCCCAACAATAACTGCGTTCTCACAGTCTCGATGTGCCCAGAATTAAAAAAAACCCGTTTTTTTTCGGTTGGAATAGAATATACAAGTTTAACATTTATTAAGATAAAAACCCTCCAATTTGTTGAAGAAAAGGGGGATACAACTGTAAGACTGACACCAAAGTACGGATACTTCGTCGAGATAGTGGACCAGAAAATATTGCCTGAAAGCCACAGGTCCACTCTCTCCACATTGAAAAAAAAATAGGCCTACCTAAAAACTAGATACGGTTAAATGTATGTATTACCGTAATTAGTGATCTGCTTGATACCGGTTTTGTCATTAGCAAAGTATTGGTTATTTTATTTTATTTATTTGACATGATCTGAAATTAAAGTGAATTACTTTTGTAGACAAAATGAAGAGGAGTAAACAAAGAAAACTTATTTTATGGCTCTGCCGGTGAGTGACGGGAATCTTTTTCCTTTTGAAGACTTGGTGCCTTTCCATCCAGTCAGCCTAGAAGTCGTACAAGAAAGTCCCGGTCACATATGCCTGGTTGTACTTCTGGTGGGCCTCTTTGCTGTTGAGGACGGCCTTGACGGTCGGGTTGGCCACCATCCGCTTGTAGTAGGCGTCCAGAGCCGGAAGCTTGGTCTTGACGGCGCTCATCAGCGAATCGGAGGCCATAGTTCGCTCGTTAAAGGACCAGGCATTGAAGTCAACCATGCTGGGCTGCTGGCCTGTACGTGGCAGGAAATCAAACGATCAGGAAATTCAGAATGAAGCTCACCGCCCGCAAAACAAGAAAATTAATTCCTGGTAAAATATATGCTGCACCCCACAAAACATGTGACTGATGTACGTACACTGCCAAGATATATTTAGGAAATTGCAGTAGAAATTATGCATTGTGCTAGTCCTGCTCCCCATGTGATATACTTTTTTACTATGTCTTGATATTTTTGATGTTTTTTGTTCAACCCTAAAATTGTGTCGTCACAGCACATTCTTTTGCTAATTTCTTTTTTTTTTAAATGGCCCATTCAGATAAAGATTACCAACTGCACCTCCCAGCACTAATACAAAATACAAGGCTCACGAAGGAAGTAAAATATAAAATATGAGTTCTATTTAAACACAAAAGTCCTTTTGTGCCATTATGGGCAATGAAATGAATGCTGGTTTTTCAGTTTCCAAGTTAATTTTTACCGCCAAAGAACGGAGTTCCTCTTTTCTTGAGCTCGGCATCAAACAAGGTCATGGCAACCAGATGTTTTGTGGCTGCTTCTTTGTTCTTTTCTCCAGACATGACATACCCGAAGTATGCTGGAATCACCTGAAGAGTCAAACAATCAGATGACAGTTTTTTTAACTTCTTAACAACTTGCGGCCGAAAAAGACAATTTTGGGCCGAAAAAAGACCATTTTTAAAAAAAGGCAACATAGCTCGCCCAACTGTGAAAATTGCGTCAAACACCACAAATACTGACTCTTGAGAGTCATTTGTACATTTTGTAGAATACTTCTCACCATAACTTCATCAACACTCTGAGGCCCCGCCACGGAGAGAGATTTGATACAACGACAGGCCATGTGTGGCCAAGTTCAAGTTCAAGTTCAAAACGGTTGACAGCTTGAATTTCTTTTAAAACAAAACCACCACTGCAGCCAATGGGGTGCAGGGGAGGCAACTTGGGAGGTGACTATTTGCCTTTTGGGGGGGGGGGCGACGGTTCAGAAATTGAAAATTCTAAAAGTAAAAACTGTACAGCCACCCCTCCCCTCCCTTCCTCCGCCACCTGCTACTGAAAGTATTTTTATGGGGGAAAACAATCACGGGTTACTCTTTTGTATTATATTCCCCATTTTGATCCACCCTGGACTGTGTGTGGCCTAGTGGTTAAGGTTCGTGACTCATGACCAGAGGGTCAGGGGTTCGAATCCAGCTGTTGACCATATGTTGCGTCCTTGGACAAGCCACTTCACCCCCACTTGCCTCTCTCCACCCAGGAGTATAAATGGGTACCGGCATTAGCTGGGGAGTAACCTGCGATGGACCGGCATCCCATCCAGTGGGAATATGAATATTCGCAGAAGTTTCATGCCAAGGAAACCGGAGATAAATGCCGGCCTGATGGGCGATATTGGCTTTATTTTGAGACACGCTGAAACATTGGCTATAAGTCGTCGATCGGTAGGATATATATTAAAAAACTATTCAAATCTGTCATCAAGGAAAATGAGGTCTACGCTTCAGTGACAGGATTCGTTTTTCCCTTTCTTTGGGTTGGTGGGGGATTCTTGTAGACTTATTCTCCCAAATGCCTTCACACACACACACACACACCCACACCCACACATGCAGACTTGTTTCACATACGTAGTGTGGACTTACCTTTCTTTTCGTGTAGTTAAGGAACACCAGTGGAAAAACCTCATTTTTCTCAAACTGTGAAAACTCTTACAACCCAATTTTTTTTCAATGATTCCCTTTAGTGTTTCTCTTCATTCTGCTACTGATAAACCTAACCCAAAAATGCCTCTAAACCTGTTTTCCAGAAATGGGGAAACACTGTGTGGACGTGGGCAAGTCCACACAACGTCGGTGCTACCTACATTATGTGGACGTCTTTTGTTCGGAAGTCCACACTGCGTATGTAAGACAAGCTCACACCCACACACAAAGAATGCTTCAAGCCCACATTTCCGAATTTTTAAAGCAAATATACAGCTGAAGCTGAACTGAAACTTCATCAGGTTAGTTGTTCAGTATCCTTCATTAGATTTTGAACACTTGTGTTGCTTCAAACGAACAAAATGCACAAATTACAAATGATGGACTATATCTTTAATAAGGTTTTAAAAATCAACAGGCTTTGCAGAAAAGCCTTTTTTGCCACATTGCAGAGGAGCTAGAATTCCACTCTGATTCAAATGTATTCAGTTTAAAGAAGATTGGTGTAAATTTTTATCCAATCGGTGGAAGGCGTTTTAGTTAATTGTCAGGAGGAAAAATATATGTGGTACACGAGGGACACAGATTGAGATAGTTTCTATAACAAAAAAAAAAAAAAAAAACACCATCCCCAACAAACAAACCAACAGCCCAACAAACAAACAAATCATAGGTACCTTTGATGAAAAGGCTTCCATGAACATCTTATCCTTGGCCTTATCATACGGATCCTTGGGGTAGAGAGGCGGGTCGGGATACACCTCGTCCAGGAAATCGCAGATGATGTTGGACTCAGAGATGACTTTGCCGTTGTGTTCGAAGATTGGGACCTTCCCTTCCGGCTCTCGCTCGAAAAGAAACTCCGGCTTCTTCTTCAAGTTGCAGTTGATCACTTCATAACTTGGGTGAAAAAAAACAATTACAAGTAAATTTGATTCATTTTGCCAGACAGATTGACTATGAGTGCAATTTATTATGATGAGTGTAATTTATTATGTACCGGTGTGATGTTTTATTGTGTTTGTTAATTGTTTTTTTTTTTAGTTGTTTACTTCTTCTTCTTTTTTAAACGAATAGCCTAGATGAATAATGATTGGTGGACTGTTGACCACGCGCCAACAGTCTATTCCACCGTAAAATATAAGTTTTTACACTGTCACACTGCATGTATTACCAATCAAATAACGAGAATTCAAACAGGCGCTGTATAGAACAAATAATGCATGTTTCACATTCGTGCAATGGAAAGAATAAGTTCATGAGGTGACGGAGATGGAATGTTCCACTCCACTCGACTTCACCTTGTAGAATGGAACATTACATTTGTCACCACATGAAATATATTCTATTAAATGCATTCATCAACGTTTATTATTTATAAAGTATCTTACTCGATTCCCTTGGCCTTTAGAACCAAGCGAGCGCGCTGTGCAAATGGACAGTACTTCATGCTGAAGAGACGAATGGAGCCATCCTTTAAGGCTGGCAGAGGCTGACCTGTACACATTATCAAAATAATTGATAAATTAATCAAAAAGATTATGCTCCTGTTCATTTAAGGCATTTAATCCCCATCTCCTTTTTTTGAAGGATGTGGACATGCTGTGCAATTTGTCTTGGACAGAATATTGCAATCTGACGCCACTTTTTTCTTCATATTATCATCTCAATGAAGGTCATTCATTGCAAATATGATAATAAGACATGAATCTGGGACTAAGAAATATTTCCAATTTTGTTAGGAAATACTTATGAAATTTTCTTGACTCTCCATAGACTTTGTACACAATCGCAGAAGTGACGTCAGGTTGCAACATTTTTTCCCCCTTTGTCTTTACATGAATGATATAGCCTACCTTATGAGTCTCAGGTAGTTGAAGGGAGTCTTGCATAAGTTGCGTTATTGTACAAATGTTTAGTCCTGCCAGGTCATGCATACAAAACCACTGCCCTCAATCTGTCTCCACCTTAACGCAATATGTCCATTGAAGGTCCGTCGCAAACAACTTCTTAAGGGGAAACACTTTTATGGAAGGCGTGGAATTTTGCATTTTTTCCCCGAGAAAAGGGCAGTCGGCTTTGAAAATCCACAAGTTTTAAGAGAAAAATACATATTCTTCAACAACAACAACAACACATACAGACCATGTTCTCATGATTTAAAAGGATAGCTGTGTGAATTAAAATTGTGAACAAGTAGGCCTTTTAGGTCAAAAAGGGTAAATGTATCTTGCTTACCAGCTTCTAGGTGTTTTTGTGACATGATCGCTGTTGCTTGGCTGTGCTGCTGACGTTGACTGCTTGATGAAGACACAAGCCTTCGCTTGATATAATTAATGAAAAATTTGTTGAGTCGCACCAAAAATGCCTTGTCACAAAGAAAACTGCAGACTCATTCAAATTCGATTTACCACTCTTTTATTTCACTTGTTAAATCTGACCGCAGCTTGTCTAATAGAATTTCAAATGTCAATTGAAACGTTCAAAGTCCGTCTAACAAAACTTGACCCATCAATTTTTTTTAAACAGAATAATGTAGTTAATTATTACAAGAACAATGCCAGTGGCGCACCCTGGATTTGGCTTGGGGGCTAACAAATTCGTTTTCAATTTTTTTTTGTAGAACTTTGAATACAAAATGTTGCCCAAATTTTTTTGGCCGAAAAATAATTATATATATATATATATTTTTTTTTTTGGGGGGGGGGATATTTTGACGTTGGTGTGGCACCATTTACACCCCTATTATACTACTTGAAAATAAACCACATACATATCACCACGGTCAAATCGTTTGACTAAAAAATTGACCCCACAAGAAGAAAATAATTGATAACCTCTTTGGAGGGGGCCCCGATGCCCCCCCCCCCCCTTGGGTACGCCACTGAACAGTGCATGAAAATTAAAGTGCACGATAGCTTTAGCGCATTTAAAAAAAAACAAAGTGGCAAGGAAATGCTCTCTAAGCATTAAAGAGGACATATGAACTCTGAACTTTTGAAGTAGAGCCATGTACTTTTGGGTGGGGGGGGGGGGGTACTCATGAAGAAAAGCTACCAGCAGAATTCTATAGCGCTCTCTGCTGATACTTGTGGAGCACATGTTATGGAAGTAGACCTTGAATAATACCAGTTGCCTGTCAGTTCTAGAAAAGCAGTGTTAAAGCTGTCTTTCAACTACATGTAATATTACAGTAGATGGGTGCACTGAAGTTGTACCAATGAAGGTTTTCGAACCCTGGCGAATGTAGACTTAAAAAAAAAAAAAACATCAAAATCGTGAATTTTTTTGAAACAAAACAAAACAAACAAGAAATGTCATAAAATGAACTGACCAATAAACAGATTGTTATTCAATGTTTATATCATGTGAAAGAAGTTTATTAAAACCGGATAGGGGCCCGGTCACTGATAATGGCCCGAGCAGAATTCCTATTTGTAAATACATTTCAGTCAATTTTCCAACGATCTGTTCAACAGTTTTACTTCATGTTTGGAGAAATACCCATCCGGCCTATGTCTATGGTATGTGCCTCGCGGGTAATGCTAAAAATCTCCTGAAATGGAGACTGGCGCACAGCGCATAGTGTGCGACGGGGCGCAGAATGCAGCGGTGTAAAACCACCCATGTGATGGGCTCTCAACCAATAGAATGGGTAAACTGTCTCGGGAATTTATGAATACAATTTGAAAGATACAAAGTGACACCCACGAAAAATACATTGACATTGTAATAGATTTACAACCAATCTATCAAGATTATTTAATAATAATTAGGCCGTAAGAATACAATACTGCTATTTTAAATCCCTGATTTTTTTTAAATCAGCTTTTTATAGTAAAAATATGTAGATGACCCTCAAGTAAGGATAAAACTAAATCAATTTTGCCATACAGGCTTTCAATCATTTTCTGGGCAACTATCTTGACATTGGAAAAATACTTACCCACATGTAAAAACTCAATTATGGTTAAATCTATAAATTACCCATAGTTAGAGATCTGTTGATATTGGTTTTGTCATTAGCAAACCATGGAACATGATTAGTAATGTTTTACAAATTGCTTAATTGTAGAAACATGGAGAAGAGTAAACAATCATGGTGACCGTTTTAGCCGATTTTTGGCTAACTTTGACAGAATTTTTGTTCAAAAACGAGTTTGACAGAAAATTTGACAGAATGGATTTATTTGGTAGATTTCTGGCAGAAAAACAGCAAATTTGAACTAAAAAGTGCACATTTATTTAATAAACCTTCAATCCTTTCAAACAAACCACAGGATGGCTGGTCTAGGTGCTGAGGTTCACTGGGAAATGGACTTCGTCGTGGCCGGATCCACGTTTTGCCCGAAATTTACCAAAATGAACAACATCTTTATTTGACTAGATTGTTTATATGTAATTTGAATCTTAATTAAGGCAATCCTACAAATCTGCATGTAATTTTAAGTGTTCATAGTGTATTTCGAGTAATTCTGGGGAATTTGGCAGATTTTTGATAAATCTGACAGATTTTTGATGCGCATTTAGCAGAATTTGGCTCTGACCTTACGGTCACCCTGTAAACAATGATTTTAAAAAATTGGATGATTTTTATAGCTTTGCCAGTGAGTAGCCCGAGTCTTTTTCCATTTGAAGACTTGGTGTCTTTCCATCTAGTCAGAAATCGTACTGATAATTGCCGGTCACGTAGCCCTCGAAGAACTTCAGGTAGATCTCTTTGCTGTTGATGATGGCCTTGACGGTTGGGTTGGCCACCATCCGCTGGAAGTAGGCGTCCAGGTCCGGCAGCTTGGCCTTGATGAGGTCCATCAGCGGGTCCGAGACCGCCAGGCGCTCGTTGAAGGGCCAGGTGTTGAAGTCCACCATGTTGGGCTGCTGGCCTGTAGCAGGGAATCAAGAGGTCGGGAAATTCAGAGTGAAGCTCACAAAAGAGAAATTCTTGGCAAGAAATATATGTTGCACCCCTCCCGCCCATGTCAGATGTCATCTTCAGGAAATTGCAGTAGATATCATGTGTTTTGTCAGCCCCCCCCCCCCACCCCTTGTGAAATTTTTAGTGTTTCTAAAAAAAAAATTCTTTCATTGCCCCTTAAAATTATGTCATTATAGCACCCTCTAGGTCAGCGCATCTGTAAACAACTATTCCGGCCAGGCCCCCCCCCCCACCTCTTGTGATATTTTTAGTGTTTCTTAATTTTAGTTTGGATTTTTTTCTTTCATTTAACCCTTAAAAGTGTGTCGTTATAGCACTCTCTGGTCAGAGCACATGTAACTATGCCGGCAGAGTGCTGTCAGAGGCTAATGAACAAAAGAAAAGAACAAGTCTCGGCAAGAAATATGTTGCACCCCCCCCCCCCCAAAAAAAACCATGCAACTGATGTCAGCTGTCATCTTCAGGAAATTGCAGTAGAAATCATGTGTTTTGCCAGCCCCCCCCCCAACCCTTTGTGAAATGTTTAGCGTGTTTTTAACAGTTTCAGTTCTATCTAGACAAAATCATGTTTCGTGATCAAAAGGTTGTGAATGGTTTTCTACACTTTTCTCTAAAAGTGTAACATCCACTGAGCTAAAACTTCAACAGGTTAGGTTTTAAGCATTCTTCTTTGGATTTTAAGTGGTGCTATTAAGATTGCAGGAAACGCAAATGAACCTATATGCCTTTAAACAAAAAAGCCCTGTGTGCCATTACGGGCAATGAAATTCATGTTGCATTTTCAGTTTGCCAAATTTCTTACCGCCAAAGAACGGAGTTCCTCGTTTCTTGAGCTCGGCATCAAACAAGGTCAGGCCAGCCAGGAGTTTTGTGGCTGCTTCTTCGTTCTGCCCTCCTGACCTGATTGCCTGGTAGAATGCTGGAATCACCTGAAGAGTCAACCAATCAGACGACAGTGTTTTATTTTGGGCAAAAAAAAATTGTTTTTTTGAAAAAGGCAAGATATCTCATCCATTTGTGAAAATTGCATCAAACACCACATATACTGACTCTTAAGAGTCATTTGTACAATATTTGTACCATACTTCTCACAGGCCATGTACAGTGGCCAAGTTCAAGTCCAAAACATGGTGTGAACAAAACCATGGAGAGCCAATGACGAGTATACACAGCCACAGCTGGAGACTCAGGAATGCTTGATGATGGTTTAACCCGTCACCCGCCCCTGTGAATATACATTGCCAGATCGTGTTTACACGTCCTGCGGTGTTAACTGGTTAAAGAGGACTGCATTCTGCCCTTGGCAGGGGAGGCAACTGTTCCCCCCCCCCCCATTTGCCATTTTTTTTGGTCAGAAACCCCCTCCCGGCCTCCCCCACCTGCTATTGACAGTATTTTGTACAGAAACAACAGACACGGACTTCTTCTGCAAAAGCATTCACAAAACAAGAATGCTTCAGGCTTCCCTAAGTTTTTAATGCAACAAAATACCCTCCGCGGTGGGATGAGAACAAAAAAGTGCTGTCCCTTTTGCTTAATTTTTGAATTACTCCGAAACTTTTTGATCAAATAATTTTCATTTTTCACAAGTTCTTCATTCAAAGGTAGCCAAATGACTCGGTGAGAGTCGTCCCCCATAGCGTATGTTGACCCTGACAATCCTAGCTCCTCTGACAACCACCTTATGTCTGTGTAAGAAAATCCCAGTGAGACTAGCCGACCTCATCTGCGGCACATACAGGTAGAAGGATATTTGATAACACGACAGACAGGTTGGAGATGATTTGAAAGAACAAAAAAATAACTACCTTTGATGAATAGGTTTCCATGACGATCTTATCCTTGGCCTTCTCAAATGGATCCTTGGGGTAGAGAGGCGGGTTGGGATACACCTCGTCAAGGAGATCACAGATGACATTGGACTCGATGACGACTTTGCCGTTGTGTTCGAAGACGGGGACCTTCCCATCTGGATGTCGCTCCAAGAGAAACTCCGGCTTGTTCTTCAAGTTACAGTTTATCTCTTCATAACTGGTAAAAAAAAAAATCAACTTCTTTTGATTTATTTTCTGGACATGATTGACTATGAGCATAAGTCTGTTATAGTTTGGTCATCTATGTTTCTGAACCTACAATATAACATTACCACAAACTGGGACTCGATAATATAAAATGTTGACCGTGTTTCAGTCAATGACAAGCCCATCACAAGTTCGATGACAAATAATTTTCACAACTCCAACCACAAGCAAAAGGTGAACAGTCACGTTTATGCAGTGGTTACTTTCCTCGCCTTCCATTTAACCAGTGTAGGTGAAGATCACAAAGGATGGAGTGGAAGGACTTACAAAGGACGGACAAATATTTTGGAAAATATATTTCCAAAAATAAAAATTATCTATGCAAATTGATGTTTGTCTTTAACTTACTCGATTCCCTTGGCCTTTAGAACCAAGCGAGGGCGCTGTGCAAATGGACAGTACTTCATGCTAAAGAGACGGACGGAGCCATCCTTTAAGGCTGGCAGAGGCTGACCTGTACACATTATCAAAATAATCGATAAAAATGTTGAAACAAATCGTGTTCATTTCAGTGGAATCCACGTTTTGAACGATGTGGTTACGCTGTGTAATTGGTCTCTTTCATGAAAGATATGAGGATGTTCTTTCTTATGTTAATCTAGTAACAATGAATACACAAAAGGTTTAATCATGCCTATCCATGCCATAAAAAAACATTGCCCTCTGACTCTGCCTTAACGCATAAGGTCTATTGATGGCCTGTCACAAGCACTTTCTAATTACAATCTTCTACTGGGAACTTTACACTTTTTTTGCTTAGAAAATTAAAAGCTGGTTTTGAAAATCCACAAGATTTAAGAAAAAATATTATATTCTACAACAGTTAACAAACACCATGTTCCCAAAACGTTAAGGGATAGTTGAATCTCTGCATACGCCAATATTGATGTTAAAACTTCGCCTTGGAGGCCATAGATTGGAATAGCTGGTCATGCTATTTTCTGGTTGTAGTAGGTATTGTTGGATAAATGTTGTTTCACATTAAATTTTGCTAAAAAAGTGACATAAAATTTAAATATAAGTGAAACAAATCAAACTCAACAAAAGATGATGGTTAATTCATATTTCACACAAATGTCAACATGTCAAGGAAGAACATGAGCCCTACAATTCGCAAAAGTCAAACACATTGCAACACATCACAACTACAAATTTCTTCATGAGTGTTTCGTGATGACAAAGCCGCTTTGCTTATGCATTTGTGCGACGTATTATTGTCCTTATCATCTTGGGAAAAATTAGTTCAATATGAAATAAACATTCAGATTTTAGCTTTTCTAAACACTAGGCTTAGTAAACTAATCTTGATCTGAATTGTTAAATTGAGAAAAGATGGCATGAACTTTATTATTGAAATTAATGAACTTTGCTATTCAATGATTTTTGGGGGACATTTTCAAAGGGTTCACTGTGCACTTTAGCTTGAGTAACTCCAGCTCTAATGCCAACGCGATAAGCATTAGAGCTGGAGTTACTCAAGCTATGTGCACTTCGAAATAAAATCGAAAAAGCACGCCGAAATAAAATTTTTTCTAACTTTATAACAGGTAGGCCTAGCTAGGCGAAAAATTCCCCATTGGCCGTGTAACACGGATGGGAATGGGGGCGTGGGCGACAAGCGCGGCGCTCATTGGTGGACGTGCCCGGCCGGGCCCGTGACGTCACAGAAACCACATGTCAGGGATTCGTTTACGCACGCACGCACGGCCTGTGCAGGCACGTACGGCCGGTGCATTCCGAGCCGCGGAGAACTTCGCACTGTCGAGCGGGCTGACGTGACCTGCTGACTTCCCGCAAGTTTATCACGAAATAGATTACGGATTTTACTCAAACAATTGCCATTTCCAAGGCGTGTTGATAGTTGCAAATTGAAGTATTTTAAGTAAGGGAAGTCCTCCTTTCATCCCAGGAAATTCTGGTTAAAATAGGAGCATTTTGTAAACTATATTTTCTAACTCTTAGTTGTCTAAAATATACAAAGAAATGACTCGGGATACAAATTCAGAGACATCAGAGACTCGTTTTTAATAGAAAAGTTTGGCCTATGTTCATTTTATTATACGCATGTTCGTAATACCTGATATTTTGTGTATTACAATTTGGTTTTGTTTTGGTTAGTATACAATTCACTTGGAAAAATAGTGGAAGATCTCTTGACCCAAACACTCGAGTTATACATTTAAATCTAAAGATTGTTTATAAACTCTTTTCACAATAGTGCTTTCCTTGCTGTCCATTCCCAGGGCTTTATTTTTACCAAGTGCATTATTGTAATTGTAAATTTTAGCTTTTTTCAATAAACATTCAACCCGTTTTCTATGTGTATAGCATTGTTCTTGTGGTTTCGACCGGTACCTGAATAATTAAGACTGAAATTTAACCTACATGTACAACACGTAAACAGCAATGTGACTTCCCTCCTCAATAAACAGCCCCCTTCACACCCCACTCAGCTCAGCAGGATTAAGGGAAACAATGGCAGGTTCAAACCTAATTAAGATACGGCTTAACCCATTGCACAGCCTCCAAGAAGCTTAGTTTTCTCTCGTATAACGGTAAGTTTTGAATTACTTGTATTAGTTTGTGTAGTCATGTAAGCTCTTCTCTTTGAATTGTTATGCTACCGTCAAAATGGGGAGCGATAAAGACAGTTTGAAATAAAAACTTCATGTCGCACGATATTAAAATATTTTTTTGTTAAAATTGGGTGGGGAAAACTATTCATTAATAACGGCAATGTATTAAATGTTGTCGCTGTCACAGGAGGCACGCTTCCACCTCTTCATGGCGCTGCAATTTCAGGTGACGTATGTAGAAACTCTGGACCGAAAGACGACATCGCGACAAGGGCACGACACTTCCCGCCAACCTGAAAAAAATTTAAAATCCATAAAATAATTGGTAAAGGGTTTGAAGGTACAGGTCGCCGATGATGGTTAAAAAGCAATTAAGGGTCTATTAATGTTTTAATTTGTATAAGGCTCCCTTAATTTACATCTCTTCATCTGTCCTTAATAAACTTTTAAAAGTGAACAATATTCAGGAATTCCAAATTCCTAAAAAAAATCTTAAAGAATCCGGAAATCAGAAAAAAAAAGACAAAAAGTTCCTAAATTAAATCAGGAAATCCTGACCCCAAAAAATTCCAAAAGTTTTTACAAGAAAAAATCCTGTCAAAAATGCCTGAAATCAGGAAAAATCCACACAAAAATTCTTGAAATCCTGACAAATCGCACGCCTGGATTATCAAATCTGAATCAGTATTAAATCTGAATCTTGCATTTTCATCGCTTGCACGAATGTCAATTTACATTCAACAAACCGCACGTGCATGTACCGCGCCCGCGCCGCCTAGATATAGACTGTACGCGTCGGGGTCAGGTCGTATATGTGTAACGGCCACGCACGATTTGACGTACGACGTACGCATCAACGTCGTCGTCGCCATGCATATTGACGTGGCGCACTCAATACACTCAACCCCCACACACAAAACACGTTGCATATGATTTTCCAATGATTAACGAACACCTTCAGCCAGTGGCGCGGTTTCACACTAAAATCGCAACAAAAATATGACCTACCAAAATTCAAATACCACCAAGGAATCCGCGAGTTGTTGCGCCTCAGGTTGACACCAAAGAAATGGAATATAAAGTCGAAGAAAACCACGAATTCATACGATTTTGGTACCATTCGAAAGATCGTCGTGAACTCTGTCGAAGTGGAAACGACTCGAGGTACAGACGTGAAGCATGTGCGCATGCGCAACAGTTTCATTCATGAAAACTGCCTTTTATGGTCAGTATGATGACGTCATATAATGAGATCGCTGTGACGCCCTCTCGCGGCCGTTCCGTGCCAATTCATGTAGGGTATTTTTCGCTGTGCCTAGATAAACTTGTGATGCATGAACGGGAGTGTTTAGAACTTGATGAAATTTCACTTTATGTGAAATTAGGCGAAGTAAAAAAAAAAACATGTTTAGCGTCCCCGCCCGCTTTCTTTTTAGAGGCCGCCTCCTTTTTTTTTTTTTTTAAAAAGACAAAAATTGATAAATTTTAACGATCTCTGACGAAAGAAATCGTATTTTTAGACTTTTATACCGTGTATAAAGCTGTGGAAATAGTCAATGAGTCCAAGTGGCGGCCATTTTGAAAAAAGCTGGTAACCATCTAGAAAAATAGCCCGGCCGCGTTGTCTTGAAAAATGTGTCGGGCGGCCATTTTGAAAAGAAAAAAAAAGAAAAAAAAGGGCCTCCTCCTTCCTTTTTGTCAAAGAGGCAGGACGCTAAACATGTTTTGTTTTTTATTTTGCCTTACAGTTAAAACTTTTGCTCCAGCTCGGCGCTACAGGCGAAAAATCAAAGTGCGCCACATAAGGGGCCGTACTTCTAGTTCTAGAAGTAAGAAGCCTTCTAATTCTAGAAGTAAAGGGGCTGCGCCACGTTAGAGTACACAATAATGTGCATTGCTTGTTTTTGTCATACCCGGGCATAGACCAGTGAACGTGGCTTGTCCACAGGGCTGTCCTGGGCACTGACTCGCTCACCGGCTTCGAGGTGTTTTTCTGACATGATCGCTGTAGCTACGCTGTGCTCCTGCCGATGACTGCTTGACGACGACACAAGCCTTCGGTTGACGTTATTAAAGAATCTTGTGCTGCGCCAAATATGCCTTGTCACCGACAAAAGTTGCAAACTCATTGAAGGTACTCGAATGGGGTCAACTTTAGGCTTAGCAAGCTTGGCAAATCTTTGTCATAACATGTGACATGCACGTGACCGATGAGCGCCAGCTGGATGAAAGGACGCCCTCAACAAACTTCAATTTACACGCCCTCAACTTAACTCTCTGTTCGCTCGTTCGCTCGTTCGCTCGTCCCCCCCCCGCAAACTGGCGGGGGGGGGGGGGGGGGTACCAAATCCATGCATAATTCATGTCATGCATAATTTTAACGTTTAAAACACTAGATTGTTACGATCATATTATATTTGTAGCTCCACGGTTTCTCACGCCATTCAAACTACTCATGCTACACATCGTGAAAACTAATTGCACGAAATTTCAATTGAATCCATTTTGTATTTCTTGAGTAGTTCATCGGAAACGAGGTTGTTCTTTTTCTTCACTTGTGCAGCATCCGTATTGATGCGTTGTTGAGACCACTATTTATGTGGCGCGTCCTCTGTTATAGTGGTCTCGATCTCCACCACCAAACCCGATTTCGGGCCAACAACTCAAGAAATACACGTTACATTAAAATGAATTTTCGTACACTCATTTGTCATGATGTTTGGCATCAAAAGATTTCATTTCATAAAACAACGTCAATTAATCAAGCTATTATGACCGTAACAATACAGGATTTTGTTTGCAACTAATACATTCCTAATGGAAGTCAACATGGATTTTTAACGTTTAAAACACTAGATTGTTACGATCATATTTTATTTGTAGTTCCACGGTTTCTCACGCCATTCAAACTACTCATGCTACACATAGTGAAAACTAATTGCACGAAATTGCAATTTAATCCATTTTGTATTTCTCGAGTAGTTCATCGGAATCGAGGTTGTTCTTTTTCTTCAAATGTGCAGCATCCGTTTAGATGCGTTGTTGAGACCACTATTTATGTGGCGCGCCCTCTATCATAGTGGTCTCGATCTCCACCACCAAACCCGATTTCGGGCCAACAACTCAAGAAATACACGTTACATTAAAATGAATTTCCGTACACTCATTTGTCACGATGTTTGACATCAAAAGATTTCATTTCATAATAAAAACGTCAAATTATCAAGCTATTATGACCGTAACAATAAAGGATTTTAATTGCAACAAATACAATCCTAATGTAAGTCAACATGGATTTTTAACGTTTAAAACACTAGATTGTTACGATCACATAGTATTTATAGCTACACGGTTTCTCACGTCATTCAAACAATTTATGCTACACATCGTGAAAACTAATTGCACGAAATTTCAATTGAATCCATTTTGTATTTCTTGAGTAGTTCATCGGAAACGAGGTTGTTCTTTTTCTTCACTTGTGCAGCATCCGTATTGATGCGTTGTTGAGACCACTATTTATGTGGCGCGCCCTCTGTTATAGTGGTCTCGATCTCCACCACCAAGCCCGATTTCGGGCCAACAACTCAAGAAATACACGTTACATTAAAATGAATTTTCGTACACTCATTTGTCATGATGTTTGGCATCAAAAGATTTCATTTCATAAAACAACGTCAATTAATCAAGCTATTATGACCGTAACAATACAGGATTTTATTTGCAACTAATACAATCCTAATGGAAGTCAACATGGATTTTTAACGTTTAAAACACTAGATTGTTACGATTATATTATATTTGTAGCTCCACGGTTTCTCACGCCATTCAAACTACTAATGCTACACATAGTGAAAACTAATTGCACGAAATTGCAATTTAATCCATTTTGTATTTCTCGAGTAGTTCATCGGAAACGAGGTTGTTCTTTTTCTTCAAATGTGCAGCATCCGTGTTGATGCGTTGTTGAGACCACTATTTATGTGGCGCGCCCTCTATCATAGTGGTCTCGATCTCCACCACCAAACCCGATTTCGGGCCAACAACTCAAGAAATACACGTTACATTAAGGGAGCGTCTCATAAGTCGGGAACGTTCGCGGTCCAATGTACGTTCCGTTGGAACGCCAGGCGTTCCATTGGCGTTCCATTGGGAACGTGCTGTGTTCCCAATGGAACGCGGGTGCGTTCCGCGCAATAGACCGCTTGCAGACGCGATCGATAATTGACGCGCGAAGGTGCAAACACCATGTTGTGGGACAAAATGTGCATGGATAGATATACGCTTGTCCCAAAACATGGCGTCGCGCGACTTCGCGCGTCGATTATCGAACGCGTCTGCAAGCGGTCTATGAATGGAACGCACCGATCTGCGGTCCAGCTGGAGCGGGGAGGGAACAGCGTGTTCCCGTCGGAACGCTGCACGGCGGGGTATTCGCAGTCGGGTATACGTACGTTCATTTTTCGTAATATTGCAGGCCTCGGAGTCGGAGTTAATTCAACGACAGATTTTTCTGACAATGTGTGTAACGTCAATGGTAAGCTCCGCTTTTATCGTTCTATTTTAGTTGGTAAATTTATTAAATGGTAAAAATATAAAAAGAATTGTTCTTGCACCAGCATACTTGAACGTGAATACGCAATCACCGTTGCGATTGCATGTGATGTGAGGTCGGGGCTACCGAAATTTCACCACAGAAACGACATTTACATCTCCATCAACGTTCACTCGTAACTTGTGTTGAACTAATTACCCAAAACATCATAGGAATTTCACAATCACGTCCAAATATTACCTGTAAATCCTCAAAAAACAAGAAAAACCTACCGTTCAGTGACTCACGGGTTGCCGGGGATCGGGACGCCATTTTTCCTGACGCAATACGGGCAAATATTCTAAACTGGTTCATCGTGTACGCGCTATACTGGGAACGTTCCACTGGAACGCGCAATAGAACGCGTATTCCCAACCATTCCGCTGGACCGTTCTCGCAAAGGGATCGTGCCGTTCCAACGGAACAGTGGCCTGTTTCCAATGGAACGCAGAGCGTTCCTGTCTGGGAACACGTCCGGGAACACGCCGTTCCAATGAAAACGTTCCGAGCGTTCCGACTTATGAGACGCTCCCTAATTGGGGGATACAATCGGAGCACAATCATCGTGAAAAATGTTACCCTTGACCTCATTAAATGTGCCATCTCAACGGAAGGCGCTGTAACGAAATTACAGAAACCCAAGTTTACATGTTACCTCAACAAACTTATTCCAATCAAAGGTACGCCGTGATTACAAATTACAAAATATAGGAAACACCTTGAAATAACAAACTTACTACGATTCAAACCAAAATAAAATTAGTTTATCTTGCCGCTACAGTAAATATTGTCAAGACACTGTCTGGCAATCTTACCTCGATATGGTACTGCCCATACGTGTGACCCTGCATGACTTGTGATTGACTCGACTTCATTGACTGCTGTGATGTGGGACTGGTGCTGCGCCGGCAATGTGCCATCATGCCTCATAATTTAGGGGGGGGGGGGGTAAAAACGACTACATTTAAGGTAAAGAAAGGTTTGCGGAAACACCATGTGTGAATAATTTCTCAACTAAGAGAATGGTTCTGAAAAGAACCAGAGGTATAAACTCGACGTTGCGGTCAGTATGCTCTGACCGTCTTCAGGAGAGTGCCTAAACTCTAAGAAAGTAAACACTTGAGTAGCAAAAGCAAATCGAAAACTAGACAAAACCGATATTTTCGACCAAGTCAGGGGCGGATCCAGGTCAGGAGTTAAGCTGCCACGATGGGAGGGTAGCTTTTTTTATGTGCACACATTTGTTTCCAACTTTAATGACCTGTGACCGCAATTTTACCTTATCCTACCCCCACGAACTTTTTACTTACTGGACCACGAGCAATCGATCTAGCCTATTTGCGAAGTTAAAATGTTGCCTCTAAGTAAGGGATGTGTAATTAGGGAGACATTGAAATGTCTCCCTAATTCGACGTGTCTCCCGAAGGTATAACTTATGACGCTAAAGTGTCTCCCAAAGGGTATACTTGTTATAATAATAATAATAATAATAAAAAGTAATATAATAGTAATAATATAGTATAATAATAATAATTTAATTTCATGCACGCATCACTACACAGTTGTTAATTGATCACAACAACATTTTAGACCCTGTGACCAAGTTCCAAATTTTGTAATCGAAAATTTGGCCAGATATGTATTTATCTCTATCCCATTAACTAATTAGTATTATTTGTAAAGAAAAATCGTGTATTTAAAAATCCAAATGATATAACCACCGTACAACTCAGCCTTACAGTGTCAAATAAACCAAATATTATAATAGTAATAATGATTTTTAAAAACTGAAGGAAATTAAACCTAGTACAAACAATAACCGTGCTTGTTAAAAAAATATGCGTAATTCTGTGACGTCACCCTTTCACCATCACATTCTTAACTAACTACCGGTTCCAAAAAACGTTTGAACCAACTAGGCTGCCGAGGTCCTATTTTGTTTATATTTGTGGGCTTATTTTAACCCAACTTATCCAAAGCAAAATCGTTAAAACCCTCAACTTCACCCTATTCATAGCCCCCAAAGTTTTCAAACCCTAAAACTCTCACCTATACCTGTAAATCCTTACCCCAATACTTTAACCATATAAACAAAGCGTGTTGAATAATGAACATGCAAATTGTATTTGTATTTCATAGGCTTAATAAAAATATGCCCTCCACTAACATGTGACCTAACCCCTAAACCTCCCCAAACCCGGAAACCCTCACCCACACCCTTTACCTTTAAATCCCTACCTCGAAAACTCTAACCCTATAAACAAAGCGTGTTGAACAACGGACATGCAATTTGGGTTTTTACTTGAAAGGCTTAATAAAATGCACTCCACTAACATGTAACAAGTGAGGAATACTTAACATTACATTATCTTTACCAATTGTTTACATCACGATACTGTTTAACAGCTTTACATAATTCCGCTACACGTGACGAGGAGGCTGATTTACATGCAATTTATATACATGTACTATAGTAAAATCTATACTATAGTAAAATGTCCCAAACAAAAGTGTCCGTCGGACTATTTTTGAAATAACTACAAAACCGCATGAAGTCAGTTTTGAAATTGTTTGATCGTGCAGATACTCATATTATCCTTGGCCAAAAC